GCAGTAGACTGAGTAGTACTCGGTTTCCCAGTACTGACCGTCGTTGACTTGCCAGTGCTGACGGTAGTCTTCCCAGTGCTAGCAGTAGACTGAGTTGTACTCGGTTTCCCAGTACTGACCGTCGTTGACTTGCCCGTGCTGACGGTGCTCTTTCCCGTGCTAACGGTCGATTGTGTGGTGGGTTTTCCACTACTAGCAGTTGACTGGGATGTAGGTTTGCCGGTACTAGCAGTTGACTGTGTTACACCGGTTGGTTGAGTCGTAGGTTGTCCGGCGCTAGCAGTTGTTGGTTTTCCAGTGCTCACAGTTGTTGGTTTCCCAGTGCTGGCAGTCGATCGTGGGACCCCAGTTGATTGAGTAGAAGGCTTTCCGGTACTAATCGTCGTTGGCTTCCCAGTGCTCTGTGTTGGTTGCGTTACACCAGTCGACTTAGAAGTAGGTTGGCCCGTGCTGAGAGCACCTGTGCTCGGCTTGCCTGTACTCTGAGGTCCCGTGCTGGGAGCGCCGGTGCTCTGCTTGCCCGTGCTCTGAGGTCCCGTGCTGGGAGCGCCGGTGCTCTGCTTGCCCGTACTCTGAGGTCCCGTGCTGGGAGCGCCGGTACTCTGCTTGCCCGTACTTTGACCTCCTACGCTCGGTGCGCCGGTACTCTGCTTACCAGTGCTGACAGCAGCCTGGGTCTGCTGAGTGGCCTGGGTCTGAGGATTGCCAGTGCTGACTTTGGCCTGTGTCTGCTGAGCGGCCTGAGTTTGCTGAGCGGCCTGAGTCTGCTGAGCGGCCTGGGTCTGCTGAGCGGCCTGGGTCTGCTGAGCGGCCTGAGTTTGCTGAGCGGCCTGGGTCTGCTGAGCGGCCTGAGTTTGCTGAGCGGCCTGGGTCTGAGCAGCTTGTGTCGTACCTGCAGCGTTAGCGGTAGCCGTTTCTTGTCTCCTTACCCTCCCCTTCTTTTCCCGAAGGTCGTGAGCAAGACTTTGTGAATGGTGCTCGAAACCCTTCGACTTCGAATATTGGTTGATGATTGGGGCGTTGCCAGGTGAAACGCCATATCCCAGAGCCCCTGGTGCCGCATCCACGGGGCGAACGAGAGGACTGAGCCCGGAAAGGGCAAACAAAATGAAAAGAAGGTACAACATTCTTGCAATAGCGGCCTTGTAGCGAAGGGCAGCTCTGAAAGTGAGCACTTGATCTGAAGAACAATAAGGTGGTCTTGGGCTTGTGAGGACGTTATCAATCTCTACAAGAGGGGGCGTGGACTTCCATCCTGTTCCTCACACGGTCAATGCCCTACATCCCTCAACGAGCTCATCGGGACTGAGCTGCTTGAGAGGGTCTGCTGGTCACAGCTTGAAATCCAGACCTCCTGGAGTTCTCAGCCATCCCCGTGGACCTTCCGTTTTGGTGGATCAAAGGTGAGCCGAACATGACGCCACCGGGCAAATCTTCAATAGTCTCAGACCAGGTCGTATCGACAACAAGGAATGCATCCTGTGTGAAACAGCTATCGAAGGACAGTGCCATCGGTATTTCTGAGGAGGCGATGTCAAGGATAAGGGCCCACCAGGGGAGCAAGGCCTGGCTAGTCTCGCAGTGTTGAGACTTAGACTTTGGAGATGTTGTCCATACAAGTACTGGCTCCTGTGGTTCACGACTTAGCCAGAGCCCAAGGGGGCCCCACAAAGCGGTAACCGTAGTGGCAGCAAGCAAAAGATGCCTGAGAAAAGCCGGTTTGAGCATGGGCAAGCGCATCATGGCTCGTTGATAAGGTTCGAATTGATAATCTGGACGCCGAGTGCATGGAATGGGGCCAGGGCACCCGATGCCCACGAGTACTGGGCCCCACGACCATCCAGTGCTCTGCGATCCGTGAGTCGTCGTCCACATTCGAGATTTAGATCCATGGTAATGGAGCAAAGATTCACTCCGAAACAAATGCTCTCCTGCATGAAGGTCGTGTTGATACCTCGTACACGGACAGACCAACGCTATTTGGCGCAAAAAAGCGTGCAGAATGGCCACGAAATGAAGGATGCTGTACAAAACCTACTGGTTCTATGGTGTACGGGTGCGGGATATTCAGATTTCTTGATATATGTCACGTGATTCATGATACCAGGATGTTGAATCATCTCGTGGTCAGACCCCGGCCCGGAATAAGGTTCAGAAACGAGAGGAAATCAGGGCGCGATGTATTGCGATTGGAGATAATTGATCCAAGCTGCGAGGGTGGATCTTGGGCCATATCCCCGGCGGAGATGAGGTGAGAGAACGCACAGACACTTAAACATCCTAGACAGCCACGAGGTAGCGGCCAACCTGAGCTTCAAAGTTTCCAGCTTGCTCTCACTCGCAACGAACCACCAATGCTTAAGCCGTGGAATAACTTGCCTCACAAGGTGGTTCGGACTCACTTAGATGCGAATCCAATAAATCACATCGATCTCGTACTCATTTGCGCGGACTTGGACATTCATGGCACCTGATGTTCGTCACGCAAGTTACCTTGCTACCCAATACTCCCTGAAAGCTCCGCAATCGAAGAGAGAGGGGAAAAGGACCATGACTTTACTTAATTAGGATTATTCCCGCTCATCGAGGCCGTTCCATATGGTCGGCGAAGTGTGCGAAAGAGAGGTGATCCGAGCTCAGATTAAAGTGGTTTTAGTCACCAATAGCGGTATTTTTCAGCGGTAATCTTGGCAGATCGACCATGGCGGGATCAATTAGTATGGACAAACCTTAAAAGTTCCAGACAGTATTATGATGAGAGAACCGTCAACTTGGTACATTCCCACGTGTATGGGGCGTGTGCAGAATGATAGAGACCAAAAGCAGGTCCGTGTAGAGAGGGCTAATATCCTGAGGTCGGTATTCAATGTTTTGAGATGGCAATGTGTTCGTCTCAGAAGGCCTGGCATAGACAGAAATCGCATAAGCATCTAACAGTGAGGAGCGCTTTACTCGACAGGATTCTGAGACATGGCTGAACATAGACCTCAGGTCGTCATTGTGCCGATGGTAGACAACGACAAGGTTGTTGTCAGCATGCGGAGGAGACTTTCAACAATTGAGACATGCCTCTCCAAAATTGAAATGACCGCGAATTCTGGCCTAGATGGGAATAGCCAGAACTCAGCCAAGATACCAGCAGACGGGTCTGACCCAGACGTGCCAGGGTTTCGACACTTTCGGGTTCCCGGGATCCCGAGAATTTTCGTGAGAGGGAATTTAGTTGTGTGCAGAGCGTTCCCATCGCAGCAGCAAGTGTAGCACAGACGGGTTCCAGCTGGATGGTACGCACGCACAGATGAGGTGTCAACCACATTTTCTCTGTGGTCAAAGCATTGGTTTCGTCAGAGGAATCGAGTTCCAACCTCGAAAAGGGTCCTTTTCAGCGCAAAGGCCTCGCTCATTCCTTTCCCAGGAAAATGGAATTTCCACCATTATGCTTGGTGACACGGTCAGTTTCTTGCACGGTATGAGAGAATCGAACCGGGAGTCCTCGGCGCATGTATCCTCCCAAGACCACTGGTGGCGGATAATACGGATGGTAGATCTTCACTAAGCGAGAATGCTCTACCAATGCTTTGGTAGTACGTGGTTGATCATCAGGTTGTGATGACATCGGAGCGCTCTGAAATTTTCACAGACAGCAAAGATCTGCCCTGTGGAACTGTCCTATCCACGTACAGTCTAAACACAGCGTGTTTCCAAAAGAGGCACCAGAGAGCGCTCCGAGGAGCAACTCGATGTGTAGGATGTTGTTGTTTTTTGTGAAGCCCTATGTTCCAATTGATTTCGCGGAGCTAGAACATTCACCATCCCTCTGGACAGTAACACCTGAGTGGCCTCGCTACGATCGGGCACCCTGGCCAAAGCGCGTAGGCAAGGCCCATCTCGAACGTGATCGGTGTTCCAGAAGATTTCTCCATCGACAAGCCTGTTTGGGAGGAGCTCATGGTCCGCGGGCGCTCAAGCCGAAACGACGTCATTTTGGCGCTGGCACCGGAGCAAAAATGAAGGTCGGCGGAAGGTGAGATGGACGACGAGCTCAGGCGACTTTTTGTGCTCTAAGATAGGATCGGGATTTGTTCGTGCGTGCACTGTCTGTGTGAAAGAGGAACGTGCGTGGCTAAGATGTATCGTGGTTATTTTTGAAGTGTGGATTTGAAGTGGATTTAGAGTTGGATCGGCTTTGTGTGGTTCCGCGTTGCACCCGGGCAGCTGCAGCCTGCAGGAACCACGGAACCAAGGGTGCACCTTCCCCTAAACTATCATCAACAACACGTGCCATCTCCCTGCTGCAAAGCCTTCTAGGCCCATCGGCAGCTATAACGCTCGCTGCAATGTAGGAGAGGTTGAGTTGTCTGCCTCTGAGCAGGACTGTACCGGCTTGTAACGAATGCTACTCCCTGGGGCAAAGGGCACGAAACAGGCTGCATCGTGAGGACGACGAGACATTCAGATGCTACACAAGTCTAGAATACGCAATCACTGCCGTGCATTGCTATTTTTTATGAGCACTGCGACTGTACAGCTTGATGTTCATAGTTCAAGTCAATCATTGGGCTAAGCTGACACTCGTGGTCCGTACTGTTATACATGCGAGAAGTCAAAATGGGCCATGGCCACACTGAACTACGACAAGGCGGCAGCCTCCACGTCTTTGGCTCGCTCGATGATCATGCCGAGTATCTCTTTCTCAGTCTTGGTGAACTCGAACTTCAGCTCTGGATACGTCGTCAAGCAGCATTGATTGTCTTGCTGCAGCTGCCATGCATCATCCCCTTCCCATTTGTGTGGTTCTACAACATAGTCTTCGAAGGCTGCAAATTGCTTATGCGACTTGTCCGCAAATTTGTTGTCTAACACCCAGCCGTTGAACCAAAGAGGCTTGCCTGTGAGATCGAGATGGAGCAGTTGTGGTGCACAGATCATGAAGTTTGCTGGGAGTGTGGCCAAGGGGTCTTGTCTTTGTTCTTCTCCTTCTCTCTTGGGCATCGTCGAGTCCTCTTCTTCAGATGAGATCTCCTCATGGTGGCCGGTGCTGTAGTTGGCCACTCCCATGGTGCCGGCATTGCCCTGGTGAAACGAATACTTGAAATCACCACCGAGTTCCCATCCTAACCAGAAGGTTTCTTTATCACCTGCGACTAGTGAGTAGGAATTCTGTTGACATCCCAGGTTGTCTCTTACCATACACCATATCATAAACACCGATTATTCCCTCGTCCTCGTCACCATCTCTGTCTGGGCCGTTCAATCTAGTGACCAACAACATTGATAGAAAGTGCTCCCATTTATCGACCACAATAACACCTGACTCTTGCATGTGTGAACTTTCCCCGGTCCAGAACCGATTCTGCTTTACCTGAGACGAGAAAGGTTTAGGGAGAACTTGCTGTACCCAGCGCTTTTTAGACTCTGGCATCATAAGCCTATCCTTGAAGAAGAGAGCGCCGGTTTTTCGGTAACCTGGATCGTCGAACAAGACTGCTGGGTCTTGGAAAAAGGCACTATCGGCGTCGATGAAGATGACTTCGCGGAAGCTGGAGAAGAGAATTGCGAACGGTTTGATAGCCCATCCTGCCAATTTCCAACCCTCATCATTCACCATCTGAGACACGTCTCGAGTTACAACACCGTTGATGGTTTCTAGCTCTGCACGATAATCCTCAGAAAGGTCAGAGTCGCCAAGGTACATCACTTCAACTGGCAATGTACAGCCAAGTTTACCTGTGTCTCTGTGGTCAGTCATACCCCTTCACCTATTGGCCATGATGAATTACTTACGGAATGAGTAAATTGTAGTCATCAGGAAATGGGCTTGATCATCCCCTGCGGTCAACACTATTCCTCGTTGTGCGGCCTTGAACTGGAGATGTAGAGACATATGGTCCGCAAAGAAAGGTGATGTGTAGGGAAATAGAAGTTGTCCGAATCTCGCCAGGAAGTATTTGTAAGTCTCATAAGCCCTAATGATCTGGCCCGTTGTCATTGACGAAAAGATCCCCGTCGCCTGAGTTGCATAGCCGGGCATCTTATTTAGTTGTGTCAAATATTGCACAATATCGTCTCTGACATATGAAGGTCCATCAGGGGTCGACGCAAGATGTAGATCCTCCCAGATTTGAAAGAAATCTCGATAAGACCGAGTACGGAGGCCCATCTCGTGAAGCCTCTCCTTCCCTGTTCCTTCAACTGGCCTAAGGAGGTCACGCATGTTCATCTCTCCTGGTAGGCTAGTGATAACCCGCTCGAGCGCGGCCTCCATGTCACTTCGACGCTGAAAAGGTGGAGAGCCATTGTTTGGGTGCTTTGCTGTCGACCGGCCTCCAAAGTTTGATTGCTGGCCGATGATCGAGAAGTCCTTGGGATGGATGTTTGCATTGTTGGAGGCTCTCTTATCACTCTCTGGTTTTTTCAATGCAGTGACTATTCTTGAAGTCGGTGTCTCATTGTCGACTACGTTTCCTTTCGGGGGGGAACTCCATGCTGCCACATCATCACTGGCGTCCGTATATTGAACTTCAGGGATTTGGGTTCGCTTGAGGTATGTTCTCAATTCTGTCGGAAAGCGAGACGAATGAGCTCCTGGCACTGGATACTCACCTCCCAGAGCATGCCAGGATATGTGAGTGAAGATGAGTACAACAGCAAACACCAGCACCCGTCTCTTGGAAAAGATGGGAAAATTTCGTTTCTGATCCAAACATGGCAATCCTGGATGCACCCTCCCTTCTTTTGGTGGGCTTTGCACCATGTTCACGATCTTGATCATGCTCCTGACGTTGGACGACGTTAAGAGATGGTACAAGGCTGAGGTGGGCTAGTTTTCTTGTTTCCACGAAGATCGTTCTCCATAGTGTGGGTCTATCTATTACCGCGATACCGGAAAGCAAGATCGACAGGGCAAGTGGATAAGGTTTGTATGACAGGAACAAGCGAGAATCCCGTTATTCTGTCAGACTGATCTAGGGTCTACCAGCCGAGGTGGTCTCTGCGTTTTCAATAGTTTGAACCGCATTGACCACCACGGCTTGACACTCCAGAAATACGGCACATACACATACACCTTCATGAACCCTGACTTGGATCTTCAGCACAGACCAAGAGCTTGGTAGAGAGAGAGGGAGCAGACAGATCTCATCTTCCTACACCCCGATCGAGCGGCCTGTGCCTCGAGGAGCAACAGGTATGCGAGAGTTGCTATTGGTCACTTTTGGTGCAGTCGCCTCCGCGATCGAGAGCCGACACTAAGACAATCACAGAAGCATGGGCGCTGGACGCAAGCCCACCAAAATTTTATCGGAATCCATGGTACTGGGTACTCGTGGCAAGTGAAGCTCAGACTGTCCCAAGGACTCGGTAGCCGAGACTTTGGTCTGAACAACGGGGCACTCAGGGTGGCATTCCGTCATGGGGCATGGCTCAGGCACGCAGAGAAAATGTCGTTGCGGCTTTGAGAGAAATTTTGGATATGACCTAGGTTTGACTTTGCCTAGACTGGCGTTCATCATGCCCGCAGCTGATCAGCCTTGAATGTATCGATTCAGCTGCTTGTGGCAATAATTGAATCCAGATCGGTTTCCAAAAGAAGAAGGCCTTGTCTTCTGGCCCAACAAACCGCCTTGTCAGGTCAAGGGCTTCACAGCGGCAAGGTATCAGACCCACTGGTATTGAAAATTAGGGCTGCGGCATCCTCTTTTAGACTTTGAACAGGGCTTTGAGAGAGAGGTTCAGGCGATGCCGCAAGACACGATTTATGCGATGCGATGCATAAACCTTGACAACGCTTGAGTCAAAGCAAGGGTCTAGTCTTCAATATTAGCTTATGCGATTGGGCGCACTACAACCTGGTCAGAGGCGCCGACGAAGGAGAGCTGAATGCTTTGGACGCCGTTCTAGATTTGATATCTACAACACTTGGTGGCGAACGATCTACAAAAATTACCGTCAAGACTTAACCATTACACAGCACTCTCACATTGGTAAAGGTGAAATCCTCTCTTGAGCCTTAGCTCCCCGTGTTCATTAGGGCTGGACGCAGAAGAACCATCTGTGTAAGCTCTGTGATTTCCCTTTATGTCGTTCCAAGGTACCCCCGCTGAACTACTTCAGCTGACAGTCAGTACCACCTATAGCTCCCCCTGCTTTGTTCGATGCAATAGAAACACACAGGCCGGCCAAAGTCTTGGGTAATCTTCATCTGTTCTACCAGCAAACAGTGAAAATATCAGGTCAGAAGACTACCACCCCTGAAGTCACAGGGTAGCTGACTCAGTGCCAACCTAGACGAAGAAAGGTCAAAGTATTCTTATGAAATGGAAAAATCTCCTGAAGTCCCATTCAAAGAGCAAGAAGAGCTCGCCAGCGACATCCTTGAAAGGCGCTCAGTTGAGCGTGGCTCCCTAGATACCAAAACCGTCAGATGGATCGCCATCAATGCATCAGCAACGGTTGCTATTGTAAGTCCCCTGAAATCCCGCCATCGAGATTGACCACATCGTCGAATCTAAGACAGTCCAAAAGGAGTTGTACTCATCAACTACAGGTTTATGTCAACAAGACGATATTTTCAGATCCTGCTTTCCGGCAATGCCAGCTCAGCTTCGTGGCTTTCCACTTTGCTATCACCTGGACTACCTTGGCTGTAGCCTCAAGACCTATCATCGGCGCTTTTGCACCTGCCAGAACAAGCGCTCTTGGGATCCTCCCTCTCACCATTGCTATGGGGGCAAACGTCGTACTCATGAACCTGTCACTGGCTCATTCATCAGTAGTATTCTATCAGATTGTTCGAATACTCCTCACCCCACTGACCGCTCTGATGAACCTGTTCATCTACGGTTCGAAAATCCCGTTCTTCGCGGTGATGGCGCTCGTACCAGCATGTGCTGGTGTAGGTGTAGTGTCATACCTTGAGGCGGTCTCTAAGCAGAGTTCCGGCTCGAATCACACCTCCATGCTTGGTGTCATCTTTGCGTTCAGTGGCGTCGCCGTTAGTGCTTTATACACAGTTTGGGTTTCAGCATATTACCGCAAGCTGAAGATGACAAGCTCGCAGCTCTTGCTCAACCAGATGCCTGTTGGAGGATTGATCCTTGCGGTTTCCAGCTATTATACGGACAAATACCCGGTATGGGCTGAAATCACTCGTGAACAGTGGACAATGGTTGGCATAGTAAGTCTCCGACAGCAATTGGCGCTGGAGCTGTACTAACAGCCACGTCCAGAGTGGTCTCTGTGCGATGCTCATCAACGTTTCTCAATTCTACATCATCACGCACGCAGGTCCCGTGAGCAGCACTGTCGTTGGCCACCTGAAGACCGTCCTTGTCATCGCTCTGGGCTGGATCGTGAAGCGAGAAGTTGTTGGACCAGAGAGCGCATTTGGGGTGACTCTTGCAGTTTTGGGAATCATGGGGTAAGTTGCACATACCCTTGACATCGCGTGTTCCACTTCTTGACCATCCGATTATAGCTATTCCTACGCGTTGTACCTGGAGCAGAACCGTCAGGGAAAGTGAAAGGTTGCAAAGCCCCATGGGGCCAGTAATCTGTTGTAATTAAAAGTATTACTATTTTGGGGATACTTGAGATTGCGATGTCGTCAGACTGTCAAAAGCCGACGGAGAAATTGCCCCGCGGACTTTTGTCTTATTCAACGACCAAGGGTTAATGAAGCATCGGTTGTTGTTCCACCGGCTCGCTCCTTAGTTGGGCGCTAAAATTGTTCGGTCTCTCCCCTTCTATCTCGAGAGCCGAGTACGAGGTACTTACCGATGCAGCCTCCTTATAATAAGGGGATTTCAACTTTGTCATACCATAAATTGCTGCACGTTTCAGATTATGCAGAGAGACGGGGCCTTTTCTCGCTCAATAATAAGCAGACCCGTCTGAGGACCCTTTATCATGACGCCTCTAGATAGCTCCCAAGCTTCCAGATACCATCGATATCGTCTGGCTAAGATCTAGCCTACCAGACGATGATTCTACTTTCCTCTGATGAACCCAGTGAACAGTATTAATTCCCATAAATGTATCACCAAGGGCTTTCCTGGCCTAGGAATGCACAGATATTATTTGAATCTGAAACCCTTTTATTGTTGTAATGGACAATCTAAACAATTTCTAGTAATAATCATAATGCGGTTGGCAGTCATCATACTTGCATGAACACAACGACGAGTGCTTTCCACAACTCGATTCCGACACATTCAACAGGCGGTATTGCGTGTAAGAAGTGGCATCCGCGTCTTCCTTCTCATTTTCGGCATGCCTCAGATCATGCTCTGCATCCGTATGAGTCGAATCCGCGCCACCGCTTTCCTGCTTCTCGGGTTCTAATGTTGAAACCTTCTCACCTTCTTCAGCTAAGCGGGCTATAGTAGGTATCGCACCACTCTGCCCTACCTCGGCGTACCATCCGAACTTTCTCCACACAATGTCTGATAGAAGTGAATGAGTTTTGTACTGATGGACACCGACTTGAACCTCGCCCTTTTCGTTCAACATCTCACCCCATTCGTTAAATGTGACCATGGGCGTAGTACCCACACTACCAAAGAGTGCTTCATCGTTGGGCACAAGTTCGGCCTTTCCAACACCGTTGTGTCGCAGCTCCTTATCCAAGAGATTTGAGTAGTAGATGTGGATATGCATCGCTTGGTCATTGCATCGATAGAGTGAGACTTTCAACTGAGAAGCCATTGTGTCCATGTACACCTTGATCGCTCGTGCTGTCCCGTAGACGGAACCGGCGCAGATACGATTTTTATGCATGTAACTGAGCGTCTGCTGAGGCGAGACGAAAGAATCAGTCTCAGGACTCGCGCATTGATTGAACCATCCAACGTGAACTGAGCACTGGCCAATTCTGAGTCCTGCCCATTCAGCAAAATAGAGCAACTCAACATTGGTTTTCATGTCCATGCTGAAGGGATTTCGTTGGAAGACTACATCTAAGTCGCATGCCAGGACTCTTTCATACTGTTTTTCATGCTGGTTCAGGTAGTCTGACCAACCTTGAAATCGTCGTAGCACGACCGCAACATCCTTGATCTCTGGCAGAATGCCGACGAAATCCAAGGATGGGTATCTTTGCTTCAACGCTTGGAAGCCACTAGGGAGGTCTTGAGCCAGGTTCTCTGGCACAATGATTTTCACCTGTACTGGAGCCGCAGGGCAACTATTGCTGCGCTGCCGTTGAAGCGCTTCTTCGCTGACTGCAATTTCAAGTGATTGCATGAAGATAAAGATTTGGTCCTGCCAACTCGGTCCATCTATGGCGCTGAGAATAAGATTGGGCTTGAGCTCCGGGCAGGCAGCCAGAGTGTGGACTGTAATCGAAGGATGTGAAGTCACAGTTGACAATGGCTTTGTATGATTGGGAGGGAGGGAGACGGAGACTGTTGTTGAGATGCTTGAAGTCGGTCTCAGATGGTATTGAGATTTCAGTTGGCTGAACTGGTCCCCAGACTTTTGTTGGAGAGTAGTCCAATACTCATTAGAATCCGAGTTTGAGTGAATAATAGCGCCATTTTGGTACAAGTATATAAGAGAAAGAAATAGAACCGTTATCCCAACATATGATGGCAGTCGCGAAAAGAAAAACATGGTCCCAGTGAGTATCGAGTGAAACTATTCGGGCATACACCAGACTGAACGAGACAGCAGGTCACCATCTTGAAGGGTTGCAAATAATTTGAGGAGGATAGTACAGTGCAAGGCTGACAAGCTCAACAGGGCAAGTTGTTCGCTATTGGCTAGTCGCATCCAATTCAAAGTCAATTGGGGGAGTGAAGAAAGAATCTTTCACGGTCATTACAAAGAGCACGGGCCCCTTGAAAACACTGTCAACCTTTTCAAGCACCCGACCTCCACAGAGTCTCACCCGAAGGGTGTCTCGAGTCCTCAGGATCTGGACTGTATCTCGGTTACAGGATCAGTGTTGCAACCATGAGAGAAAGAACCTCTCGGGTGCCATTTTGGCTTGGATGCACTGTTGCGGGAAGGAGCTCTTTTGGCGGCTACTTGGGCCAGGCACATCCTGGAGGCTTTGCACCAATGGAGAGGACTCGTGCTTCCACATTCGGAAGACTCTCCATCCGCCATCGTGCTCAGGTCCTCTTGGACCTTGCCACATGGCGTTGCTGTCACCATGGTATGAGGGCACCCGGAGTTCTGGTTGAGAGACTTTGGACACTTTGACACTTTGACGTGCCGTTCAGGCTCAGGTGGGTCGTATGACGCTTCGTCCATGATGGCAAGAAAAATGCCGAGCTCCATCTTCCATCCGTGTTCAGGGTTCCCCGATGAGTGTAATTGAGGCCAGTGCTTTTCGAGCTGGGCCACCATGATTGTCGAGAAACAGATCCTGATCTCCCCATAGCCTGATGGTCACGCCGGGGGTCGCCAGCTCGAGCTCGAGCTAGTGCCCCATGGCACTCATCTAAGGAGCGGGATGCATTCGTCCGGGTGATCGATTCTTTTGTTCCTGGGAGCCAGACGGGCTGGTCTCGTTTCCTTTCCTTGGACTTCGTCTGCTATCCTCACCTTTTCCACTTCGTCGTTCCTCGCCCCAGCTTACATTGTCTGGCCATCAACACAATGCCCCTCAGATTGATGTCCCCTCCAGCAGATAGGAGTGAGAAGACTCCTTACAACCCTAGTAAGGCATCTTTCAGCCTGACGGCTACGTCGAAGAGATACGTGCGGAAAGTCTTTTTCGCCATCGTTACACTCATTGTCCTCTATAACCTCCTACACATTAGTCGCAGCACCACTTTACGGATTGAGTCCTCGACATATGGATTGACACTTCTGAAGCCAGCTGAGAAGCATACTGGCAGCTTCCTTCCTTTGGATGAAGCCCAGTCTCTATGCGAGACGCAGAAGTTCCAGACTTACCCTGAGCGGGAGAAACATCGTAAAATATACGATTTGTTCCTGATCGGTACGGAGCTGGACTGGCTGGAAATTCGTCTCAATGAGCTTCATCGCCATGTAGACTACTTCGTGATTGTTGAGTCATCACGAACATTTACAAACCATCCGAAGCCCCTTCACTTCAAAACCCACTTTCACCGATTTGCGAAATTCGCTCCGCAAATTATCTACCACACAATCGACTTCCAGGGTATGGAAGAGAATTCTACATGGGAAAGAGAGCGCTACCAGAGAGACTCCATGTTGGACGTCGTGTTCCCCAGCTTGATCGGTGCTCAAGCACCAAGCCTAGGAGACGTCATCTTGGTATCGGATATTGACGAAATCCCTCGCCCTTCCACTCTGACACTTCTTCGCAATTGTCTCTTCCCCGAAAGAACCACCCTCCGCAGCCGTTTCTTTTATTATTCCTTCCAGTGGGAGCACGATGGAAGTGATTGGAACCATCCACAAGCAACATTCTACCAAGGCAGCTCCACGGTCAAGCCGGAAGATCTTCGTATGGGAGCGGGAGACTGGGATATCTCCAATTCGTCCTGGCACTGCAGCAGCTGTTTCGAGACAGTGGCACAGATGGATGACAAGATTGGCTCATTCTCGCATACAGAATACGACCAGCCAGAGTTCAGAGATCCGGCCGAGATTGTGCGGCGCGTACGCAACGGGCTTGACCTGTTTGACCGCGAAAGTGAAAAATACAACAAGGTGGACTCGCGGGTTGATCTGCCGTCCTACTTGAAAGCGAACCAGGAAAAGTTCTCCTTCATGATCGACCGCGACCCGTTGAATGCTAACTTTCGAGACTACCCCTGAACAGCATGGTCCCGTGGGATAAAGCTTACTCTTTACTGGTTAATGTGTTCGGCGTACTAAGTTCTCGGCACTTGGAGGTCCAAGGAGAGATGTACGGGAGCTTCGGATCAATCGGCGCTGACGGTGTTTGTCCGTGTGGTTGGAAACTTCGGTACGAACCAGTTGGAGGATCATTTCATTCAATTTGAGAAAGACGTTAAATCCACGCAAGGCGCTATGATGCATATTCTGTGGGCATTAAGTAGCGTTTCAACCAATGGAAACGCGTAACCATCAGGTGATTTCCTACCCCTGACCCCGATCCCCCCTCCTTTCAGGTGTTCATGTCGCGCGAGGCGGTCTCCTGTTTATGTCCAGCGTACCATGCCCAGTACGGAAATAGAGGCGGCTTGGTGCCTATCCAGAGACATAAATAGACATGCCATTTCGCAAGCAGAGGCGGGGAACCTTGTAAAGCTGATCGAAGGTATACAGTACGAGGTATATGTCCATACAATAGCTGTCAAACCCGACAGTGGTTTTCCTTCCTAGCCACGTATACAAGACGAATGCCTCTAGACCTGGCAAAATACCGTGCGAGTAGTCAACGCCAACAGCAAGAAGTTCTCCGTATCACCTTTCTTTGTTTTAGGGCGGGCCGTTTTACCCCTGGTGCCTTGCATTACGGGGTACTTCCTTGGCGATTCGACAGATTTTGGGGCCAAATTTCCAGGTTTCGAAAAAAATCACTGAATGACCAGCTAAGTCGCGATTACGAACTTCCTTCTAGAGAATTCGTGATCTACAATGTGTTTGAATGTGCCGATCATCCGTAGCCTGGTCTTAGGAGGCCTTGGAGGGAAATACCTCCGCAATGCACCTTAAATAACTTTTTAGTTTACGAAGTCATGAAACCATCATCGGCCAAAATGTTAAAAAGTCCTCGGGTACAGACGAAACAGCTCGTAGCTGGCGGCCTAAAAGGCCCTCGTTGATTGCATTGATGATTCCCCCATCTCGGTGGATCTGCCCCGTTTATTCAGACTTGAACGCGACGAATTGAAATGGCAGCGCGTTGAGGGTGAGCATACCTTGTTAGGAAGAGATTCGAGAGCTCTCAACATCGTAGAATTTCAGCACCAGGCAGGTCAGAGGCTCGCCCATCAATAATGCGAATCGCTTCAACCGAATCCATGGACAACACATTGGACGAGTTATATTGAAGCGGGAACGTGATGAATATACACGCCCCATAAATTACGAAGTGTTACAAATCCATCCAGCACAGGGACTAGACGTCAAGTTGTCGCTTGACGTAGTCATCAGACCACACTGCAGTGCATGACAGCTGTGAGATCTGATGCCTCCGAGGTAGGCGCGGTGTTCAGTAAAGTGTATACGATGCACTGCTCGATCATGTCTATGGTTAAAAATCAGTTAAGGCCGTGGAGAGACCCACAAAGGCATCCGGTTTTTGGTTGTGTAGCATGAAATCAGCTCATTTGCTTCCTGCTGTGAAAATCGGATTGGCTTTTCGTACTGGACCAGAAAGGTCACAGCAAATAGCTAAAGCGTAATAGCTGCGTGATCAAGCAGGGAAAGGAACAGAAGCCACTCTGAAAGGTTGCAGGGCTTCTCCACCCATCACTCTGTTGTCTGTCTGCCTTTCTAAACACAAGGAAGAGAGAGAACGAGTGGTCGGAATAAGAGTTGTGTGACTTTGGCAGATGACTTGGCTCGATCATGTGTCATTCTGTTGATCATGTGATAATCGCCAAGGCGTTCTAGGCTCATGGAGACCTGGGTATAAAGTGGCTTTGTTGTGGCTCGCACTCAGTTATACCTCTGAATCCTGCTGTAGTCAATCGCCTTCGACAGTCACGATCACACAGCGAGGCTGCTATGATACCCAAACACGAAGCAGGTCTAATTGACTAATAATATATTGTGCTCTCTTGCTCCATAGATTCCTTAGCGGCCAAACTTCAGCGCGGCTTCGCTATTGTTAACCCCGTTCATCGGTTTAAGGTCCTCATTCCAGCAAACCACGTCTCCACGGTCACCATCTTTGCTGAGATGTCACTCGTCAATAACTCGTGTCCCCAATGCCTTAATCGTGATGGGAAGATTAGTCCCCAAGATCACCAAATCCCCTGCGTTATTTCCGCATCTCATAAGAGGACCTTAACAAGTACACCAAATCAAAATTCTCCAGATGTTGCTGATGTCTAGATGCTCTCCCTGCTATCTCAGTCTTCCCCCTTGCAACGACTTGCAGCCCGAATCTGAGAGTCTACTTCCACCTTCATCATGCTGTACGACGTCGTGATCATTGGCGCTGGGCCTTGTGGCTTAGCTGTCGCCTCAAGACTAAGGGAATCTACTCCAGCAGCATTATTTACAGACGATGAGCACGAGAGGTACTGGAAGCGGTTCAATATTTCAGGAACTATCGAGACTGAAAAGAAAACTGCTCGAAAAGGTCGCGGCAGAAGCATCTCTGGCTCTTCAGCCCAATGCAAAAGATCGTGTGTTGTCCTTGATGCGAGCGGCTGTGAATGGATGGCGGCATGGCGTACAAGGTTTCGGAATCTCAAGATCGACTATCTGAGAAGTCCTTTGTTCTTCCATCCTGATCCGCGAGATCGGGATGGCCTCTTGGCATTTGCCCATTTTATGGATCGCTCCGGTGAACTGGAAGAGATTCATCATGTCGTTGGCAAGGAGATCAGCAAGCACAGAGCCAAGAAACAGCGCCAGAAGTAGAGTCCTATCCCGTTCATTGTTAGGATGGCAGTACTGACTGGAGAAGGAAAGTAAGTCGACACCTGAGAATCGATGATCACGATCGGATAGATTACTACACTCCATCTAGTAGGCTGTTTGATGACTACTGTGACGACATCGTCAAGCGGTATCAGTTGCAGCACCTCGTTCATCATGCTCAAGTCATGGACATCACATACGGGGATGTAGGCGATCTCTCTAACAACGACATATTTTCCATTACTACGAACAGAGGACTCTACATGGCGAAGACTGTTGTGCTAGCAGTGGGTCCAGGCGCAAAACCTTGCATCCCGCCAGACTGTGGCCTGCTACAGAATCAAGAAGGAAGCCTCTGCCATTGCTTCGATGCTAATGGTGGTACCCACATACCTGACCACGTGAAACGGAGGATTTCAGCGGGACTGCCAACACATGTTGTTGTAGTTGGAGGCGGGCTGACGAGTGCTCAAATCTCCGATCTTCTACTGCGCTATGGCGTGAGCAAAATATGGTTGCTCCTTCGAGGCAAGTACAAGCTAAAGCATTTTGACGTTGATCTCGAATGGGTCTCAAAGGTGCGCAACCAGCAGATGGCGGTCTTCTGGTCAGCCGATACAGATGAAGGTGGGTCCAAATCGAAGCATGGTACTCCCTTGGCTCCAGCTCTTTGCTCTACGAGTAGAGCTCCTAGCTGACAACGACCACTAGAGCGCTTCGAGCTCCTGAAAGAAGCTCGAAACGGAGGCAGCATAACACCCAAATTCGACAAGATTCTTCAGCAGCACGTGTCGCGAAAACGTCTCGAAACTCTTCCCTATACTCAAATCGACAACGGTACTTGGAATAGGTCCAATCAGACCTGGAGCATAAAACTCTCAAGAGATGTCCCCGAGTTCCCGAGGCACATAGATCACATCATATATGCTACTGGAGTGCCGCCGAAGGTGGAAAACGTTGGCTGTTTGCAACAGCTCCTCGAAGAGCATCCCATTGAGACAATTTCCGGTCTAGCCAAGATCACCGATGACTTGATGTGGAATGCCGAGGTGCCGCTGTTTCTGACCGGTGGTCTTGCGGGTCTGAGACTTGGACCCGGCGCAGCTAACCTAGCTGGGGCCAGACAAGGTGCTGAAAGGATTGCGTGGAAGATCGACGAATTATTGGGCACTGCCTCCTCGAATGAAGATATCAGAGCAAAAGGGGAGTGTCATGGTAAGTGTGAGGACTCAAGCGTTACGCGGCGTGGAAATCTTCGATTGAGGGATGAAAGATTGGCGCAACTTGAGAACAGAAGTGAGTTCACTGGAGGGTTCGCAAATCAATTTGAGGTGCTAGCCTTGCATCACGATTAAGAAGCGTTTCGACCTTACCCAACACGAGTTCTCCCTTCTATCACGTGGTATGGACAAAGGCTCTTAGCGGCGCGCCTGTTGATCATATTACACGCGACTTAGGTAACTATCTAGCACCTCTCAGCTTCAATCAATGGCAAAATCCCCATATCTCCTACTGGCTTTTTTCTCAATAATGCCTCGTGTCCAAAAGCTGGTGTGCGTGCACTCGAACATGACTCGCCCTCACCTCTCAAGATTCAGGGGTATGGTGTGATGCTCAAGCAACGATCATGTTCCAATTGATTGCTCCTGTTACTATCGACAAACCTCACAAAGTGTACCTAACCCACTTATTGTCTAGCTCAGTGATGTCATGCATTCCGCTCCCGATGGCACCTTTCTCTAGGTCCGTGTCAACAGTACCTGTTGCCGCTGCTTCTTGGTCGCGTTTCTTGCTGACGAGGCACATGGAAATATAGAAGACAATGATGGCCAAGAGTTTGATTATGTATCCAATCATCTAGACTGCACGATGTTTAGTAGCAGGTCGAGGAACCACTTCAAATACCACGGAGGAAAATGATAGTGAAAGAATGGGTATCGTGTTGACTTCATGGCCTGAGCCGGTCAGGTGAAGTGATATGGGACAGGCAAGATTAAAATATGTGGAGTGATGCCCAGGGGCTTCGCTATCCTTGAAAGTCTGAGGTCCTGAAACAACACCAGGTCGTTTCCCCTGCTAGAGAAACCAGCAAGCTAGCTTACCGGTGATATTTCCAACACAATAGCTGGTGAAAAGAACGGCACCGGTGAGTTATTTTTTTGGACAGCCAGCAACGTTCGAGCTGACCATAGTCAAACTCTCGCTGAAACCGAGGCCTTGGAAATAGCACAGCTACAGGCCAACCAGACGGCCCCATTGGTTGCTGCTGTTGGGAGATCCCACCAGGAGTGCAGACCAATGATGCATAGTATTCGCTGCGATCATCGCGATGCGCGCGTCTTGAGAGACCTAGAAGAAATGAAGCCACCTCCCAGTAGAACAGTAAATTGCACGCCACCTCCTGGAATCTGAAGATACTGCCTATCTAGTGTATATACGTGGAAAGACTTTATGACAAGCGTTTGATCACGACATTCGCCGTTTCTCAACTGGGTAAATGATCTCCACCGTTATCGACAATGCGTCAATATTCAAGATTGCGCCAGACCTCGTCTAGCACGCGAATTAGTAGCGTATAAAAGTTCCTAATCCTATAAAATCGAAGAAGGGAGGCGGATAGCTAGACTGGGAAATATCATAAATAGCTGAATGGGATTGGTGGTGACTCGGCAAATCTTCCTCGTGGAGATGAGTAAGGCTTGAACACCGGCGGGTGGGAGTGATACCTGGTCGACAACGGTCACGTGACTATCCTGCCAATGGAATATCCTTTCATCAGGCCCGGGAAATCACTGTGAATGGCCCTCTTCGAAGATCATCCAAAAAGAAGAAAGTAGCACAAGCAGTGCTGTTGAGACAGGCCACGAATAATGCGAAGGGCGAACGAAGGCGTACGCTCGAAACGAGTCTGATGCCTAAATATTAATTCAATCAACGGCGGGGACAGTGCTCAGCGCTCCTTCGAAGCCTTATCGACGTCCAATTGATGGGGCTCGTGCAAAGGCTAAAAGGTTCACTCATTAAGCTGCAAGGCACAGCTAGTCGCCTGGACCGAAATCTTGACGTATTAAGCACTGAGGCTGAGTGGCACTGCAATTATGGTTTTTGGGTATACCACTCAGCGAGCGAGTGCACAGGTTGATTTGGTACCGTCCGAGGCCGTTCGCAACGAATGAAGTCGTCCTTGATAGGAAGAACGTTGATTTCAGGGTCGGAAGTCCCTGCTTGAAACCTTTGAGACTGAATCACCGGCTTTGATAGGCTATAAACAGTCATCCTGTCGAAGAGGTCATCAAGAGCCCGATTGGTGAACGGGGTGTTGATGTCGAACATTGACAAGAGGTCCAAGGCTAGAAATAGAGGGTGCTTGGCAACATTAAGCAAGACCAGGGCCAGAGTGCACCGTTACCACACTCCGCGTGACCTTGTGCAAGCTGCAGCAGAAAAGCGAGTGCGTCGACAAGGCAATCAGGTGGGCTTCCACTGCCAGACACTCCACTCGCAAAGACCTTCATCGTCCCAACTATCGTCGGTGGCTTGTTCTCTTCCCTCCAAAATGCATTCTAGCCCCTTAGCCTCGAGGATTGCCCATATCTCTCGGATCTGGTCGAGGTAAGCTACACGCATGGCCCAAGTCATTATCACGCGTGCCGAGGGACCAGGTGCTAGCCACCTGAATATGGCTTTGGACAGCAATTCCGGATGGTCTTCCGAATACATCGTGTCCGCTGCAAGGATAACTTGGGCTTTATCCTGATCGGCCGAGATCTTCTCTCCATCCCCAGTAAAGAGAAAATCAGGTTCATTCCAGTCGAGAGATCCGCAGTTAACCAGGTTTTTGACGAGCGCGGAATTCAGGCTGATGTTGGTCGACAGTGCGGGCAGAATAGGAGCAAGATCGGTCAGATACACAGGTTGCTCCCACAAAGAAGCGGCCGTTAAGCCTACCAAGCCTGTACCTGCCCCTAGCTCTAAGACCGGAACCCTAGAGCGTGATGAGACGATGATATCAAGCTTGTGGAGGAGGCTAGCGAGAATGAAACTCGAGGTCCATGTAACGAGAGTCAAATTCTGCGCTCTCAGCGCAGGTTCTTCAATATGCACCTCGGTCACCGAGCCATCGCGAGATGGGATCAAGAATGACCGCGTCATTGCCTAGACAGACCTTGTGAAATGGATGCCACACGACCTTCCTCCCAAAAGCCTCAAGTCAAGAATTTCCCAGAGACAGAACTATGCTTGGCGCCAAGCATATGTCGCCGACTTACCGAGGCACCACAGCCTCTGCTTCCCCTTTTCACTGGAGCTTTTGCGTCGACATGTGAAGCTCTCCCATCTTCGCTGAAGGCTTTCGCTTAATGACGGCCTATTACACTTTCTGACTACCGAGTACTCTGTACCCGTACCCCAGAAGATGTTCAATCCGCAAGACAACGGCGGTCGTGTGGGGTCTCTGCGCTACCCGTGAGTTTGTCGACAATCTCGTTAGATTTGCTCTCATGTAGGTGGGCCAGAAGAACTCTTGATGCTACAGCAGCAGCATCGATTGATAATGCAAACACGATCAGCTCCTGAACAGCTTGAATAGCTGTTTCATACCATCCGCCTCACGCTCACCACTTCCTCGAGCATAAACTCTTTTTGAACGGCATGGCGCACATGGCTCGGACGTGCGCTTCCTGATTTAGCACAACGACCGCTCAGTCTCCACAGTGTTTTCCTTCTCTCGAAGGTGCCTGGCAATCATTAATGTCGATCTAAGGCCATCCTCGGCGATTTCAGACATCCTGAAGTCCAAATGCACATCGGGCTGATGTCGTCGAGATGAGAATGATCCCACGAGACTTGATAGCTTGGTGATCAACTCCAAACCTGGAGATACGCTTCGGTCTCGGGAGTTTGTATCGTGACGACGTTGCGTCAATTTGAACCAAGAGTTTGCTTCCGCAGGATGATCTGCCTAGTGAGACAATTCTTCGGTGTGATGTTGCCGTCCTTCGCCTATACCCCTGCAAGGGTTTCATCCTTGCAATATCTTGAATCCAGACCTTGCTGTCGGGGCCTTCATCCCGAATTTAAGAGAAGCGGAGGGGACCTCCACGACTCCACAAGCAAGACAGAAGCAAAGTAAGTGAAAGCAGGGGAAAGTGGTTCTTGCGTGAATAGTCTCTCTGAGACTTGCGGGGTTGGACCCGCGAAAAGTAATTATACCTGAACCTTTCCCCATGCTTTCTTGTCATTGATTCCAATTCAAAATATTCTGGAAAGCTGCAAACTTATGGGTCCCGTGTCCATGTCATCGATTGTGGAGTCTGTAGCAAGTCCGCCGGCAAGTTGGCCTGCTCCTAATTACGAAAACCCAGAGACACGTGGGCACGCTGCTTTCTTCATCGTCACCTCGGTTGTTACCACGGTTGTGGTTGCTCTAAGATTGTACTCTCGACATTACATCCTTAGATCTGTGGGCATTGATGATATACTGCTCCTTGCAGGTTATGTACGTGCAGTTCGATTCGTGCTTGCAGTACTAATATTGCTAGGTATTCTCAATTGGCCAGACTCATGCTGAGTACAAGGCCATGACAACATGGGGTTGGAATACGCACCTTTGGGATATTCCACCCAATCGTGTCGCCTATGTTCGCCTCGCCGCCTGGCTGATTGAGTTCTTCTTTCTGGTTGGAACTGCGTGCACGAAAATTTCCATCCTTCTAGTGTATCGAAAGATATCGTCAGGTACTCACACGTTTTGGTTTATCAGACTGACATGGGCTGCCATCGCATTTACAGTATTATATACGGTCGCTCTCTTATTGGAGATCTTCTTGATCTGCCGCCCTTTGAGTTCGTACTGGAACTCCTACAATCCTGCCTACTCCAAGAAGTTCCAATGTGGCAATGAACGTGCTCCTATCATTCTCGGCGCAGCTGCATCAGTTTTCTCCGATGTTTATGCCTCCGCACTGCCTATGTCGCTGACTGCAAGGCTGTCCCTCACAACCCGACAGCGTATAGGCTTATATGTTCTCTTCTCTGCCGGCCTCCTTACTGCTGTCGTCGGGTGTGGAAGGCTCTACTTCCTCTCAAAAGTTACTATAAATTATCAACCCGGTCCTGACACCTATGACACCACCTGGCTGGGCTGGCCAACTTTCGTGAGTTTCCCGCCTCCCTGGACGATCAGCGCTAAGAGTCAGCAGGCCTTAACTGATCTGGAAGCCCATCTAGCCATCATTTGCGCTTCAGCTCCCGCCCTGAAAGCGCTGTTCAAGCGGCGGGTTTCTCCTCAACTATCCAATATTCATGCATCCATTCGGACGAATTCTTTTCGCCGCGCTCCATCTCGCTCATACCGAACGAACGGAAGTCATCATTCGGAGTCAACGAAACAACCGCATGCACGTTCTTCACATGCAACATTTGAGTCCGAATCACCTGCTATCAATGAGTGCGAGCAGGACATTGAAAGCCTTTCTCTTCAAAGCTACAATTTCGATAAGCCATTGGCATCTCGGGCAGTCCGTATCGGTGAGCTGCAACGGCGATAGAATGATCGATAAGTCGGTATGGCATATCATATCCCAAATCTTCTCTTCCGCACAGCTCATTGGTCACAGTTCAATAACTTGGCATGTGATTGGTTAGCAGGGCAAAGGCCGCTTTCACTTGAAATGTCAGCCATACAGAGGAATCGGGATTTAGGAATTTTAACTTATGAAGCTACGCAACTTTCCGCTACGCAACTTTCCCATGGTGTCCCAGTCGTTGAGGCGTGTATTATGTGTTGGTATGTATCAGCACTAACCTGGAAATGTTCGTGGGAACGAGAAGCCACAGATTAATGACTTGAAGTGCTCAATTTTCATTGTTTGCCAATTGTCTTCCATGTCTGCGAGAGAGTTATACTCAGCGTACAACACTATTCAATTTCTAATGACGAGTATGCAAATGCCAAATTATGTCACATATACCCAACTATTAGTCCAGCCTTAATGCAAATCAACCTCCTCGAGCTAGGCACCAGGTGCAGGCGACCTTCTCTGCAAGAACGCATCCGTCCGAAACAGCCCATAGGCACCGCCAGCCGTGTCGGCTATCGTAATCGTTGGAGCTACTGTAACTTGAGGTGCGAATAACAAGTCCTTGCACCAGCAACCAAGCTTTTTGAACTTAGCCCACCACGACGCTTGGACCACCGGATTATCATAGCAACCACCAATCAAAAGGCATTGAGATGAGCATTGACCACCGTCTCTGCTAAGAAACGGCCAAATCGACGTATTCATGAGTAGTTTGCGATAGCATCTGTCATTCAATGGTCTGGACGTCCTTCGCTCATCCGTGCACAACAAGTCTATATCGGCAAGATCATTGAAAAATTGATTTCACGGACCAGGACGAGCATTGTTTCACAAGCTTCGGGACAAGCACGTGTTTTGATCGTGGTGTTTATGATCTTTCTAGGTCGTGGATGATTCTCGAGATGCCTTTCTTCTCCCTCTGGCATCGTTGCAGGCACAAAACTTATGGATATCGCATGCCTGATCGCTGTGACGCTCGGTGTCTTGGTCGGCAAAGGCACAGCAGAGTCAGTCACCAAATGTGGCAATTCTGGACCCGACAGCTACTACAATTCGACTACTCTCCCCTACGTCTGTACGTTAACATTCAGGTCAGAACTTTGATTTGAGCCGGCCCTGACGTCAACATTCAGTTTACAACAATCCATAGGGAAATGACGAGTCTGGATTCTCCTGCATGACAGTAGGGAGGAGTCGGCGAGTTTCCCTCAGAGAAAGAGATTGACGGCTTTTACAGGTCAAAAACAACGGAACCGCTTTCGATGCGACGTGGCGATGGCTCAACAACTCCGACAAAATCCACGCCTATCCTCACTTTAAACTCGACTCTACTTTATACCCCTTATCACTCATGGAGCTATCAGCGGTGGAGTTTACTGGTGACTGGGGCGTCAATGTGACGTCGGCATTAGGAGAAAATACGAAGACCCGACAACAAGCGTTGAACGACAACAACGTCCAGTATAATGTGGCCCTGGGCATGTTCCTCGACGCGAACGAGACGCAGGCGCAGGCAGATCTACCACATTACGAGGTCATGGTGTGGCTGTCATATTCCTATAACGTCTATCCAGTCGGCATAGATACTTCCAGCCTTGACAAGGATCAGTATATCGTGAATGGAACCAGATTGTAAAATTACCTCTCGAGTCGAAAGTTGAGTAAACATTTCTTTTCCACAGGAAAGCTAACGCATATCATCTTTCAGCTTCCTATACCATGGAAACAACACTCAGGGCCAGACGGTCTGCTCATGGCTCCCGGAGAATAATCTTACCCACACGTCCGGCGACTTCTCTCCTCTCGTTCACTATCTCTGGCAGTTTAACTTCATGCCGCAAAATATCTACTTAGGCACGATACAGTTCGGCACCGAGACCTTCCATGCGACGAGCGAAGTCTCATTCTCTGCCGGTAACTACAGTTTGAGCATAAGCCATGATGAGAATCTGCAAGTGCCGAAGCTTGAGGCTCCAAAGCTGGTCAAAATCCCGGATCAGGTACCGACGATGGCAAGATTTGAAAGTGGAGTGAGTCCTGGCGCGTTACATCGGCCGTGCTTGATGGCTTTCTTGATTCTGTCGACGCTGCTGGTGTTGCACTGTTGAAAAGCTTCAGGTGATCAAGGAGCCATACCCAATAAATTTTCTCAAGTCTACCAATCACTACGTGACAATAGACCCAATCTGTCAATTACAAGTCTCATAATCTTAAGGTCTTGAATTCTATGCGAGATGCCATAATTGGTCTTCTAGGTGATCTTAGAGGTAGATTGAGTCACCACAAGCCACAAGAAGTATTGGGGTGTTGCCAGAATCATCGAAACTCTTGATGTTCTTGAACTTTTCACTCATACTCTGCGGTTGACTTGACATCACTGTAAATGCTTCCCATACAGGACAAAACCTACTTGTCTAAGCCTCAAGCTTAGTGATACAAGACTGTGTTCATGTGCTTGCTATATTTCAGTATACTAGCTGTTTATCTAAGCCACTCACATACAACCGTTTTGAGCATCTGAGTATGCATCTAGAAGATGTACAGATGAGTCTTGTCGGATTTTCAACGAATGTCCATTTGCTAATCTTCCTTGCCAATGTCGGCGCTGCAAGGAAATTCAGAAGCGATTGGCGATCTTGCCAACAACGCTGGTGCGACGCGCGCCCTGAACAGCCTGACTCTGGCGGCGAATCGTCTCAACGAATTCCTTGTCGTTATCGACGTGCCCGTCAAACGACCATAACGAAGGGCAAGGACCGATCTTGCGGCGGAAGATTGTTGTTTTGATCCACCATGGGAGAACTGTTCCAACTTGATGGCGCATGAATGTACGTGTGGGAATCGCAAAGATGTAGTCAAGCTCCTCCTGTTATCTGTGATTAGCAAAGTGGGAAATTTCCAGAGATGTTGGAGACATACCAGGGTACGCTGCTTGGTTTCTGGGAGGAACAAGAAGATCATGATAAGAGCAATAATGTTCAACCCGGCGTAGAAGCCAAACGCACCAGTCGGAGTCATGGCTGAAAGCATACGTGGGAAGGTAATGGAAAGTACAGCTGCCCAGAAGAGGCATGTCGCCACTGCCCACGCCATACCAACTTCACGATGCGACAGTGGGAACACCTCAGCGGAATACGTGAAAGGCACAGGGCCTTCACCTGGCGAGTAGAAAGCGGCGAACTAAATTTTGGTTAGATGGCTACTAAATATACGCACTGTGAGTTGCACTCACTAGGTAGATGAAAAGAGCTACAAGGCCCAGATGTGCTTTGTTGCCTTCGGGAATGAGATAGCAAAGACCAGCTGCTAAAAGCGTCCATGCCATTTGCGGGAAAGTAAACAGAAGTAGAGATCGTCGGCCAAAGGTGTCAATGGTCCAGATGGCAGGCCAAGCGAAAACGAAATTGACAAGACCGAACCCCCATGATGCTAAAAGCGATTCTGTGACAGATGCACCAGCCTGCTCGAATACTGTCGAACTGTAAAAGGCGATAATATTGACTAAAGCTAGTTAGCCACTATGTGTGAAGATATTCTTGGATCTTGAGAAGGCCATACTTCCACACATTTGCTGAGCAATCATGACAGTGAAGGATGCCAGAGTCGCCCGACGGACACGAGGGATGGTGAAAAGTTGGATGAACCGAGTAACATAGGTGGTCTGCCTCGAAACTAAGGTTGCTTCCATCTGAAGTTGAGCGTAGATATAGTACAAGTCACGGGCCGCTTGAAGTTCGGTGTTTCGAAGACGCTTGAGCGACTGGAAGGCCTTGCGGTAATAACCCTTCTTGATGTACCAGCGGGGGGATTCTAACGCCGTCAGCAAACAATGCAAGGCCGTGCTTGGAGACACCGCTTGCCTACCTGGACAGAAGTATATTCCGACAAGAAGCGGCAGCGCTGGAATCAAGGCAGATCCGAATTGAAGCCGCCAGGAAATGGCCCCTGTATCTTTGACTGCTAAGTTGGCACATGTGCCCAAGAAAATCCCAAAGGCTGTCCACATCTGCCAACTCATGACTAGTCCTCCACGTACAGCTGCTGGCGCATTCTCGGCACTGAAAATTGGTACAGTGGAGCCTTTACATCCCATTCCAATCCCGAGCAAGAGACGGGTGACCAGGAGTTGCTCCCAAGCTTTGATTGCGGTTAGAATAAGGAAACCGAGAAACAGCAGAACACTTACTTTGAGCGACAGCACTACCGATAGGCGCGAGGAGACAAAACACTGCAGAGACAAAAATCGTCCCACGACGTCCGAAATAGTTGTTCAAAGGGTCGGAGCACCAACAGCCACTGTACTGTGATCAGATCCTTTAATTTTTGCAGGATTGTACGCAGAACTTACAGGAAAGCGGATGCAATATATGGACCTGCGTTGATCAATCCCTGGTACCATTGATTCCGAGCTGCGTTTGGATTTGGCACGCCGTTAATGTCATCACTGATGGGTATCCCCAAGGCATCAGGAAACGATAAATTTGCGCCATTTGAGCCAGTCTGATCCCAGCCTTGAACGGCAGCGCCGACGGAGCAAAGAATGATGGTGAAGTATAACGATTTTGGTTGACGCCACTTGTGTAAAACTTCATTTCGGATGGCTTCTTTCTCAGGCTCAGTAAGCCCAGGAACCGATTCAAAAGCCGGAGGGTCTTTGGCGACAAGGGCACCTCTCACAAGGAGAGGCGACATGTCATTAAAATCATTATCCTTGGCGAAGTCTTCCACATTCTTGGTCACCTCTTCATTCGACAGATGAGCCAGAGGGTTCTTGATTCTTGATCATGTTAGTGACCTGGAATTTGTTCATGACGAGGACATACTTTGCTGCAGTACTGTTTTGCACATCTAGATGAGTTGTAGCCTCCTTCTCGCCAACATATTTCTCATCATCACTGTCAAATGTCAGTATGAGCCTAAGCATAGTGCTACTACACCTACTGCACCGGCACCTCCTGGTTGATATCTTCTTTGGTAGCCATGTTGGGCTAATATCTGCTTACAGGTAAATTGAAGATAGGACGAGACAAAAGTGCGCAGATAGCTTGCCTTTTAAGAGCTCCAGCTCCAGCTACCAGCTCTAGGCTGGGTAGCGTGAAGCCATGGATGATGGCCTCCGCGGCTCCTGCTTAAACCCTGATGATCATACATGATCAGGACATTGCAACTCAAGCCTCACAAACCCTGTGCGAAAAGGGTTCTTGGGCCCACAGTCATATTGGAGTCTGCCCAAGGGTACTGGTCTGACTGTGCACGAGACTTGATCTGATTTCCCCAGTCTATCGGGATATCCTGTTGGTGGACTGGATTCACGACTGACTGCGCTACTCCTTGGCTAGTCATTCAAATAGAAATATATCTGTTGATCAACGGGTCGTGTCCGGATCGACGTTGCAATGATGGAGTTGGTGGGCTGACCAAGGTTACTTGGCTGAAAGGCTTGACACCCTTGTCAGTTCTTGATTTTCGGCCACTCGGAGCCAAGCTTGCAGATTGCGGTGCTTAGCAAGGCGGTTATCATCTTGTCTGTCTTGGGTAAAGCTTTTGTCGCTAAAGCTTGCTGGACGGCTACCACGGCAGCTACCATGTCGATCACGCCCATTAGAATGTCCTTCTTCAGTACTCCGTAATCTGGCATTGGATCTCGCAGCTGGTTTCATCTGGTCTCGCACAATCAACAAACCAGGGATCGAAGTACTCCTAGGTGCGCCATTGTGTGATGGCACTGCTGTTGACTAGATCCATGGAGCTTTCATGGACAGCTTGACTTACTGTACCTTTCGGCACATCTTGCTGGAGTGCATCATCGGCTTTAGCTTAGTGGGCCACCCGTGGGGACTTTGTGGAGATCCTTTCGAGATTCTTCTAGTCCTTCTTAGTTAGTGGAGCAATGCTCTGTATGATGCCGATATCGTCTTCTCATTGACTCAACATATCGGCTATGATGGCCCGGCCACAGTCAAATGCTACCCTCATTAGCTTATGGCTGATTGCATAGAGCCCTGTTGTAGTGGGTACACGGCACGAGAAGCTAGAGCGTCATATGTCAGATTTCCCTTGGGTCAGCGTTGCTTTGTCTGCTCGACGTCACGATTGATTGCCTTGCACACAGCGTCCTGACGTCTTCGAGCATTTTACCATAGATGTCATTGTCACATGATCGCTGCAACAGCCTTCAGCTACATTTCGGAGAGCAAGACGACAAAGAACTATGCACCAAGTCCTAGGGCGCTTAAGCCACAAACGTCTTCTTCATACACGCGTCGCTCCACACAATCCTGTGGGACTAGGCTATTTGGTCTGCCACCTTTGGTCTGAATGGTCTGAATGGTTAGTGCATGGTCGCTACGGAATTAAGAGGCCTCAATTTCGACTGTTATGAAGAGATTACAGCCATGTATAAGGCGTCCAGAGTGTCCGGGGGGCTCAGACATGCATATACCCCATACTCCGCGCGGAAGGTGCACCCCTTTGGCATGGATGAATGTTTCAATATGGCTCGACGGGATGCCAGGACAGCGTATGGAGGAGGGAGTAGTTAGTGCGGCTAGTGTGTCTGATATGTACTCAGTCCCATTCCAGAATCTCTCGTGATATCATTGACCGTATCCCCAGATTGGAAAGCTGTTATCGCACATACGAGCCCTCGACTCTAGTCCCTGAACGATTGCGACGAGCATTACGCCGTATCGAGTACTAGGTGCATTCCATAGTGACCGGTTCTTCAGTCGCGTCATCCTCGAATTCATTACCCTGCGAGATCAGCGGTGCGAACCATAAGGGAGGCGGTCATACTGTGCGAGTCCACCAGTGGTAGATTAAAGTATCCGAGTTCAAGCAGTATTTCTCTCTTCATGGAATATAGGCGCTTGCAGGCTTACATGATTTAAAAAGAGTAACACTGCCTTTCCAATAGCCACGAATCGTTGTGTCTCCCATGTTTAATACTCTTGTGTCTCCCATCTTTCGCAGACGCTGCAGCCCGAGATGCAGGGGCACTAAGTGAGCAGCTCATTGTGAACGAAGATACCACCGGCCCAAAGACACGAATGCTGCAGGATGTATGGGGAGTATGATACTACGTCGCGGATCTACCACGGGACTTTGGAAATTCAAGGAGTTCTGTAGAGGCTCCACATTGGAATAAGGGAATACATCCTTGGAATAACTCCTATAACTCACGAAAAGTTATGTATTCACCTGGCGACTTCAAAGTTAATGATTCATAAGCCATCTAAGGATAATATGGTGAGCGGTTTTCAAGGTTGAGATCGTCATGAGATTGGAACCAAGACCAAGTAGACGACAGTGTTCTCTTAGTTCTCCGTAAGGTGAACCTCAGAGATTAGCTTACTGGTGTTACAAGACAGCTTTAGTACAGCCCGGCTAGAAACTCACACATGAGGATTGTCAGATTTGGGAGAGTTAATGCCAGTTGTTTAAAACCGAGGCAAACGCGGTTAAATATTCACGCAGGGCACGCCCACTCTCGGAAGGGAATAATCCGTCTTCCGAGCCCGACTACGGGCCGGAGGTCAGTCCCTACATAGCTATGTAATATTGAATTTGCTACCATTGATGAACTACCCTCTGTCCTCATGATTGGCATTCCAGACCTGGGAATGCCGAGATCATGTTAAGGACCCTTACGCCAGAAGTCATTGAAAGATCAAAAGTCATAGAACGATTTCTTAAGGTACCATGTTTGCAAGGCAGGCCGCGCGAAGCTGTCGATACGCCGATTTTCGCACCAACAGCCTTGTGTCCGATGTCGCCCAATTTAGCACCTCGCAGAATTTCCGGATAAAGCAATCACCCCTATCCCGACCTTTGCCGAAAGGCACCTGGGACAGCCATATGCATGTTGTCGACCCTGAAGTATTCCCCCTTGATGCCAGCGCCCAATATATACCTCATCCCCACACCTTGGCGGATGCCAAGGCGTTTTATTTTCAATTTGGAATCAAGAACATGGTGTTTGTTCAGCCGTCAATCTATGCTAATGACAACTCGTGCATGTTGACCGCCTTGAAAGAAGTAAACCCCAAACAGGGCCGAGCAGTCGTTAGCCTCGACCCTGCAACAGTCGACCAAGATACGTTACGAGAATGGCATTCCATCGGAGTCCGGGGAGTGCGACTCAATATCGTATCCGTGGGCCGAGAGCTTTCTGATACCGAGCTTCGAGCAGAACTGGAATCGTACGCTAGCATTTTGAAACCCCGAAACTGGGTGCTTCAGCTTTATATCCCAATGAGACTCACCACTCCTCTTGCAAAAATTGTGCCTGATCTCGGGCTCAAGGTTTGCATAGATCACTTTGGATGGCCGTCGCAATTAGAGCTACATGACCCATCTCGAGCAAATGATCCTTATTCGCTTGCCGGATTTGGGTCGCTTGTCCAACTCCTGCAGGATGACACATGGGTCAAATTATCTGCCCCTTACAGACTATCCAAAGACCCTGAAATGCGTGACCTTGATCCTATAGGACGAGAATTGATAAGAAAGGCACCGAATCGGGTCGTATATTCTACCGACTGGCCGCATACGAGATTTGACAACATTGATTCTGGGCTGTTCATTGAAAAATGCTATGAATGGTGCGGAGGTGACACTTATCTTATTGAGAGATTGTTCAGGAAGAATGCAGAAGAGCTTTGGGACGCGAATCATGTGGAATGAATACAACATGTGGGTGAAGTCACAATCTCTGACGCGATCAGACTCATCACGTAAACTCGATTTTGGAAATATGCGGAATTGCCTCGGTGCTACGTCCCTTTTCGTCAATGCAAGAAGCAAAGTGCCACTATGTTCCGAAGGTGCCTCGTGGTTTGCCTTTTCAGCGCTACCGTGGTCTTCATCAATGCGCTTTCTGGGTTTACGCGAGGACAAAGACAAGAGGTTCTGAATGCTGAGTTCGGAGTTTCTGCAGCAACCCCGAAATCGAGAGCAGTGCCACATTTCTCCCTCGAATAAAATGCCCACCGCCGTGGATATGGCTTCCAGGTCTATTCTTCTACCAAGGTCGGGCATGCACGGATTCCTTGACATCTCCAAAGATATTCGGGCTCCCACATGCCGGTCTTCAACCCCAATCTTCATTCCTTTCTCTTCCCAGTCATGCCTTCTACAACAGACAGTTCTCTCTTATATCTCCGAGGGGTGGCCAGCTTCACAGATCATCGTCATCGACAACACCGGTAGATCTAATGCGTCAGCAGGCACCTCGTACGCGGACGAGCAGGCGTTCTTGAACTATTCTCTCCTTCTGCTAGAGTATGGTGTCAACATTTACCGTACCCCTACATGGCAGACTTCCTCACAGACACAGAACCTCCTGACTCAGCTAGCTATTGAGCAGGGATGGCCGAGATTTTACCAAAGCCACCAACACGTCATCGTTCGCCATCACAGAGAGTTTGATACAAGCAAAAACCACTCATTTTAACAACGAATATTGGAAAAATCCTATGAGAGGGCTTCAGAAGCTGACGCAAAATGTGCATTGTCATTCTTCCACTACGATTGGCTCAGCCACGTTAATTTCCATGCGGCTTCATACATAGGGCCCTGGGACACCTTGATTCCATTGTATCCGGCAGACTGTGAGTAATACAGTCGCGTGCGAATGAAAGGCTATGCCATTACCGAGTTTGACGCAGGCGACGTCTTCGAGGTAGCTTCCTGCTTGTCGAATCCAGAAAATCAATTATTCCACCCTCGAGGATCGCCAGAAGACGTGGATTTGCACCGTGAATTGCAGGAGATTCCCAGTTGAAAATGAAGGGCAGGCATGGGAGAAATACCTGGCAAGGTCGGGCTAGCAGTCGATCACTTTCGGAAGACTTTGGAAGTCGATATCAGATCCTCGTGGAGGCTGGAAGGAAAAGTTACCGCATGAAATGGGGGACTGACAGATGTGATGTCAGCTCGCCACATCAAAGCTGGACGCAACGGCTGACTAGATTAATTGAGAGGTCGATTGAGTGATTAGCCGAGGGTATCGGAAGGTGATAAGAACTCGTGGCACATTCACGACCGGTGTGCTTTGATGTGTCATACTTGTCACGGCACAGAACAGTTCCAGGGACACTTCAAAGCCACCCAACCAATGTGAACAAATTAACTCCCGGAAAACGCTTCCGTTTGGGACAAGTTCTTTTGAATCGATTTCGCAATATCGATGCTCCTGACAGGGTAAATGCTGTGGAAGCACGATTGCGATTGACTTAGGTTCTAGACCATTCATCCCCCACCTCTCGATTCATTGGATTTTCTACCTTGGCCAGCAAATGCTCAAACCTGGCAAAAACAACTTCGTTTAGCTATAAACACTATGACCCTATGGCTCTGATATCTGTAATCTCAGTCGCCAACACGCACAATGACCAACGATTGATAGACGAGGCTACTACTCCGGTGCATCATTCAGCCTTGTCACTGCAGAAACCAAAGTTCAAACCGACAATGAAACCTTCTTATGTTTGGAGTTTGCAGCAAACTTCTCGACTGGCACATCCACATGCTAGGCCATGATCTTCTTCACGTCGCCCAACCACCAGTACAGCACAGTTGCAAGCAACGCGAATCCGGCTGCAATAATGAACATGTGTCGAATCGCATCAGCATTGGCTTGTTGCAAGGCACACAAGCCAGAGGACAAAACGGCTTGGGTGATGTCATGAACCTCGCCCGCCTGTTCCGCCCGAGCAGCATAAAGAGCCTCGACAAATATTGGCGGTGAGTCGGCAGTGAGCCCCTCTGCAGCAATTGCCTTTCTAGCGTGGTCGGGGATGTATGTGGTTACTTTTTGATTCACGACGGCAGAATAGATCGATGTGATTACTGCCGTACCTAAAGGTTGTGAAGTCATCAACAAGCCAGTTGCGGATGCTAGGTGAGTACATGGTGCAGTGAACTGGCCACCTGCCACGGCTTGCGAGAGAACCGTGCCAAGATCAAAATCACCCAGCCCAGCAAAAATCATCATTTTCGCGTTGTCACCAGGCTGGATCGTGGCGAGGCCGATTGTACTGACCAGCCCTACGAAAAAGCCAAGACCAAAAAGCTCTCGGATCGATCTTAATCTCAGCGTCATATAGCCGAAGGCCAAAGTCCCAATCGTGCAGGCAGCATAAACAACACGACTCGCGCTGATACAAGGAGGGGTCTTCTTTAAAAGAGAGCTCCGTTCTATATGAGAAAAGTGGGAGCCACTGAGTGGAAGAGCCAAGATGTCCTCATCGGTAGAGGCCCGGTAGGCTTTGTGCTCCTAGCCCTGCGAGCTTATCAGGTCAAGGCTGTTATTGTATCTGAGCCGACTCCCACAAAAGAAGACCAAGTCTTGCACTTCGTGGACGATGCTCTAAATCCTTTGGCTGACAATGCAAATACAAAGTGTCATGAGGCTACGCCAGGTAAAGGCATGGATATAGTGACCGATGATTTCGCTTCTTGTGGCGTGATCAGATTTCTAGCCCAGTTCAAATGCCAATATGCCCTCGCAAGCCCTTCCTGATATGGAGCACCATGTAATGTCTGCTGGGAATAGCGCAAGTGGGAGCTTAACAAATACTCAGCGCCTCAGATTACGTAGCCTGTGAGCTTCGATGCTATTCTTACCCATCCTGACAGCGAGGCATGCATTGAAGCTACCCTGGCGGTGATCGAAAACCCTTAGAATTTACAATTATTTTGTAATCCTTCAGTGGAAGAATTGAGGCAATCCATGTAGGATATTCTCAGCAGATTGTATGGAAATTGGCAGCCCAAGCCGTGCATCATCATCAGACCCAATCTTTCCGCTATCTCGCCTTTGACCTTCAAGCCGACGATATTGGTCCTAAGCCACAACCGCGATAGCGTTCCGCTCAGCGGAAAGACTCGCCACCACTACACTCGAAAGCCTGTCCAGTAAAGAACGCTGCTTCTGGGCTAGCGATAAAGGATAATGCATGTGCCATATCGAGAGGGTGGCCTCTGCGCTTGATGGCCTGGCGAGCGAGGACACTGTCAAAGAGCAGTGAAGATTGTTCGGTCTCAGCAACTTTGGTGAAGTCAGTAAGACCCGGGAGAAGCGCGTTGACTGTGATGCCAGGTCCAGCTTCCACTGCACTCGCGCGAACTAGCCCGATGATGCCGGCTTTGGAAGCAACATAAGGTGCTAATCCAAAGGCCGGGTTACCAGTTGTTGAGGAGGACGTGTGTATAATGCGCCCATATCTGGCTTTTCGCATATGAGGGAGAACGGCACGAGTCAGGAAGAAGCCTCCATCGAGATTCGTCGAAATTACTTGTTGATAGTTTTCCGTGGTTTGGCGCTCCAAAGGAGAGAAAACAGCCGTGCCAGCGAGATTGATCAAAACATCGATCTTGCCAAATCTTTGTATCGTAGCGTCAATCGCCTTGTTGACAGATCCATCATCACTCACATCGCAGACCTGGATTTCTGCCTTGCCTCCTTGTTGGAGGATAGAAGACTGAACGTCCTTGATGTTCGGCTCGTCGATATCAAAAAGCACGACATCTGCACCTTGCTCGGCAAAGAGATGTGCCGTCACTTTCCCGATGCCAGATGCTGCTCCGGTAACAACGATAACATGATCTAAGTATTTGTTGGCATAGACCTTGATGGAAGGAACTTGTGCACCCTTCTCGTGTGTGATAGCTTTCATGCTTGCTGGCAATTGGAGAGTAGCATTCATGTCAGACTATGTTGCTTGATTGAAATATTTTGACGGTCGCAGCAGAGACGGTGATGTGATTATCACGTATCCAGCCATACCCCAAGGGCTCCGGCGAGCGGAAACGAGTAGGAATATATGCCTTGAGTGCCTACCACAGCATCATATTCTCGGTGGGTTTGTTGTTCCGAATTTTGCGGCATTTTCTCCATGTTGTCTCTGTCGTATGTATGTTCATGCATAATTGGTGGAATGCATCCCGCAAGACTTACATGAGGGGGTGCAAGTCCAAGGCTCAGATGCCGTGATGTAGAGCCACTCAAAGTTACCGCGATGCTGCATAGAGCGGCACAGGTTTCATATGGCTTAGCTGAACCCTATCGCTGAGCTGTGTGAAAGAGGCAAATGGGAGAGTGGTATAAACAGCTATGCGTCATTTGAGTCACAGCGAGCAAACCTTGCTAGTCTTTCTTTCGGCGTGTACGAGACCACGGAACAGATGGAGAGCCTCTGTATGCCCTGCTAGATAAGTGGGTGGCACGAATGGTCGTGGCTCAAACGGATAACCAGACTCATGGCCTGAAGCTTTACGGCTTGAAGTGGCATTAAATTAATGTGAGGTTCGCATGAGTGTGGTCTTCAACGACCAACGGTTGGACTTTTCGGCAAGCAGAACGAGTTCAAACTTTTGTCAGCTTTGGTTCTTGGGAAACATCTCCTTGCTTCGGAACATCAGGTTCCGCCGATTCTCACGTGATTGATGACAAGCAATTTCGGATGGAGTATGGTATGCCAACGAACGTCTCGGCTTACCTTCCCCGATATTCGAGTCCATCTGTTCATCCAACTTCCTGCGTTTCGGTCGGCGGCCCTTGAGAATTCCTGTACTGTTCGACACACGATCAAGCGTGATTATCTTGATTGCACTCGGTAGACGACTAATATTCCCCCCATGCCTCAATGGTGGATTGATTCTCAAGTTATGGCGATACGGTACTGTCCGTGACCAGTTTTCCACTCCTTCACATTTTTCTGCTTTTGTCAATCATGGCTTCCAGCTCCTCTACCGCGCGACACCGCCCAGCGAAAGCCGCGAAGAATACTGCCGCGAAGAATACTGTCGCGAAGAATACTGCCGGCATATCTAATGGATCTGCGGGTCATAATAGCGCTGTTAAAAGTCCAAGACAACATTCAAATGAACCCCAAGCGTCCCACGGCTCGTCCATTGCTCTCATCTGGGCGCCGACCTTGATTCTCATTTTTGGGGGTTGCTGCTCAAATGTCTACACCCTAGAGTCTATCATTCAGACCTCTCCTTCTTCCGGTTCTTTGATCACGGCTTTTCAGTTCCTCCTCGTCGCTCTGGCCACTCTTCCAAAGCATTTTTCCTTCCGTCGCGGTTGGCGAAATCTGTACCTCAAACCCCGTGCTATTCCACTGAGAAAATGGCTGGTCTACACAGCATACTTCTTGAGCATCAACATTTTAAACAATCTCGCGTTTAACTATCGCATCAGCATCCCCTTACACATTATTTTGCGTTCTGCAGGGCCTGTGACCACCATGACAGTTGGCAGGATTTGGGGAGGGAAACGTTACCCGACCCAGAAGGTTGTTGCGGTGGCACTGCTTTTTGTAGGTGTTGTGCTTGCAGCAATTAGTGATGCCTTAGCCAAGCCGCCGCATACCCACCGAGACGATCTGCACGAGACATCTTCCTCAAGTGTCAACCTCAGCGGAGTTTCACATCAGGCACCTGGATTTGCGCTGCTCGCATCTGCCCTTGTTCTATCAGCTTGTATGGGTCTTTATACCGACGACATGTACAGTACGCACGGACGCTCGGGTTCGATCACAGCTGAGACACTCTTTTACAGCCATACCTTGTCTTTACCTTTCTTCGCAGCCCAAGCCAGACCACTTATGGATGAATTCTCCAGCATTGCAGCCGTGGCAACTCGTGATCCATCATCGATCAAGTCCGAACCGTCTCTTTTGACTCGGTATCTTCCTATCTCGCCCATCTCACCTCTCAATAACTTGACCATCCCACTCCCCATGGTCCTACTTTGGCTCAATGCCCTCACACAATTACTATGTATCGTTGGTGTCAACCGCCTGAGCGCCCAGTCTTCTTCGCTGACCGTGAGCATTGTGCTCAACATCCGCAAACTTGCAAGTTTACTATTGAGTATATGGCTTTTTGGCAATCGATTACCGATTGGTGTGATTGTGGGTGCCGGAGTTGTGTTTGTGGGCGGCGGCCTCTATGCTCTGCCAGCCTCTGGAAAGTCCAAAAATCCAATTCCCGGAGAGATCCAAACTAGACTAGACAAAATAAATAAGAAGACCCGTTAGATCCACTTCCAAGCAACGAACAACATCTATTGACAGAGCAGTGTCCTGTACCTCCTTAGGAATAGAGAAACTTTTCAATTCTTCGTTTGGTCGCTCTTGCTGCCAATGGCAGTGACAGATCGTCGTCGATTCTAGTCGCGTGTAGCTGGAATATGGTAATGTATTTTGCCCCCATCAATCCCCACAATGTTATTCATACGTTATTTCCAGAAACCCGGCTGAGCATTCCTGCGCGTATTTGCAGTCTCGTGCTTTCCTTCATAGGCATGCATTGTTAGAAGGTAGGTGCTTTGTTGCCGGATGCGACAAAGAGATTTCGTTTCATTGTTGCATCTCTGAGCCTCTTGTTTCCGACAAGCCATCGGACTGCCTAAAGATCTGCTGCCAATGTCGACTTCTGCGATTGATGTGCCGTTTTTCGCATCAAATATATGTTCGTCACAGCTTGATCAGTCCTAAGCCGGCTTGGACCCATGAGACTCTTCTCCCTCAATCAACTGCCGTTCAGTATTCCCCTTGCGATCTCAGCACCGTTTTGTGAGGAGATACCAAACCTCCTCGCACAACTCGGTTGATATCCTTGGTGATGTCGACCGAAAAGTATGAGATTTTCTTTCCGGAGGGAGAAAGATATTGGTTTTGCCGTCATTTGGGCGTGGGTTCCTGCGCGACTACTTCCGTTGTTCGATCAATCGCTGACAGCAAGGACTATGTCAGAAAGAAGACAAAGCCAACATCAGGAGATGGTCTCTATTACTCCTCAGAAGTGAAATACCGTCGTGAGCATTGCCTGATTCCACAATTGGTCACACAAAAGGCCTTTTTCGATTTGCCGACAAATTCTTTGGACCGCGATGAGTTCAAGTCTAGCTCGATGATATTTTCCTTCTGTAATGGTGGAACCCTCTCAGGCTCCTTCAAAGTTGTGTATCAAGAATCCGAAATCATCCTTCAGAACCTCGTTTGGTATCTTTTGAGACAAGGACTCCAGGTGCTTGACTTTTTACGCGATGGCTACCCATCCGTTGTTCACAATGATGTCCATCCGGAGAATATCTTTCTCCTTTCACAGATGATAAGCAAACATTGCCAAATCCCTGCCCTGGAGATTTTGGACAGGCGTATACTCAATCCCCTTCTATCTGGGGAATAGCCAAAATCCAGCAAGAAAAGGTCTCGATTCAAGAACATCTTCGGATGATTCTCAAGGCATCTTCTCCGACGTTAACCATTTACTTGATGCTATCAAGTGGGCTCTTTCTGGTGCTATTGATTGGTGTACAATCCGAGGCAATCCGGTGAGTACGGAAGCTCTCGATGAATTTCGTGACGAGTTTCAAGATCTTCGCGTCAAATTGAGGACTGTTTGTAAAGACTATTTACGCAATCAAAGTGGACGCTATGAAGATCTTGTCCGACTGCGTAGATTTGGTTCCAAGCAAGCGAAAAGATCTCTGTCAACTTGGGAAGACATACCGGACTTCCAATGGACGAGGCCAGATCGCTGTCAGGACGATGAATCAAAAGACCCCCTCGAAAAGGCACAATCACTGCAATCTTTGAATCTCGACACGAACTTTGGCTCCAAGCAGACAACGTACCCGGCCCTTGGCAAATGGCCGGTGTTGATGCATTCACAAATAAAGTCATCGCAGTCGAGAGACTTGCTTTGGGCTGCATAAGCCTCACGTCTCCGAGAGCTGCGTGGGAGTTGAAATTTGCTCATGCGCAGCACGGAACTGGGCCGACCATGATATGATTTCAGAGCTCGCGGAAACCGAGGCCGATAGAATAAGGATGGAGAAAATTCTTTTCGCAGCGTCTCAAATCTCACCTGGGCTTCTGGCGTCGAGCTACTTTGATGTTCATCTTGAGCGGGATCAGCAGAGACTTTCACCAGCTGCAGCTCAGGCTCAAGAAAGTACGAACGAGGATAAGATGGAGATCGAGCCGTCACCTGCGCATGAAGCATACACCCAGCAAGTTCAAGGGTATCAGCACCAAAACCGTGAGCGCGAAGAAGAAAAAGCAGCCTGCAAAGAAACTCCTTACCGGATGAGTTGAGAAATCCAGATGTCCTTCACAAGACTGATTTTCAGGCCACAGACTTGTCTTAAACAACCCCAATACTCAATCACAACTCGTTCACGAGACTTCGCTTCCTCAAGTGCTCCTGTGGGTGTCAGAGCTGTACGATGCACTACTTGCTGCAGTAGTAGTAAGGGTAATTTAAATCCTAGTCACCTACGCATGTTCATGGGTCGAGCGTTCAGTATCCAGTGCAATAGCCATGAGCAGCGAGCTGTTCAACAAAAACGCAAAATTTCTCACACAATGATTATAACTATTAGATCAAATGTGCTCTGTCTCTGTTCCAACTTGCCTCCCCCGCATTCTGGTTAAAAGAGCTAATTGACTTGAGAAGTTTTCATTCTACCAATTTAGACACAGCGATCGCCAGCCTGGTCTCGTATTTCGGGACTGTGGTGAAGCATGTTGCGACTGAGTTGCTGTAACAAGTCGAAAAACATGTGGCGAAGAGGCCGGTCAAAAGAAGAATGCAGGACTGCGCGTTGCATCCCTCAGAAGGCGTGTCGGTCCTTAATCCTAACGCGGTATACTTGGGCTACCTCGAGCGGAGGGTGGAACGTCAAGTGACTGCGACTGTCGACCTCATAAATCAAGCCAACGCGTCCACCAACCAGACTGTTGCTCACGACGCGAGGGAACTTGCCATGGCCAGTAAAAGCGACTCCTCGCTCATTGATGAAGATACTAGCTGTGGTCACCACCACCTTTCTGCCTAGTGCGTAGCAACATTATTCTTTAGGGGCATGTTCGACTGGTTCGCAGGCCGTGGTGGCCCTGTTGCGAGCTATTGCTTCTGGCTCTATTGGTCAGTCAGACTCAACATACTCCTTACGCTGCTCACGACTCACGACTGAGAGCTGGCTGACATAGGGATCTAGAGAAGCAGCAAGCAGAAGACGCAGCACCAATGGGCAGATATTGAAGGTTCATTCACCGTGAATAATATACTGTATACCTCGCTTGATTCTTGATTTCCAAGCTCATTGATCGACCCATTCCGGATCTGATGAAGCCAAGTCACTTCAGTCGATGGTTGTTTTGCGTTGTTCTTGTGACAGGTCGACGTGGATTCTGAAATAGGTGGTCTGCTGACGGTGCTATGCAAGCGACGGCTTAACAATGCAGGAGCTGGCAGAAGTAGGGACTGGATAGGATTCGCCAAAGAGCAAGTTATTTTCAACTTTGTTGGGAGGGATATGATCGCGACAGAGGAATAATTGATCGATATGCTCTTCAAGGATCACATTGCGCTAAAGCCCGAACTAACCAAGTCGAAGCAATAACACCTTTATGTAGCCTGCTCATCCATACCAAAATGCACTCTTAGGGGCCGCCTCGATCGAATGAGCCCCTTTTCAAGAAGCAACGTTCCAAGGAGAGGCACGCATTGAAGACTTGAAGTGACCTGGGGTCCCTGAAGGTCGAACCAAGTCCTCACTTTTAAATTGTGCAGCAATCAGTTGCCACTCGGCTGCGATGCATCAATAGTGGGTGAACATGATGAGATGAGCTCTCATGTCCTTCCCTTGCCAGGATAGCAACTCCATCGTGAGGAAACCATCCACAGCGCAAGAATCAAGATGTGTGGCTGTTGCTAGCCAAACAATCATAGCCCCACCTAGCAGTTCGGATAGCATCCATGTGGTTCTACGTGAATCCAGTTGATAATGCATTCGTTCGTGCAGTACCGAGTACCAAAGTACATACTACGAAAACGGGCGTCATTGGTCTCTGGTTCGACACGGAAGACACTCCGGAAGCACCCCCGCCGTCTTCATAGCACTGGCGTATTCAAGGGGCTTTTCCGACGGATGGAAAACCCCCACTCGTCTCATCCTCGGTAATATCCCAGCATCTTCTAGGTCCAATAAACACTTCTATTCGACATCACTTCAAGCGAGTAAGAGGGCGTCTGTCCATCCGGCAACCTGCTGACTATTTAGTGCACCTCCTGTGACCAACTACGGATGAAGCCACAAGTGCATGCGCGTACCACCCTCGAGGTGGCTGCCGTTAGGTAGTTGTTTTTCCTGCACAGATATAGACAAACTAGACAACATCTCATATTAGAGAGATAGATGCCGTTTTCATTAGCAGCCTTGATCGGCCCTTCTTCTGGAACCCGGACAACCCCACGGAAACCCCACAAAAGTGACATACAGAACACCGATCCAGACTTACACAAGGAGAGGAATTGACTACCATCTTCATGCTCAGTGGGGCAATCCCGGTGCCATCACCCAGCGACACGGCAAGCTCTGGGCATTTCAGTAACAGCAGGCGTACCCCCAAAACATGCGGCTGGTTGATAAGCCAAATCCAGGGCGTAAAATTACAGCCTGGTTGCTTAGAGACTCCTTAGCTCATAGGTCCATCTCACTGACCGAGTTTCTACTGCAATACGAACAAGCAGAGCCGGAAAGGAATCTTGGATTGTGTGAAGAGTTCCGACGTTTTCCGGTCACAGGACTACATAGGAACCGTGTCGAGGCCCCAGAATCCAAGGCTGGGACCAGGAAAATATCCACCAGCATTGGAGACCCTGTTCGACCTTAGCTCGACTTTAATTCCCTTCGTGCATCAACTTAAAAGCATACGGGCTACGGTAGATCGCATTAAACTGTTACCACGTTATGGGTGATGGAAATTAACCCCACTCCTTCACCACCAAAGCATCAAAACCCCAGACCTCCATCCCCCTTACCCGCCTTGAGGTGGTGGGTGTTCCACCTATCCAAACCTAATTCATCAATGGCGGAGAGGTTTGGCTGGGCACTTTCATAAAGGAAACGATCTCCCTGCTGTCAAGGCCGGGCTGGCTTCTCTTTCGCCATTATCGTTTCGATATTCATCTCTTCACCTCAGGGCTTTTATCATCGTCCCATTCTGTCATACCATAACACAATGCCTCTCGGAGTCCTCGAGGATAGGAAGCTCGAGCATGTGCCCGGCACTGCTCCCTTGAACGAGCTCGGGCGCGATGATATAAACGTCTCCGGTATCGACTCTGGCCTGCTCAAGCATGATGCCAGCGGACAGATTGTCCTGGTTCCTCAACCCAGCGACTCGCCAAACGACCCTTACAACTGGTCCCGCACCAAGAAAGAACTTTTCACGCTGACATACGCGTACGGCTGTGGTTGCGTTGGAGGTATGAGCTTTCCTAGTTTTTAATTTGGCACCCTTTTTCTTTGTCCGTGTCCCGATTGAAACTGACGATTCGCTCCAGCTGTGGGACCACTTTTGGGTGCCGCCTTCGTCCCACTTGCAGTAGAATGGGAGGTCTCTTTGACAAACTTCATCACTGGCGCACAGGGCGCAGTTATCGCTGCTATTGCTATCGGGTCTCTTCTCTTCAACGCATTGGCTGTTAAATATGGCAAACGTCCCGTCTACCTCGTCACTTCTGTGGGTCTCGCAGTGACCTGTTTCTGGGCCGCTGAAGCCAGATCTTTCAAGTCATTTGTTGCCGCTCGTGTTCTCCAGGGTCTTTGCATGGCTCCCATGGAAGCCTTGATTCCTGCTTCAATTGCTGATATCTGGTTCGTCCACGAACGTGGTTATCGCATGGCCATCTTCAATCTTGGTGTTCTCGGAGGTATTAACTTGGCTGCTCCTATCGGTAAGTTTGGTCCTCGATCGCGGTGTTGATTTCATCTTACCATTCGATAGCTGGTGCCATTATGGAAGCCAGCAACTGGCGAGTCGTTATGCATGCGATGGGCGGTGCCTTTGTCCTCCAACTCATTTTGACCTTCTTCTTTATGCCCGAGTCCGCTTACCATCGGACTGGAACGCTCAACATCGATACCGGAAAGCACAACGTCGAGACCGAAAAATCAGTTGCTGCCGACCATATGGAAAACACCAACGAAAAGCGTGCAACATCCACTCCGACAGCTGTCGACTCGGCTGTGGAACCAAAGATGTCCTTCGCTCGGGAAATGATGCCATACTCCGGTTATGTCAACCACATCTCGTTGCTCTCTACTACGATTCGCCCATTCGTCCTCTTGGCATCTCCCGCGGTGCTGTGGGCAACCCTGCTCTTTACTACTTGTATCTCCTGGCTGGTCGCCATCTCCATCACTCTTTCTCAGATCTTCTCGGCGCCACCATACAACTTCTCCGTTGCATCCGTCGGCGCCACCAATGTCTCTTCCTTTGTTGCCTCGATCATCGGAACTGCGATTGCAGGCCCTGCCGTCGACGGCATTGTCAAGCGCATGTCGAAACGCAATCACGGTGTCTTCGAGCCTGAATTCCGACTGCCCATTATGGTCACCTATCTCTTGTTCACAGCAACGGGATTCTTCGGATGGGGTCAAGCCGCATATGCTCAGGACCCTTGGCCCATTCCAGGTAAGTTTCTCCTTACAGTCTCCTGACATCTAGCTTGAAGAAGCTAAGTCTCAAACAGTCATCGTTTGTATGGGTCTCATCAACTTGGGAGTGCAACTTGGTACCACCGGCGTCGTCGCATATGTTGTCGACTGCCACCGTGAGCAGGCGGGTGAAGCATTTGCCGCTATGAACGTAAGTCTCCACTTTTGGCTTAGGATCGTATAGCTGGGGAATTCCCTATCTAATTTGAAACAACAGTTTATCAAGAATATGTTCGCCTTCGGGATGACATTCTACATCAACAACTGGATCGCTGTGCAAGGTGTTCGTGATTGCTTCTTCACCATCGGGGGCATCACCGCCGCTTGCACGCTTACTAGTATCCCTATGTGAGTTCCTTTCACCCAAATTGATGACCTCACCAGAATTTGTTGCTGACCAATGTTAGGTACATCTACGGCAAGCGAGCCCGAAGTTGGGTTGCAAGACACGACATTGCGAAGAGAGCAATGTAAGAGATATCTTTCTATAAAATGTGTTCTCCCTGGAACATTCAAGGGTCGTAAATAGGAATTCTTGACAGACTTCGCCTAGCGATCGAGAGCGTTGCAATAGGACTTCTTTGTCTAGAAAATTACAGCATGTTGTTAAAACAAAGGTGAAAGACCGAGAGTTGGGTGGCCACACTCTAATTTTACTCAGTGATATCGAATCGACCTGTAAAGGAAGTCGTCGTTGCCCGAGCCTACCCATCTGGAAGAGCGTTTTCAGGGAGCACTAGAGGTCAGCAGCTCGGGCAAAAGTGGTCGTGTCCAACACTACATCAGGTGTAGCGCCGAGGTTTGAGAAAGGTCAAAATAGTAGTGCTGGCAAATACTAGGGGCCACGCTTGATTCCTGACGTATCCTTAACAAGCCTCCTCAGTATTTTTGTGCAACTCGACTGCCTAAAGGTCATTGTACTGGATGCATCCCGATATAAATTTCTCCTCTGTATCTCTATGGCTTTGTAAATAGCCTGAAAAGATTGCTCATATTGGAGTATGAAGCAGTGCTGTAGAAGCCACGGATGGTCTCGAGGTTGAACAACAGTCAGCCTGAATGAAGACAATAGATCCAAGCTGATGACGTGATTATCGCTGTTTTGAGCTCTGATGTGTTCAAATTGATCTCGTTCTCGCTTTGCTTCCTCTACCCTCCTGAAAAAGGCCACTGCGTCCCACTCCGAATCGTTTATCAGCACGAGAGGAACATCCACTAGTTCATCCAAGGCGAGGTTGGCAACGTCAAGGTTCGCGAAGACCATGCGGAAGTCTTCAATCGCGACTCGACTATATGTAACTACACGCTGCCTAAACTCATCACAAGCCGCGCCTCGGAGGCCCTCATCTATCTCGTCCTGAATTATATCCCAAAGTGCAGGTTTTGAACGAGTTGTTGGCCTTCTACCGCTGCAGAGTCCGAAAACACAAGGGTACTGATATCTTGGTCTAGTACAATGACTGTGTCGTCATGGAGTGTTTGTCGACCAATGAACAATTGAAAGTAGTCATCCTTGTTTTCTTGCAGCTTGTAGGTTTGTAGGATATCCATTTACGTGCCTTCGGTATCATTTGGCCATGGCACAAGCGACGGAACAATGGATTCGAGACCTTGTTTGAGCGCTTCGCTAAATTTTGTCTTGAGCGTATCTTCCTCCGAAGATATCGAGCTAATCAGGCAGCACACAGGAACCGCTTGGTTGCGTCCCCGGACGGCTTTTGTGATCTCATTTTAACGAAACATCCGTGAGAAGAAAGTCGCTCGGAATGGAGATGGTCATACTAACACGGCACACCAGATGTGCCGAAGGGAACCTGGCTGTTCACAAGCATAAGGATTTCCCTACCAAATTAGGCCCGCCAGTGGCTAGACCGGTTCAAATTTAGGAAACAGGACGACCATTGGCATTCTTGTATCTGCTAAATCGTAAGCGAGGCGCTAAACCAAGACCACTACAAGCTACTGGCAATGATAAGTTGTGTTTACTGCGTTAGATGTCTGAGTTAGTACTCAGTACATCACTAGCACTTGTCTGAAACTGTCTAAACTTCTTGGCTTAATAGCCTTGCGAAACAGAGATATATCCTCTATACCTGGCCAGCCTTGTAGAAGTATGAGTGGCTGGGCACCATCCATCTGCGAGAAAGGCTTCCGGCAAACTTCATATCGAACTTCTCATTTTCAACTACCACGGACGACGTGGATCTCGCGAAAGCGTTAGTGTGCTGCCACGACGCTCGCCAGTCAGAATCCAGGCAGCAGGATTTGGCATTGAACTGTCATTCCCTGGCAACCTGGCTATGCGCACCTTTTTGGCTGATCTCGTAGGTCTCGGGTCTAGTTCTGGAAAGCTTGAGCAAGGTACCAGTTCATCTAGACTCGCTCGTGTTTCACGAGCCGTGAAATCTGCAACACATCCACATGTGAACGGCATCTCTGGGGAAAGGTGGCACAACCAGTCCCGAATGCATATCTGAACGACAATGAGAGGATTGTCTTGTCAATTCATTGGCGGCAGGGGCCTGCTGAGGCGGCCTGCATATTTTTTTCTAGACCAGCTAATACACAAGTGGGAACAAGGATGCTGCAGTATTCATATCGGTGGCTGGCGGCCTGATACGCAAAGGCGCGACAGACAATTCTTTGCCCCGTACGGCAAGGACTCGCGGTCTTGAGTGGGGATGGATTTGGCCCAGCTAAAAATGATCGTGAAACAACTCTGTTAGCAAGTTTGAGATGGAGTTGCCCTAGACCACGTATGATGATATCAAAACTCACGATGATGACTTCTCATCGATTCAAAAGGACCTCGTCTCACCGTTAGCTAGACAAGAAACTGAAGGTGGGTTAGAGATTCAATTCGTCTACGTATTAGAATTTGGTGTTTACCACTTACTTTCATTTGCTGATATATTCTGAATCTCGTTGAATATTGCATGCTACGACGTCTTCCAGCAAAAACTTTCGACCACATTCTGTCCATGTCTTAGTTTCTCAGAAATATAGTCCTGTGATCACGATGAGCCCTTAATGCGTATTTCGACCAACCTCAACCAGCTTTTGTGCCTCTGAGTATGACTTTGCGTCACTTTTCAACTCTCAAGCGACATGGCAAGTGACTCCTGCTTCTGGTGCACAATAGGTGCAGCGCAGTACGGCACAGCATTTCCGGTGCACAAGACCGCTGTTCGCAAAACATAGCGGTGAAGGTCTTGCTTTCGACTAAGGTTGGCCCTCTAACAATCCCGGCTTAGTTGATGCAGTGTGATGTGGACAGATCACGTGGATGCACGGGCTGAGCATTGCTCGGACACCTGACCAGCCATCGCTACACACCTTCAGGATTCAAGCTCCCTTTGGATAAACGGGCTAGTCCCGGTCAGTGCTTCTGGGGCTGTTATATGAATGGAATGAGCTGAGGAACTGCCGGCCCGCTTGGTGCCATATGAATGCAAGAGGCTGCTGACTGCCGATTTTCGAGTCTGGGAGGTCGCCAAGCCCCCACAATGATTATTGAATCTTTGTCGTTTCGTCTAGTCGCAATTATTTGGGATACAGTGCCCTCAAATGCAAGTCGATGGCAGCATATTGGCATTGAGTCAAGCACTCGATTTGAATCCGGTATTCGACCCTCCAGCCCCGCGTGCAATCACCACGGACTCCAAATCTGCGGTAATGGGAAAACAGGTAATCTGGGATTTTTCAGCAAGCATTGACCTCTCGTCTATGTTTGCTCGCGTGACTGGAAATGGTCAGTAAGCTGAAACGATGGCAATAGTACATCACCGTCTCCCTGCGAGAAGTTTGAATTGACCCGGTGAACTCTGCAGCCACCGACGAAAACGGTAAAGAAGAAGGGAGTAGCGTTCATATATACCTGCTGCAGATGCGGCCAAACACCTATACGTATCCAAGTCCAGACCTGTCCTCATTGCCATCACGAGCGCTGCAGCAACTGCCAATGCGAGAAAATCGTCAAGCGCTGACCATAAGCCGTCCACGGAACGCCGTGCAGAAGACTCCAGTCCTTAACTGCGACCTCCTAACGGCCTTTCCTGAAATCTGTCACCAAGCAGATTCCCGTGCCTCTCTTATCTGAGCGGTTTCCGTAGACTGCATCAATAACCCACAATGGCATGCGCAGAGCCAGCGGCGCAGGATCTGAGCATTTCGCACAGAAAAGAGCAGGATTGATGGATCAAGCAATGGAAGCTGCTGCTTATGTGAATTGCCTCAAGGCACCTCCACAACAAATCGCGGAATCTGTCTTGCTCTTCTGTGGGATGGCCTACCTTGACCTCCTCCAAAAAAAAAATAATCAACCATGGATTTGAACCGGCTGCAGCCACTGGTATAGGAACTTGCGATGCTCGTGACGACAGAAATGACAGTGATGAAGATGACGAGGACGACACCAGCGTCGATAACGATACCCATGTCACCTAGAGAAACAGCGTTTAATGATTTGAGTGCCCCGTCTCTCGGCAGGGCTCTAGAGCTCTTGCAACAACGGGTTGTGAAGAATTTCCAGATGAGCAGATGACAAGGCAGCCTCTAACAAGATTGGAATACGCCCCACATTATCCAATCAGGGCATTTCGGGTTTTTGTCGAATCTGGTACCAGTTAGTTAGGGTAATTATCATTCAGATTAGTAGACGACAACATCCTGTTTGATGGTCCTCTGCATCGTCGCCTCGGGCATGTGCAATGCGTCCTGACGTGGTTTGTGTCAGTCCGTATGCCCGATCGTATTCCAGACTCCAGTTATACTTTCGACCATTGGACTACCTTCGTTCGCTCTAGGCACGCCGTAGGAAGATGTGTACCGCCGCCATTGACCAGCATGGCCTCAGAAAGCAATACAGGCTAAGAAGCAGGCAAGGCAAAACAAGCCCTGGATTTGCTGGACAAGTAAGCAGTGCTCGGCCCCCTTCAGCCCAAATTGACACACATTCGGCGGGTTCCGAAACTCGGAGTTGCTCAATGATTCGTAGCCAGCAAGTCGGTGTGCTGAATCACAAAGCGGGAGCCGGCGAGTGTGGCTTGCAAGCCAATAAATCACCATCAGCTGTACAAACGCGTCTCAATATCCCAGACCTCACTAGTGACTATTGTGCCCACTCTCACACTTGTACTTGGGCAGCCACTCTATTGATCGTAGTGGTGACCATATCAACATGCTGAAATCCCCTTTGCCATCTCAGGACGGAGTGAGGCGGCTTGTGCGGTTCGCGGCCATGCGGCACATTGATGCTCGTGCCCTAGGGACCGAACTGCGCTTGCCAATTGCCTTGAATTAGCCTGCTGGTTGCCCTCGCACTGCATCCTCACCATCCTCCATACAGCTTATGGTGAATCCGATCAACTTCAATTTTGCCGTTGCATCATTTCAATAACACTCGTGGCTCCATACAACAGCCTCCCTTAAAGCCGTTGCTGCCCAAACGCCCAAGGAGTCCATAAGCTCTGCAACCATGGCACCAACAGCCGCTTCTGTATTGCTGCTTGCTGGAATTCATGAGAATACTTGATTCTAGCGGCCTTTTCAAGATTGCCTCCGTTACGCGGTATTGAGTCACATTGGTTGTTTTGCCCACGTTGATTCTGATCAATGCGGATGGGCTTCTCACAATAATCGGTTAAGCTCTGAATGGCTCATGATGCAGTGAACTAGGCTAGCTTGTACAACATGAACTGAGCAGATCATACTCTCCAGTGAAAGGAGCGTGGGTTGCAGTACAGGCTTCCCTTGTCCAGCGTTTCCTAGCTGTTAAGGCAACCGAGCTGCGTTCTGGAAGCCTTCTCGTGGTATATCTTTACTTGGTTGAGCAGCTGTATTCAAGTCCGAATCGATGTATGGGACGATGCGTCTACCGCGGGCTTCATTATGAAATCCCGGCACAAGCGCAAGAAGGCCAAAAGGCGAAGCGGAAATCGTGACAACGATAAAAATCAGGCTGATTCAACAGAAACAAGCTGTGATGGCTGGCCTCTAGTCTTGAGTGCGCGTCGGGATATCTCCCTTAGCACGGAGAACCAGTCATGGATGCAAAGTCGAGTGCGACTCGGCGAGGATGACAGTGACGACACATACCAAATCTTCATGCGCGGCCCCAGTGATCCATTTGGCCGGATACCGATAGCAGTCAAGCTTGAAGAACTCTGTTCTGGAACGAGTCTTGAGAGTCTTCGAGAAGCTGAACACAATGAAGATGGGTCAGTGCGACTTGTTGCGTGGAGGGACGACAGAAATTTCGAGACTAAAAGCGCTATTCCAAGTACATGTTGCAAACCCCTTACCGCTTACGGTCTCTTCCTTGACCTGAGAAGACACCGCTTTCCAAGTGCAGTATTCGACACCTTTGGCACCGGATGTGGGTTAGACGCAGACCGGCGTCTGACTTTTATCATTGACCTGGACCGATATAGCATTTTCGCACTGGTATGGACTGCACCTCCTCACCAGGTCCCTGCTCTTCGCAGAGCCTTGTACAACCATCTCAACTTCGAGCCCTCGCTTGAAATGACCGCTAGCGTCAACATACTTCCACCATTTGAAATGGCGTTCCATCTCCCGTTTTTCGTTCTCAGGAGTTCGAAGACCAAACGGGGAGATCATCGGCACTATAGTGACGGAACTCCCCTGAGGCGCTCACACAACGTGTCGTATATTAATGGGCCAACAAATCCAGCCTCAGAGTGGCTTCATGAAGCCCAGATCTCCTGTTTTGTGACAGGATCGGACGAGTCCAGGTGGGTTGCACACCTCTGGGTCGACAGATACTATTTCGACCCCAACGACGAAGATGAAGAAGACGTATTTGAGTACGTGACTGATGCTCTTGAGGATTCTGGCATGCAGTCAGACCCACTGCTATATGGGATCGCGGATGCTAACAAGCCTGCGTGGGATCCCAGGATATATTTCCTAAGTGCGTTTGCACCTCGCCTCGCACAGGTGCGCCGAGAATGGGAAAGGGTGGTGATGAAATTTCGCAATCGCATTCACGCCTTTCCAGAGGCCCTTCAACATGATGCAGGCAATTCAACAACCTCCAATCTTTCCCTGGAAAATGCGACCGAACTCGATCTGCACGCCTTTCGCAGCTGCGTTCTAAGGACTAAAAATATGACGGATCAATTGAAGCAATGCCTTTCCAAAATGAATAAGGCTTGTGAGCCCTTCTGTTCCAAGTCTGGGGCCTCAAATGGCGGCTCGCTCCGCTTTCCCAGAGGACACAGACTGATGGCTGATGTCCACGAATCTTTTGATAGGCTGTGTAAGCTCGAAGATGCTTTGAACAATTTGGCTCACGAGTGCGGTGGGTATAAGGAAGAACTTGACGCTCGGCTCGCCTTGGAAGCCCATAGGGCGAGCGACAAACAGCTAGAATTGGCAGCACAGACGATGACTATAAGCAGTGAGCAGCATCAACTAAGCGCCGCTACACTCGAATTAGGAAAGACACAAAGCCAACTTAGCAAAGACGCACTAGAGCTGGGGAAGAAACAAAGCAAACTCAGTGCAGAAGCACTGGCTTTAGGGGAGAAACAAAGCCAAGCTGCCAAAGAAAGCAAGGGGTTTTCGTTGATCATGGTGCTCTACGTCTCACCCGTGGCTCTCACGGCAAGCATCTTCTCAATGCAGGATGGTGTGTTGCCACGTGTGCTTCCATTCGTCCGCCAGAGCCCCGGATGGTTTTTTGGACTAATTGCCATCTTTGAGTTGTTGGGACTGATTGTCCATACGGCATGGAATTGTCAATGGGCTGAGGTTGCTTCCATGACTCACGAATATTACGATGATATGAAACACAAATTTCAGTTTTCAAGGACGAGGAGCCTTGCAGACGACCCGGAGAATGATTGCGTTACTAGTATATCCCAGAGCTCTGTTTGATTCCCAGATTAGCCACCTAGCACGTACGGACAGAATTGCATGACCCCACGCGACACGAGAAGTAGCGAAGCTCGTCGTTTTCGAATATTTTCGGTTTGTTAACATCATTATGATCATATACTATGTACAGTACGTAGTATTAGAGTGTACAAGGCAGGGGCTGCGAGAGATCAGGAAACTAGCATAGATTGCGGGGTGTTGGACCATCTAGCTAACACCAGAGGATAGACCCGAATGACGGAGCGATGAGGAGAGGGGAACCAGCCTGACCCGTTAGAGGGATTCACTGGCGGAGCTTCGGTTTATACCACTTCATGTTTGGATTATGATTGCAGCTCATTGACATGACCCACCATGGTGTAATTTAGCAGCGTATCATTAATAGGAAATTTGAATTTTTAGCTTTTAGTATCGTTCGCTTGGTGAGTGAGGCCAGGTACTCTATCTAGATAGTTCAGCTTCGGCGTTAGAACGGTATCCGGACGGCACCCGGGTCTCAGGAGGTTTCAGCCTCGTCCGTCGATCCCCTCCGCACCACCCCTCAGGCTCTCCACGGCGGGCCTATAAGCAAAGGTCGGCTTTTCACACCCGCAACTCCTTAACCAAGTTAAGATTATTTCGTCCAGCCCAGCCCAGCCCAGCCCAGCCTCGCAAGGAACTGCGTACAATTGTCTATCCACATAAATACTATAAACCTGCGTGCCATCTTGCCCGGAAAGCTCGGAATAAAGCATGCCACTAGCCCCGGGGCTCCATATGCTTACTGGTTCGTTAAATAAGCCGTATAGGTATAATAGATACTATATAGGCTGAAAAAGAGGGGGGCGGGGCAGGAAATAAGGTAGTTACGAGAAAGAAGACTGTTAGCTGCGTTCCCCCTAGCGAGCGTGTGGCTGTATATAACAGGAAAATAAACTCTTGACGGGACTTAGACAGGTAGATATCATAATCATCACAGTGGCCTAAAAAATATCACAACCTACAGGGCGTGCAGGGGCAATAGTGAATCAAACAATAGATAAGGAATTAAGAGCAGCTCAGTTACTACAATCTGTCCATTGCTCATTTATCGCACATGTTACTCGCGTCCTAACTATCCGGTTTATTTCAGTTAATTTCATTCCATACAATCACGATGTTCTATTTCCATGCGCTCAGCCCAGCCCAAGGATCTGGATCCCCAGCTCCGGGGGGATGCTGCTGCTGGCCCGCAGGAGGTGGCTGCTGCTGCTGCTGCTGCTGTGGTGGTGGTGGAGGCTGTCCATACCGATTTGGCGGCGCATAGTTGGCGTAGCCACCTGGTCCACTTGCCCAGACACCAGATTGATTGGGAGGGTACTGTGTAGCTGAGCCGCCACCTGGAGGACCGGGAGGGGGTGGAGGCGGTACATAATTCTGCGGGATGTTATATGGTGCTGGGTAGTTTTGGTATTGGCTTTGAGTTTGTGGCATCTGAGGATGCGGTGACGGTGACTGATAGGGCACGGGAGCTCCAGGCTGAGGTGGGAAATTGTACTGAGGATGTGGATACTGGTGGCTTGGTGAGGTGAAATTCAATGGAGTGTGCGAAGTAGGTGGATGGTGTTGAGGCTGTGGCTGTTGGGAGAAGTATGTGTTTTGTGTGTTTTGTGGAGGAGAGGTGACCGGAGAAAAGCCGTAATGTTGTTGAGGGGGTGGAGCGTTGGACTGTTGTCCCGGGGATGTTATTGACCGCTCGGGATATGCCATGGGATTGTAGCTTGTGGACAAGGGTGCTGCGGCCCCTTGTGAAAATGGGTGTTGAGCATCAATAGGTGAAGGGTTCTTCGGTTGCGAAGGCGCTTGTAATTGTCCCGAATACCCATTCGGCACAACAGGAGCAGGTGAATGACGGGGTGGGATGGTGAAACGGGGATCGGCATTGGTGGTGGGGTACGAAGGTGAGGCCGGAGCCGGAGATCGAGAGGCTATGATGGGTGGCAGAGGCGGTAAAGTGGGAGGCTCCCCTTGTGCAGGAGATGTCGATTTCGGTTCCATGGAAAGTCGGTTCATGAGCTCTTGCATCCGTTTCTGCTCTGCAGCAGCTTGTCCTCCTGCCGCACTGTTCTTGGTTTGTTCGATCTGGTGCAGAAGCTGTGCGCCCTCCGCTCTTCGGTTACTGACGAATGAGTCCACATTCTTCTCCAAGCTATCGACACTTTCTTTCATTTCGGTGTAGAAGCCTTGAGCTCGCGTAAGCCCCTGAGTAAGATCTTCGTAGGCGTTATAGACCCGCCTATACCGGTTCAATACACTATTTCTCCCCTTCTGAATGGCATCGTATCGCTGCTGGTCTGATCGAACACGCTTGTCTTGTAGGAGGTCACCATAGGACCTCGTCAGCTCTTTCAATAACGAAGATTGCTTATGGACCGTCGAGATTAGTCTGTTCTGGTGAGATCGAAACTTTTCTAGTTCCGCCTGAAACAATTGGTTTTCTTGGTTGGCAATTGCCTTCTTGTTCAATATCAGCACGTTGGAAATGTCGTCTGTATGCACTTTCTCTTTGAGATCCTTCAAAACCTGTGTTCGCTCCCTCTTGACGAGATTCAGTCGTTTCAAAAGATCCTCAACTTTGGCAATCTGTTCTGCGACGGATGGACCCCCTTCGCTGTAATCCTCATCGAGAAGTGACCCTTCTTCAGCTTTGACTTTGCTTTTTGAACTGGAGCCGACTTTGATAAGAGCCTGTTGGTAAAACACGTCAATTTCACCATTTTCAGCCGCGTCTCTCATCCCGTCAAAATCAGCCTCGTATTGGCGCGCCGTGGCAAAAAGCTGGGAGTCGCTTGCTGCTGCTTCATCGACGGTATCTCGGTAGCTTTTGATATCGGCTCGTAGTGTTGATGTTAACCTAGAACTTGGTTGCTGTGTCCAATCCGGCCCGTATTTCGACCTCATCTTTTCACAAACGCTTTCCTCCATGTCGAGCTGTTTAGTGCTTTTAGCAAGACTATCCACAATGCTCTGTTTGTCCCTCTGGAGCTGTTCGAAGGAATTGTTAAATGGCTGATGGTCCACAAGCTCTTGACACCATCTCTCAAATTCCTTGTCAACACTCATCTCTTGGTCCATTCCACCCTTCAACACATTCAAGCTGTTGGGGAGCTTTAGGTAGTCAAGGCTTGCAGCCATCTCACCATTTGCTTGCTCCACCTTGTCAGCTTCCGATCGTATCAATTTCGCCTTCTCTTCATCGTACATACTAGCTGATTCGGTGACAGAGATGGGTACGATTTTCTGGAAGATGTCTGGTCCAATGATCCTTTGAATATCTTGACCTTGATACAGTTCGGATAGAGGGATGGCCTTAGCCGCAACAACTTTGCTCACGGGTGCTAAAGAAGCTTCTGCGGGAACCGTTTGATGGTAGATGAAATCGTTGTCTTTGGCGAGGGACGTCAATTTTTCTTGGGCAGTCTCCATCTGTCTCTTTGTAATGTCCTGCATAGTCGAGGCAGTGTCTGAACCAAGTGTTGAATTTGGGGCCGGACTAGAGGGGAATGCTTTTGCAAGGGCCAATGCCTGTTTGCTGAACTTCTCTGCCAATTGAAGCCGAGCAATGGCGGAGCCTTGTTGATTTTGATCCTCATCCGTAAGAGCCTGATAGTACTCGGCTAAAGAAGACAGATGTAAAGCCTTGATCTGGACCAGTTTAAGCCATGTGGAGTTAAATACACCACGAGACTGTTCCGTGTCGAGGTCTTCTTTCGCCTGGCTAAATAGGAAATGCGCTTGTGCGGCTAGTTTGGCGAGCAGGCCCGGCTTCTTTGCATCTCGGATTTGTTTTTCAAGGAAAATCTCCTGCGCTTGCGCCAGTGTGATATGGATCATCGTCTTGACACTATCTCTACTCAAATCGGTGGAGGGAGCGTGGAGGAAGTTCTCATTGATGTAGGTAAACATGCCGGCGGAGGCTTGGAAAGAGTGGTAAGCGGTCTTGAGATCCTTATCTTCGAAGCGGTTTTGGGCAGCAGCGTGACATGATAGAACAGCGCTGATGTTGAATATTACAGAGGCCTTCTCAAAGGCGAGACTGTACTGGCTAGTCGGGTGGTTTGTGAAAGCATCGTACCAGGTAAAAGAGATCTGAGACGTGGTCAGACTATGTCAACGTTGAATACCAACCGGATTATACCTTGATATGATTCTCGTCCACGGGGAACCGTAGATCTAGAAGCTCGAGCTGGCCGTAGTATCGGTATAATAAGTCTCGGCCGCTTGCACTGTCTGCGCCCGCACCCCTCATATCCTGTCTCAACCTGTGCAAAGTATTGGCTTCTTCGGCATACTTTTCGGGATCGTCGCCATAGGTAGTTCGGATATAGTTCTTCAATGGTGTTGCCCAGTCGATCTCAGAGGTCTGCTTGAGAGGGCAGCTGATCATAGGTGCCTGCACCATCTTGACGGATGTCCAGAGACGGCGAACTGCGGGCGGCGGAGTATGAATGCAAATCAACGGAAACAAGAGCCTCACTCCATCAGTAAATAATCGAGTCCAGACATTTGGGGAAACCTGGAAGCCTAAGCGCCGTGCGGGAGTCCGTGTGATGAAAGAGCGGCCGTCAAGGCAAGACGTGGGGCAGTCCAATCGTAATGGGTGCAATTTGGCCAGGTCCGCCCACCGTAGAATGTCCGCAAGGCTGAACTAGCTACTGTACACGAGGCTGAGCACGTGATTGTTTAAGGCACTACTTGTATTATCACGCACAGCTTCAAGTATTGCAAATCGTAGAAGTTTATCTCAGTTACAAGCTGAATAGAGCAACAACTGAATAAGAGGTAGAGATCTTGATTATTGTCCTCATAGACTCACTCAAGTTGCTAAGCATTGATCTACTAGGTGGGCCGCGGCTTTATTGAAGCTGTTGAAGGAAGCTGAGATACTCTGTAGCTACTCGTTTAGGGCCTCGTGCTAGAACACTGGGTGCCAAGATAGGTGTATCGCGTTGCCAGTGCCACCCCGTATTTAAATTTATATTTCCTGATGGCAAATACCGTTCCATCTTCTGTCATTGCAATCTACATGTCGAGTGAACAACGTAGCACCAGAGTAGATGGCATTCATTTCCGGCGCTTCATGACTTTAACAGCCATCTCCTGCAAGCCATCTTTGGCTTCGCCCGAAGGCAGGATGCTGATGGATGCGATTGCCTTATCGGCATATTCTTGGGCCAGAGCACGTGTTTGCTCCAAGCCGTCACTGTTGTTTACAATGTCCCTAGCCTACAAGGATCAGTATGAGATTCGACTCGGATTAACCCAGGCTTACCTTTTGTACATCTCCTTCCCGTGAAAATTTCCTTCCAACTAATTGGCCTAGTTCTGGATGGCTTCTCCAGGCGAATAGTAAAGGAGCGGTCGCAAGTCCTAATTCAAGATCTGCACCGGCGGGCTTTCCTAACTCCTGACCGCTTATTGTATAATCAAGCATGTCATCGACCAACTGAAAGGCCAGGCCTAAATTTTTGCCATACTGGTAGGCGGCCTCTACAACGTTGGGCGCACATTCACCCAGGAGCGCCGCAGCACGGCAGCTTTTACTGATTAAGCTTGCCGACTTAAGATATGTTTTCTGAAGGTAATATGTGATGGTCTGCTCGCTCCAGGCGGGATTCTTCTCGTCAGAAGCGGTATTCTTCAATTGCATGAACTCGCCTTCCACCAGATTGGCGATGACAGTGGCCAACAGCTCGATTACTTCGGGATCTCTTAAGCGCGCAAGGGCCACCGATGCACGGCCGAGCATAAAATCACCTGCGAGAACAGCCATCTTGTTGCCAAAAGTTGTATTGGCGGATGGGGCGGAGCGGCGCGTTGTGGAATGGTCTATCACGTCATCATGGAGCAACGAGGCGGTGTGAATGAGCTCTGTGATCTCGGCCAGTCGTCTTTGAGCGGGAAGAATAGTAGTGTCATTTGGAAAAGCGTACTGAGCATCATTTGGCTCAGTGAGGGGCGAGAAGGGATGATCCGGGTTTTTATCGACGAGAACCGAGGGAGAGGAGATGGAGGTGTCTATACTGGTTCTTGAGAATGGTTGGGCATCACATCGAGGCTGTTTTGCAGCAAAAGCCGTAGCCTGTGACATGAGCAGGACGAGCAGCGGCCGGACATGTTTGCCTTCACTCTGAGTGTAATATTTGGCCACCGTAGCTAGCACAGGATGTCCAGATCCTAGCAGTTGCCGAATATTTGTACTTAGAAAGCTCAGTTCCTTGCCGACAATTCTCAGAGGATCGATGGTGATGTTCGTAGGAGAGGGCCGCGAGGGCAATATGTCGGCGACAGTGTTCTGGATTTTCGACACCGCGGCTGCCCACGCAGAAGGGTCTCTTTGTGACGAGGAAAAATGCCTCTTGGAACTCTGTAATCGAGGAGACTGGGGCCTTGTTAGACACCAGGGACAAACGGCAGGGCTGGTGGTTCTTGAAACGACCGCGGCTGCCGGACGCAGGCGCGCGCGGGGGCGTGGGTGCATTGTGGAAGCGGTGGATAGAGAAGGACAGAAAAGAATTAGACAGCCATCAAGTGGCGGCGGTTGTAATGTGAGCAGAGCATTAGCTACAGGAGAGCGCGTAAAACGAGTGTTGGCGGAATGGCAAGTGAAACGACGATGGGGAGCTCCAAGTCGATGAATTCATACTTTTTTTTTTGGGATAGTGACGGGTAATTAGTCCTAGGAATCCTCGGACGACCGAATGTGGTTAGTGCGCGGGCGGATGAGGGAAGGTACAACCAGTCATGCTTGGCCTCAAAGTCGTGCCTTATTCCATAACCCTGCCAGTTGCAATAGATAATTCCCCATCACTGGCGTCCACCGCTTACGAGTAATAGTAATACTCTGGTACCCCTTCACATTGGGAGCATACTACTGATTGTACAGAGTAATAGGCCCTTTCATCTATTTATGTCTCCCGTCCATCACTGATTATATCTCACCAAAGCTGAATATTGTCTCAAGTGGCATCGGGCGATCCCAAACTCTTCCATTAGCTTTGAGCAGCATCTCACCTGCTCGCAACCCGAATACGCCCAGAGACACAAGTCAAATGACTTCTCCTTCGTTTGCCTGCTGTCCTTCTGCCTGCAGTGGCTTCAGCCATGGGTATCAATATCTTGGCGGATGCTATCATCCCGCAGTAATCCGACATCCAGCCCCATGAGTCGTGACTCCGTCTGACTAGGACTTACTGACCAGCGCGAGCCGGAGTATAGTATGGCCGGTCCCGCAGCTCGCAGTCCCAATCAATGGAGCCAGAATCCTGTCTGGACGCTGATGTATGTAGATCATCCTCAGTACCGGTTGGCCAGGCCAGGCCATCCTCATCTCAGAGAGTCGCCTTCCTTGTTCACCCAGTCGCGCCATTCCTTCCACTCACTGAAAGTTGCACTTGATTTCAACCCAGTATATCTGACCGCTCTGAAATCATTGACTTCCTCCCATGGCTTCGGACTTTGCTGCTCGCCTCTCCCCGACCCTCGTAGAAGTCGCCGGGCTACACCATGACCGTACCCACCATCCCAACCTGCTTTCTTCATCAAACTTTCCACCGTGTCTTCCTTACTCCATCCCTGTTCCACCGCCACGTCGGGAAGGTAGGTTGCACCATGCCTTCGATTGCGATGGGTAAAGCTGATTCGTAGGCCATGTACACCCAGAATCCAATCCATAGCATCCTGACAAGGTTCAAAATCTGCAAGCAAAGTTAGAGAGCAAGACAGTCCCGGCAATAAGGAGGCCGGTATCGGCGAAAATCGTGTGTCATCAAAAGCAGACGTCAGGGCGTATGTGGCAAGACCTGAAGCAAGTGGCAGAGCTTCAAAGGTCCCTATGCAGCCACGGAGCGACTTGTGCCCCGACCGCGAGAGTGTATTCCATGTGACAAAGAGGGGGTATGAATCAGTCACTGACAAGCGTGAGGCGTAGGACGGCGGAGAGGAGAGAATTGACGTAGTACTGGACATGGCGGTCACATGAGAACTGGAAGACGTCGAGGAGTTGAGAGAGGGTGAGGAGGCTGAAGAAGATCTAGACGAGGAGGTTGAGGCCTGCAATCGAGAGATGCTGGGGTTCTGAGGGCTTGCAGCCGGTGCAGTCCTGCGTTGGATCCGTTGTTCCTCTTCCTGGCCTCGTTCCTCATCCTCTTCATCGTCCTCTCCCTCGTCAGACTTGCTGCCGTCCGGGCCTAGCCGAGTCTCATCCTCATCCCCGGCAGTAGATCCCCCTTCCTCGATGATCTTGTCACGTAGTATGTATTGGTCGTAGGTGTCAAGGACTTTCTGTAACGTAGGTGGATCACGATGGTCGAAGCTGGCGGCGAGAGTTTCAAAGCAGAAGAAGCAGTGAGCTGGACTTGCCATCAGTCACTGCAATGCCGCCAATGCCGGCCCTGAATGTAGGGACCAGACCAAGCAATGCACAGCGGTGGGAAACTGGGGCGTTGTTGCAGAGGACGAGGTTGAGCGAGGCGGTCAAGGTAGGATCGATCTGACGTCGAGACGAGAGCGCAAGACCTACAGTAGAGAGAGATATGCAGGAGAAACTGTGCAGCAGGCAGACAGAGCGAGTGGACAACTGAAAGAAAAGATGGAGGAGGTCGTGGTGGTGGTGACCAAGTGAGCGAAGCTCAGGGTGGCTGATCGACAGCCTGAGCCCTGAGGGTGAGACTGAGGGGTGGAAGTTGGGATGCTCAGCACATGCGGGCACAGCCTAGAAAGAGGGTCATGAGGATCCCAGCGGCTAGAAAAGCATGGGTGTCTGACCAGGGATAAACTCTCCCATTGATCGTTTTTAGTCACGTGATGCTCGATTCAGGAGGTGGTATTCCTGTCAGACAAAAGTCTCTTTCGGTGCTGAAAGTCGCTGACCATTGATGCTATCATCCGCTCCACCAGTCCCCAGTTACAAAATACTCCGTAGTGGAGCTCGAGAGATGCTTCTTATCGGCTCATTCCGTCCCTGGCGAATACTGTATGAGTACTCGTCCTACTCGTACTCGTGGACTGCTCATAGTACTACTACTCGGTAGAGGCTGTGTGTTGCGTAGATACGGGCTCCCCAACAAATGCACCCTTGACTCTCTACTTCCAGGTATCCACGTATCCAACACTGATGCCCAAACCGCCATCACTACTACTCTCGATTGTCTGCTGGCTTTTGGCGCTGCTGGCACGACTCCTGCTCTGCACTGATGCCTCATCATCGCTGTCGTTGTCTTGTGGTACCAAACGAACCCCACCACCACCTTTGGCTCGTCGTTCGTTCGCTCGTATTCCTTCTTCCGCCTTCCTCTTTTCCCACTCTGCCACCAGGTTGCGATAGTACACCTCAGCCTGAACCGTAATGCTGTAGTACTCGGGCGTCCAGCCTGCCTTGTTCTTACACAAAGGGTCAGCTCCCGCTTGAATCAGCGCCCGGACGGCCTTCAAATTGCCCCATGCACTCGCGTTGTGTAGACATGTGTTTCCCTGGTCATCTTGGGCCCTGACATCAGCCCCATGGGCTATAAGTGTCTCAATACAAGTGACCCCTTCGGGTGATCGTGGTGAAGGTCGTGTGCCTGTTTTGAAAAGAGAATTCATCGTCGGCATGATCTGTGAGGCGGAGGCAAGGTGCAGGGGAGTCTGCCCTCGATGATCTCGTCTCGTCACTGTCTCTGGAAAGTGTTTGCAGAGTAGACTGGCTACACCAGTTTTAGACGCGCTAGCGGCCAAGTGAAGCGGACATTGGCCATCGGTATTGACCGAGACACCTTGGTTGTTGCCACTATTGCTGTATATCCAGTCTGTTACCTCGGGGTTGCTGTCATGGCCGATCGATATCAAATATTCCTGATCTCAGGGTTAGCCTTGAAGCCTATCCTCTTTCACAGCTCACCTACTGCTATTTCTAACACCCCATACTGTGCTGCCAGGTGCAAAGAGGTGTTGCTTTTATCGGCATAATCTGGGTTGTGCAGATATGAGGGATGTGCTCTGAGTAGTCGTTGCACCAGTGGTAGATCATCCAGGAGGATTGCTTGTCTCAAGCGCAGGCTCACGTCAACTCTGGCCATGAATGAGTGGCAAGAGAAGGAACGGCGGATTCAGGAAAGAACAGAACAACAGCATGGCCAGCATGCACAAATGAAAGGCTGGGGGTGGATAGGATTGTTGCAGTTTGGTGAGGCTGAACATGAGATAGGACAGTGGTGACCTTGACAAGCGGTTGGAGATGACTGATGACATACGATCAACCCCACAGGTCCGTAGGCGGCGTGGTGCCTGCACGGGCGACTTACGGGGGCTGGGGGAATACTCACAGACCCTAGAAAGCCCCTTGACCCTAGCAGTTTAAGCTTGGCCACCCAGGTCTCTTAACTGGAGTGGCCCATCCACCTCTTTCACCACCCAAGGCTGGACAGGCGAGAGGCGAGAGGCGAGAGTGCGACGCTCCTCATTTAGTTGAATGTACTGGACTCCGTACTCCAAACCTGGAATATCGTAAGCTGTCTTAGACAACATCACTCATTGTACACGTGCCTCGATAAAGCACATACACGCCTGCTTCATGATCCTCAGAGTTTCAAACAAGATATCCTGACCCCCCTTTGTGCGACACGTGTAAAACGAGTGATGTTATTCCTGCCTAGCCTTCCCGGACCAACCAAGTTCCTCCACAAGCACAACATCCCCTCTCAGCTGGCCCTTGGGACTGTGAACAATTCTTCCCTTGCAAACAAACTGTTTGGTGTTGTTTGGTTTTTGGTGAATTCTACGGCGTTACTTTCAACCACCAATGTATTCAAGAGTATTGTGACAATCCATTGCCCCGAATATCACCCTCAGCCCTAGTAATAGATTCCCACTTCCAGAACAAGGCTAATCATCCTCAAAAGCTGGAGCCTCGAGTAAACCACCCATTTAGCTCCCATCTGGCTCCTCGCTATGGGCATGGGCCTATATTAATCTTCTGGACATCCATCATACTAGGTTTAAAGACTCGGGCTTGAAGGGATTGTCATATCGCGACAGTCGCTACTACTGGCAGGTTCCACGACTCAGCACGAAGCTAAAAGCTTGGGGAAGATAGATCACTCTTCAGGTCCCCCCCAGCCTGGCAATGTCTGTGTTGTCCAGCGGCCCTCTGGATTCAAGGTCTCTACACCTATCCCCTAAAGACTATATAGTGGAATGGATATGTGCCTTGCCATCAAAGCTAACAGCAGCGATACTGGTGTTGGATGAGGAACATGATCATGTCGTCAAGCACCCTCGTGATGACAATATGTCACGTCTTGGGGTGGGTTTCCGGGCACAACGTTGTAATTTCTTGCCTTCCGGCTGGTCGCACCGGTAACAACCCTGCAGCAACTGTGGCAGGTCAGATGTGATATAGCTTCACGGAAATTCAATTCGGATTACCGGTTGGAATCGGTGGAGGCGTTCCTAGTGATAGTCACGACATTCGACTGGGTGATGTTGCAGTAAATCACCCTGGTAAGCACGGTGGGGGAGTGCTACAACACGACTTTGGTCGAACAGGTGCAGAGAGACGATTTATACCTACTGGATCCCTGACTGCTCCCCCTTCGACTGTGATATATGCCGCCGCCCTGTTGCAAGCCAGTCTCAACCTTCGCCGAGATCAGCCTACCCTACATCTTTCGAAATTCAATAATTTTCCAGGTTGGAGGCCAAATACTCTTATCAGGGCGCGGTTTGATCATGACCCTTCAGAGACTGGGATTAGTTGGTCGCAAGCAAACCAGACTCTCTCGCCGATGGCGCTTTGTGGACTAATTCTGAAAGTGTATCCAATCAATACTTACAATGAAAGACGTCAGCTCTCGGAGGGGCCACTTCGCAAGGCTGAGAACCCCCCGGCTTTACGATCAAGCCTAAAGTCCCTTCTTGCAGAGTCCAGGGGATATCGGAATTACCCTAAATGGTTAGGCATAAATGTCAAGTCATCGAGATGGCAACCCCTGCATCGTTCAAGCGTGTCGGTGCAGACTCTTCTAGAGAGTGTGGCTTGCATGTCAGGGCTATGATTTTCTTTGGAATAGGAATACCGCTGCTGGCGCTAAGAATGACGCAAATCATATGAGACAACAAGGCTACGTATAGAAAGAGAGATCTAGATCAGCTGACTACGTAGACGGGAATTATTCACGACATGTTTATTGAAGAATCTCTAGGTTATTCCCAAAGACACGACCCCCCAAAAAGCTCAGGTCATTGAAAGAGGCAGATCAAAGGTCTCTTCTGTTGCCATTCCGTCCGCGAAGACATCGGCCAACTCAAGATCGACGAAGAATAATTCGTCCCTGGCTGTGATCAGATGAAAACCGTCGGTGCCAGGAGGGTCTTCAGCTGCGAGCGCAGCGGTTTCCCCAGAGATGGCTTCCGCATCGGCACTCCAAGTCAAGTGCTCCCTCGAGAGCTGGCCTGAAACGCTACGAGCCGGCGCTGATTTAGTAGGAATCTGCAGATCTTTGGGACCGCAAGATTTTGGGAGCGCGATACCGTCCTTCTCCTTACGGCAGAGCAAGTCAATAATCTTCAAATCACCATCCTTGACAATTTCAATCTTCGCTGCGTTCAGAACGGTTTGGAGAAACGCCATCACCGTGTCAACTCCAGGGTGGGCAGCCTGCAACGTTTCACAGATTTTGAGCGAGTAGAACATTGCTCGCAATGGATCATGTTGGTTCTCTGGATTTAGCTGCCTTGATAGAATTCTGGGCATATGCGTCATGATAGCTGGAATCTGGATTAGCACAGCAGCTGGCGGTAAAAGGTATTCCACATTGTTCCTCCACAGGTCGTGACAGACTCGGCTGATCTCTTTTCCGGCTTCATGGAATCTCCTTTGTGATAATTTCTTGGCTTCAACGTCAAACATGGGTTGTGTGATCTGTGGATGGCTTTTGGATTTCAGCTGCGGGCGATGCAGTGCTGATATAACGGCGAAGAATGACATATGAAGGAAGCTTCGATGTACCAGTAGCGAGGTTCCATGTCCCTTGAAGCTTTCAGCGCGTGGTGTGCTGTAGATGCACGAAGCAGGGCGAGCGGAAAACAGCTGCTGAATGTATGCGTCGCACATCATCACTCGCTCTGATACATCGGCTTCGAACTTCGGGAATAACATTGTCCCTCTATTCATCATGATGCGTTTAGTGGCTGTGTGACTTTCCTGCCCCTCGGGAGGCAGTGTCGAAAAGTATAGGGATAAAATATTCCCAATCGGAACACAGAGTTCAGCCATGAAAATGAACATCTCCGCCAGAGCGGTCTGTGTCGTCGTGTCAAGAAATATTGAACCCATGCCTGGAGAATCCCCGTCTGTGTCCACAATATCAAAATCATCAACAACCAACATGGGGATGTTGAATTCGTCATCTCTGATTCTCATGAGCCGACTCATGTTGAGTGCAATCATTCGATCTCGCATGTAGCATGCCCACCAAATACGCCTGCGAAGCCTATTCGCTCTTCGATTTCCTGCCGTTTCAAGCACTTTCGCCTGTAGGCCGAGGCTGAAAGAAATTGATATTGCAATTCCCAACCAGTGCCATGACCCTTTGTTGTCATCAGGAGATTCGTACCAAGAAGTCAAAAGAAGCGCAGTTTGCAGGGTCGCCAGCGAGTCGCTCTCCGCGTCAAGATCATAAAGCAGCTGTTCATTTGTCACTTAGCTTTCATATCTGCTGAAGAGAATCAACAACTATTTCACTTACACGAGCTCTGTGGAAATAAGCTTTCCTGGCCTCTCGTTTTGTGCTGAATCCCAGTTCTCCCAGTTTACCTGGCTCGAGAAATGGCAGTCCAGCGAACATCACGGCCCGGAAAACGAGAATGCTGATTGGGTTAGGGGCGGTACCGAATGTTTCGGACGTGCACTGTACTAAGTCTCGCAAGTCAAGCACTGGCATGAAAGGGTGGACGTATCGTACGTAGCTTCTGATCAAGCTACGACGGAGGTTCAACGGTGGTATATCGAGAGCGCCTTTTGCATGCAGGTAGTAGAGATCTTGCGCAGTTATTTCGGTAGGCAGAGGTTTGATAAATAGGGGTAGATGAAATGGATAGGACAGAGTGGTCGGACCTAATCGAACTGCTGGCACTGCCATAGAGAGCGAAGCCTCCGAGATGCTGTCCAGGACCGGCGCTAAGTTTTCAAGCATCAAACCTGCAAACGACGGCTGTCTGTGCAGATCCTTCTTATCAACTCGTGGCGGCGCCGTTGTTGAAGAGGCAATGAAGGTACCCCTTTTGACAACTGTCAGAAGAATATATCCAAGTCGTCGTTACTGTCTAGTTGATGTATCACCGTAGTACGTACCTTCTCGTGAATCTATAGGGCCCAATGTTATGAGACGAAGAAGGATCTTCTGCACACGGCTCCAAACGCCATCTGGTGGTATGCCAGTGGGTGTGATGAACTACGTGTTTTTCAAGCGATGCCTGGGGGCAAGATGGTTGGAAGGGAGTGTCCAGCAAGTGAGACTCGAGGTCAGCCTTCGAAGAACGAACCGGAATGGCTTTCCTTGGCCGTCTGCGATGAGATTGACATCAGCCTCCCACTTGCAATGTTTTGCGACATGGACTTGACAGCCAGGTTTGGAAAGATACATACTTTCCTCTTCGTGACTTCTGAACAAAACATTGTGTTTGATCCGTCCTGCAGTTCCGACACGGGAAGCCTCGTTCCTCAACGTCACATTTTACTTTGCGTGCCCTGCAATGATGGCAGGCTTTTCCAGCTCTGACCGGCATTGATCACAAAGGGCTAAAGTGCAGCGAGATGACGAGGCGGCAAGATAGTTGAGATGAGAAAGTCGTGCGGTCAGACATTCCTCAAACTCCTGCCAATTATCTCCTTGTATTGCTGGCTGCCGGCTCACCCTCTAACACGCATGGCCAACGTTGCCAGTGTCCAATTGGGGGTTGTTATCGACGTCCGATGTTGAACCCCGCTATTCCACTACTAGATCGTCTAGGCATCGAAATGGAATTGGAAATGGAAATTGCATCCAAGAGCATAGTCCTAGTCCTACAACGGGTGAGGGAACGAACGAGCTGAGGACCTAAGGATCGATGTGCCCCACACCATTGCAGACCGAATCTCTCCATATGCCGATAAGGACAAGGCGCACAGGTTCGAATTAGCTCAAGCCCTGAACGCCGAAAGCGAGGGCAAGTTAAAGCCAACATCGTAAGGCGCTCAACTACCACCAATCGGCATGGTACGATAGTAACCGAGCTCCGTGGCCGAGGACGACATCGACAGCGAAACATGCAAGATTCTCCCAAGTCACCGATCTAAGTACGCAGAGTATTATCATGGATTCCCAAGCGCCAGTAGCACCAAGCGGACGAGGGTCGTCTTATTGGCAATGCAGCATCACCTGTCACGCCTTCACAGAGAAGATAAGCGTGGCTTCAATGGCTTCGGTGGTGTCTCGCCCAAAAAACGTCTACTTTGGACACGGTCACTCGGAACCTCTGCCCCGTAGGAGGTGGATAGCATGGTAGCACAACAGTACAATAAGCAATACCTGACACAACGGCACCCAACGGCATGGTTGCCTGAGGCTAAGCTACCGCCTTTCCCAAGAGGAAAAAGCGGTATCCAGCCCCAATACCCAGGACCATGACTTGCCGTATTCTACATCCTCAAGATGGGCTAAGGCTTTCCAAACATGGTCGCCTCGGGCCCCCCAGGGTATACATAAAATGGTCGGCTACTAAGGACCAAGCCGAGGACTGCGGTAGCGTCTCCAAACTACATACGCCTCTCTTTTCGATCATCACTACATTTTTTCATTCTCTGAGAACCTTGCATACCAGTTGTCTCGGGATATTCAAAATCATACGCTTGCAGATAGCAAGGAAAAGAGATTGTTGATTAGAAACAATGCCCTTCCTCGCCGAACGTACGTTTCCAATTCCCAACAAAGATATTCTTTCTTGGATCTTCGACGAGCAAAAATTCGACGTGGACAAGCCGGTATGAGATGCAAGATCTTGTCTAAGCGGATCCTTCTGAGAATTGCCACTGATGAAGCTCGGATCCTCAGATATATGTCGATGCGGCGAATCCGTCCCGGTCCATCTCGTCAAGACAAGCTCGAAAACTCATCAGACAGCTCATCGCCGGCTTCAGGGCCAATGGCGCAAAACCAGGCGATTGCATCTGTATTCATTCATTCAATGATGTGGGCGAGCGATGAAGCCATGCTTTGTGCTTGGAGAGAACCTTCCTTTTAACTTTTCTAACAGATCTACTATCCCATTCTTTTTTTGGCCATCGTCGGGGCAGGGTGTGTATTCGCCGGAACCAACCCTTCTTACACGCAGTATGAGCTAGATCACCACTTCAAGACGGCATGTGTGGGGTTTGTGATAACCGAGCCGGAAATGATCAGCACTGTTTCGGCTGGGGCAAAGGCGACTGGTATCCCAAAGAGCAATATCTGGAGCTTTAACACTACTCCAAATCAGGCCCCTCTTCCAGGGTTCAAGTCGTGGACGACGCTCCTGGAGTACGGAGAGGAAGACTGGGTCCGTTTCGACGACGAGAAAACCTCCAGAGCCACCACAGCTGCGAGACTCTTCAGCAGTGGCACAACTGGGCTGCCGAAGGCGGCAGCGCTGTCGCACTACAACTTTGTCGCACAACATACTCTGGCACATGAAGTGGAGCCAGCGCCGTACAAGGTCGGTATCGTTCATCAAAGATTCGTGTCCTTTCATTTGGCCCCTGCATTCACCACGTTGTGAATAACCCATATGGTATGCGCTAATTCATGCAATTCCAACAGATTATTCGCATCTGCTACCTGCCCATGTTCCACGCAGCCATGGTTCCACTCACGCATGTCTCACCACTGCACGCCGAGTATGTCACGTATGTCATGAGGCGATTTGATCTAGTCCCATTACTTGACAACATTGACAGGTACAAGATCACGGAGCTGCTCTTTGTACCTGCCATCGTTCTGGCTGTGATCAAATATCCAGGCGTCGGGAAGTACTCATTCAAAAGCCTCGAATCTGTAGCCTCTGGTGCAGCTCCTCTTTCCAAGGAGCACCAGTTGGACCTGCAGGCTATCGTCGGCCCACAGATTGGTGTAACTCAAGGTTGGGGCATGACCGAGACGTGTTGCATTGCCTCAAGGTTCCTCCCCTCAGAACGGGATGAGACTGGTAGCATTGGACGCATGCTACCCAACCTGGACGTCAAGTAAGCTACCCGTCCTTTCCCGCGACCTCAGTGGGACACTGACCACTGGATTTCAACGTTCCCCTCAGACTCATCGACGATGAAGACAAAGACATCACCGCGTACGACACAACCGGAGAGCTCTGCATCCGAGGACCAACAATTATAACCGACTACTTCAACAACCCCGAAGCGACCGCAACATCCTTCACTCCGGACGGATACTTCAAAACTGGAGACGTGATGTACTGCACATCCGACACCAAAAAGTGGTACATCATCGACCGCCGAAAAGAGCTGATCAAAGTCCGCGGCTTCCAAGTCGCCCCAGGAGAACTCGAAGGAGTCCTCCTCTTACATCCGCAGATTCTGGAAGCCGCGGTGATTGGCATCCGCAACGCAGGCGACTCGGATAATCTCGAGCACCCGAGGGCATATGTGGTGCGGCGCCCTGGGCCAGAAGGTGAGGCTCTTGACGAGGCCACGATCAAGGCATTCTGCAGCGCGAGGTTGGCGAAGTTCAAGGAGCTCACGGGTGGTGTGAGATTCCTCGATGTCATGCCGAGGAATGCCACCGGGAAGCTACTCAAGCGTGTCTTGAGGGAATTGGCGAAGGAGGAGGATCGTGGGAAGGCCGCGAGGATCTAGACGCTGTTGAGTAGGCTCGGCGGTCCGAATACTCAGTCGCCAGGCGAGATCTGCGAGCAAAGGTCATAGAGACTTGTGGTTAGTGTCGAAACTCAGCCATCTAAAAAAGCCCCTGGAATGCTCACACTATTGGTCGACATCGTGTATTTACGTGATCGCATGCTATTCGGACGACGAGTGCGAACGATGCAGCTTGTCATTTCGAATCTGCAGATGATTTCATCCTAGCTAGAGTCCTCTGATCAAATGCCTTGTCCCACTGCAGAAACACTGAAATATGGTATGTAAGATACCCGAAGGAGTCATCACTTATGGTTCCACTCACCGAGGCGGCGATTTCACCAACCCCAGGCGTGTATGGTACGAAAAGGATTCTTTCGCAACCGCAACCCCGCCCCCTCTGGAATGGGCACATCAACCACTCGTAGCGGTTGATTGGCCATGTCCGGTTTACACGTCAAGTCAAGAGTTGAGACTGGATGGATTTCCGCTGTCTCCCCGGATTTGCGGTCGGCGGGCGCGCATTACCGCATACATAGGGCGAGGGATCCGGGTTTAACTCCGGCTGGGCGAAACCAGCCAAATACGGGTAGATGTAGACATATACCGTTTCACCGAGCGTCCAAGCCTTTTTCGGGCGCGATATCTCCGGGTTGGGGATTCGTCAAACGCCGAAGGGCAAGGGGTACGGGGACCCATGAGCTCATGGTTATATATCCGCTGAGTGAAACGGGTTCCGGACATTGGAAGTTGACATGCTTCAGACGCCAGTGAGTCTAGCCTTTACAAAATTCATTGGAACTCGGTAATCTATCTGAGAGAAGAGCAAAATTTCATTTCCAAACACCATTATTAACCACCGACAAGCATGCCGCTCTTGACAGGTGCGGATAATCAAACCGTTGTCCCGATCTACATCGACGGGAAGGCACTCCCACTAGACCCAAGTCGCCTGATCGCCGTGCGCTCGGCGCACGAGCAGCGAGACGTCCACTATGCGCAGGGCGCAACGGCTGAGATCGCGCACGAGGCCGCCGCTGTCGCGTACCGCGCCTTCAAGGAGTGGCGGAACATGACATTCCACTTCCGTCGAGACCTTCTCCTCCGCGTCGCGCAGAACATAGAAGCGCGCGAGAAGGATTTCATCGCTTTGCAGCGTCAAGAGACGTCCTGCGCGGAGTCCTGGGCGCGCTTTAACATCGGTCTCGCGTGCAGGGCGATCCGCGAGATCGCGTCGCACATTTCGGCCGAGTGCACCGGCGAGCTGCCGCCGGGGGAGAGCAGCTCCGCGTTCTGTATGGTTTTCAAGGAGCCCGTGGGCCCGGTGCTGGCGATTGCTCCCTGGAATGCCAGTATGGTACTTGCCGCGCGCGCGCTGGCGGCGCCAATTGGGGCTGGGTGTACGGTGGTGTTTAAAGCTTCGGAGCTGTCGCCGGGGGTTCACCATGCCCTAGTCGAAGCCTTTGTCGAAGCTGGGCTCCCGAATGGAGTGCTCAATCAGCTTCAAGCCCGACGAGAAGATTCCCCGGCCGTCACGGAGGCGCTGATATCGGACCCGGCGATTCGAAAGGTCGAGTTCACTGGGAGCGCGGCTGTTGGGGCGATTATCGGCCAGCTGGCATCCAAATATCTGAAACCGGTGCTCATGGAGCTGGGTGGGAAGGCTCCAGCGATCGTATTGAAAGATGCGGACCTCGAACGAGCGGCCCAACTATGTGCTGTGGGTGCATTTCTCCACCACGGCCAGATATGCATGTCGACTGAACGGATTATCGTGGTTCGCGATGTGGCAGCTGAGTTTTCTGCCGCGTTGAAACGTGCAGTGGAGAAACAGCATGTGGACGGTGCAGGGTTCGCCGTGTCCACGGGAGTTGCGAAACGTGCACACTCGCTGGTAGCTGACGCAGTGCAGAATGGAGCCTCTTTCGTGGCCGGGAGCAACCAATGGAATGGAGACAGCAATGCGTCTCTCGAGCCCACAATCATCACCGGTGTGACAGCGAAGGACGCGATCTATGCCGACGAGACTTTTGGTCCGTCAGCGACTCTGTACGTGGCCGAAGACGAGGACGACGCTATTAGGCTCGCAAACGATACCCCGTATGGCCTGAATGCTGCGGTTCACAGCAAGGACATGTTTGCTGCGCTCAGGGTAGCACAACAGCTAGAATGTGGACAAGTCCATATCGGTACCATGACAGAGTATGATGAATCAACCGCGCCGATTGGCGGGGCGAAAGGAAGCGGTTGGGGACGAAATAATGGGAAATATGGCCTTAGGGAGTTCTTGGTGACAAAAACGATATCATTGCACGATCCATCTGCGCAAGCAGTATTTGGATCTCGTTGAGTAGTAGTTGTTGGGGATATTTTGACCTGCTGTATATGCTTTCATCCGTGGCGGCTGATAGAGGGCCGCATCGCCGCTATGAATACAAAGTGCTCAAACTGGTCTGGCCGATCAATTGAATTAAATTAAGGGAAACGACTGCTTCTGGAGCGCAATCTGCTCCTGCACTCCGTTAACGCCTTGGTCGCTGTTGGAGACATCTTGATGATGCGTATGCTTTTGATGGCAAGGATGACGGATATGATTCGAGTATGGTTCACGCAGCCTTCTTGCCTTGGGCCTTTTCACGCTCCGCCTTTCTCAAGGCCCGTCTTCTGATGTCCACATGCATTGTCCTGTTTATGCCCAACACGATGCTACTGAAAGAGCCTGCAAGGCCCGTAATGAGCGATGCAATCAGAGCATGACTCCAGTATGGGCTGCCGCTGTATGAATATCCAATACTTCCGCCTCGTCGGCCAATCTTGCCCAGTGTAGACCTTACAAAAGCTTTTTCGGTTGGGACCTGCCAGTTGGAGCGTCGAATCTTGGACATGGCAGATGTGACAAGATACGAGTGGACAAAGTAAACATCAATACCTTTGGATGAAAGTTCAGATGCCAGAGCATTTGACCATTGTTGCAGAAAGGCTTTGGACCCGGAATAGGTAGCCAGGAGAGGAGTTGGGGTCAGGCCACCAAATGATCCCATAGTCAAAATGAGCCCTCGCTTCTGTGGTAGGATGCTTGGTAGGATTTTCTGGGTGGCCCTGAGCGTACCCAAACAGTTGATATTGATGATGTTGGTGAGTTCGTTCAATGGAGTTTCAGCGAACTCAACTGGGATTGAATGGCTCTGCCCGACGGAATTGATCAGGATGGCTACTTGTTTGCCTTGTACCAGAGACGCCAGAGCGGCATAGTCGGAGTCTTTGTTCAGGGAGAAGTCCATAGCCAAGGTCTCCACCGAGACGTTGGGTGAAGAGGACTTGATTTGAGTCTTCAACGCATCCAACTTGGAAGCTGTGCGTGATACCAGAATGACATTGTAGCCTTTCTCCGCCAGTTGTAAGCCAAACTCTTTACCAATGCCATCACTTGCTCCTGTAACGACCGCCCAAGTTCCTTTGGCACCAAACTTGGACAGGGGTTGTCCAGGGAGGACGAATGTACTGAGAAGAACTCTGAGGATTGTCCATGAGATGGACGCAGCTGTGAGGGCTCCGATTCCAAGGAGAACAGCAGAAGGAATCGACTGATAGCCGAGCGGCCCTAGGTCGAGTGTCATATCGACGGTAGATCAGTGCTTAAGATGAGCCTGGGCGAGTATTGGGATAGGGGACAGTCTGCCTCTGGGCTATACTAGATCAACTCTAAAGGGAAAGACGTGTAGGTCACAGAAGAGGTGGATGAGGTGGACTGGTCGTTGAGCAGTCCCAAGGCCCGGAGGAATTGGTGATGGGGCTTATACATGTTGTCTGACAGAATGACAAAGGTGTGGCTTGGCGCCCAGTCAGGTGCATATTTATCCTTGTCTGACACACGATTCTTTTTCGAGATCCGCCCTCGTCAACAAAAATCAATTCCCCTGTTTGGAGGATCTGGAGCAACTGCGCCCAACTGCTTCCGTCTACGGGTTGACGAGTTCTACTATACTCATCTGGCAATCTACCAGCTCAAGGAAATCCCGTTCACATCGCAGAAGCCCATCATGGCATCCTTCCTTCCCGCATCCGAAGGCTATCTGCCTCTGTTCGTCCTTTTCGTGGGTGGCCCAGGTAGCTCTTCCTCTCCCCAGGGCAAAAGTGTTGACCGGGCTTGCAGGTCGGTGTTACTGCCCTAGGAAATGCTGTTCAGTGCTATAACACCATGTCCTACACCCGCCGTGTCTACCCTGGCCAGGCGGCCTCGAAGAGCTCCAGATCCACGCCCTCAGATGTGGCGTCGACCTCCCCAGCTACGCCCCTCTCCTCGAGAACCTTTGGAACGTGGACCGCAGCCGTTGGAATAGTGAGGATCTTTGCCGCATATCACATCAATGAGCCAGCGTGGTACCAGCTGCAAATGCTGACCAACGTGGTGGGATTGGTTCACTTCGGGCTGGAGGCATTCGTGTACAAGACCAGCCCTCCATCTGGCCCCTGGCTGGCACCCGTGTGTGTGGCCCTGATCGGAGAAATCTGGAGCATCGCACAGTATAATTTCTACGTGAGGTAGCGATCAAGCCTCGGTCTTGCCTGAGCCCTGCTCTCCTTGGCTCTGCAATTTCTTCCTGTACAATTCTCCTCCACAATTCCGCAGGCGGACCGTTGCTTGCTCCGGGGTGATATCTCTCTGTGGCTCGCCCAGCATCTCATAGCCGACCAGGAACTTCCTGACCGTCGCGCTGCGCAAAAGCGGCGGGTAAAAGTGAAGGTGGAGACTGGAACATTCGAACTCCTCCTCCGTACCGTCCAGTGGAGCTTGGTGGATGCCCATGCTGTATGGGAAGCTGGTCTCGAAGAGATTGTCGTATCTGCGAGTCACCTCGGCAATAGCCTCGGCCAGGTCGAACTGCTCCTTGTCGTTTAGCTCAATCAGAGAGCGCAAGTGCTTGACGGGCAGAATCATGGTCTCAAACGGCCAAGTTGCCCACCATGGACAGACAACCAGAAACGTATCATTCTGGAAGACGATTCGCTCCTGTTTCTCCAGCTCTAGTCGTGCATAATCCACCAGTAGATGTACCCCGCCCTGTTGGCGATGGTATTTCCGCAAGTTCTCCAGCTCGAGACCTGGTTCTTCAGGCATGGCTGTCGTAGTCCAGATCTGCCCATGAGGATGAGGGTTCGAACAGCCCATCGCCGCTCCTTTGTTCTCGAAAATCTGCATCCACCTATATTGCTCATGGGGCGTGGTGAGGCCAGCATGAGAGCTCGGGGGCAGATGTGTAGGCTTCGCCAGAGCGGCAAGAGGAGACTTGGGCGACAGATGCGCTGCATAGATATCGGTCCAGGTCTTCACGATCGGCACGATCTCCTCTGGCGACATATCCGCCAGCGTGACGTTATGTGCAGCATTGAAGGTGAGGACATAGCATTTACCCTTGACCGGCTCTGCTTGGAGCAACAGGCCGGCAAGACTACCAGGCTCGTCCGGAGGAGTATAGTCGGCCTGTGACTCCTTGACGGCGCTAAAGTCGTTGACAAAGCTATATGTGTTTTCGTACTGCTCGTTCCGGTCCCCCGACGCTCGTGTGTTTCCAGGACAGAGGTAGCATTTCGGATCGTAGACTGGAAGATTGATTGTCCCAGGACTCTCTTGCGCACCTTGCCATGGCCGCTTGGTGCGATGGGGTGATACTAGTACATAGCTCCCGCGAAGGGGGTTATAACGCCGGTGAGAAATGTCGTCTAGGATTTGGGCGGGCATCCTGGCAAACGCAGCTGTTGACTGTGTTCTTCGAAAAGCAGTAGTTGATGTTTTCCGCTTCGACAGACAGGCGTTGTCGTCGGTATATAGAGGTCTCTACTGGGTATACAGCACCCACAACTCTGGGCAAACGGATCACCACAAGATCAGTTTTCCGCGCACGCCGCCCACACTGGAGATATTACAGGAGCTGCGGTGGTCCCCAACACAGCTGGCGGGAAACCCGTGCGGAAAACTGAAACGTGCCCGCTGGTTTCCAGTGATGGAGGCAAAGTTCTGGGAATGCGGCGGGCATCGAAGCTGGCTGGATACCACCTTTGTGGATGCTTAGCCTGAATTATGGGTGGAACCCAAAGAATTTATTTTTGGGTTTATATAATCTTTTCTTTTCACCGTTGCACCCTTTGTTATTTTCTTCTAATGCGGCCTCATCTTTAGGCCTAACTACCTATCCGCCCCGCGGTGGGAGACACGAATAGAGGGATCGCCCACCGTGCACCACGCTGTCTTCAAGCTGGCCCTAGCCATAGCCATGAGCGCTGACGTCAACGATGGCCCCTAGCCGATAGGCTGCAACAAAGGACGAATCAGTCTGATCGAGGTTAGCTGTCTATGTAGATAGGCTTGGAGAAGGCCCGAGGCCTCTGTCTAGGAGACTGTCTAGGCGACTATGCCACCGTGGACGAGGGGGACACCCCGCCAAGCAGTCCTTATCCCTTATCAGCCACAAGGTTCAAAGTATCTCTGGGTGAGCTCCTGAGTCCTAACCCGGCTTGGATGACATGCCGCCTCCGTAAGGGTCGAGCGGCGGCTGCTGGAGGCTTAAGCGGGCTTACGAGGGCTCCGTACGTACAGAGACGCTGGGAGGCTAAAGTACTCGATCCTTCCGTCTACCGAGAGCGAAGTCGGCGGTCCAACTAGGAGGCTATGACATGGCCTGAGCTGACCTGATGGAAAGTCAATCGATCCGGTAGACCTCGGATTTCCATCTCTGCGTCTCTCTGTCTCTATCACTAAACAATTAAATGGTAGTTTCACTTTGCTGTATAATCAGGTTGTCCGCTTTGCACTGCACGAGTCCATGCACGTTGTGATGCATCGCTAGGCACATACACATCTACGGCACAATCGGGACTTCTGGGGCGCGGGGCGCAGGTCGCCCAGCAGCGACCGACCGATTCCTCCAACATGGCGGCTGTTCGCCTAGATCCAGCGACGCTGGACGTTCTTCCAAATGAGGTATGCTTCTTGAACACTCGCTAGGCAGGAAACACACTTGTTCTCATGCGATATGGTACAAACGTCTAGATTATGGTCTCGATCCTATCGACCTTCGAAACCCACCAACTGCTGGTGTGGGTGGTTGTGTCGCGACGATTCCACTCGCTGATCCTGCGAATCCTGCATTTCCGCCTGCTCCTCGCCGCAGCCCTGCCCGACTGTAAACTCATCCTCGAAGCGTACCATCCGAGCCGGACCTCGGGCGGCAACACATACCTGTACTGTACATATCTGGGCACGGACGGCCTCAGCTCCAAGCACGAAGGGCAAGGCAGCCTGTATGAAGATTGCGCCAGCGAGGAAGGGCGACTCGCCAAATTGGGCGCATTATACAGCCGGTTCCGGCCGGAGCGACCGAGCGTGACGGCGTCAATGCCCTTGCGCCGCATCGCGGGTGCCGCACCAGTGCAGTTGCCCACAGGGGAGACCAGTCAGCCCATATATGCAGACAGCGGAGACGGAGGGTCGACCAAAGTCTCGCACATCTTGAACCTCGACGCCGACGAACTGTTCGGCCAGTTCTGCGCATATCCGCAGCTGGTGCGCTTTGGGCCTAGGAGAGGCGTCTTCCTCAGCAGTGCGCACATCGTCCAGCACGGACAGGGCGTCATGCGGGTGTGGAAGCAGTGGCTGCAGGACAGAGCGCTCGAGTTATATCATACTCAGCAGCAGCGGCAGCACCACCACCACCACCACCACCACCACCAAGACGACGATCGAGATCCTGTTCAAGAACTCGACAGAACTGCAACCATGACTTACCCCACCATCGGCGCAGACAAGAACATCCTCTGGACAGACTATAAAAAGAACGTCGGCCTGAGGGTCGCAATCCGCGAACGCGAAGGCCGTCTCTACGCCACGAGCCCCGACGAGTATAACGACTCGCCCATGAGTTTTGTCATCGAGATCCAAGGTGAGGAAGTTCCCGGTCTTCTTCTTAGACAAAAGTCCAATCCTTGCCGTTCAACTAACCACGCATCACTGTGAACAGAATTGGTGGTCCGCACCACCCACCTGATGCTCGCAGTGGAGAGCTTCATGCAGGACCAGGACAAACGAACAGGTAAAGCTCTTATTTTTGGAAATTTTGCCACCGCAGCCTTGTCCATGGGCACGTGAGAGTCCAAGTCAGAGAGGGCGACCTTTCCCCCTTAGATTAAACGACATTCCTCAAACGCCAAAATTTGACACCCTTGGCACAACTACTCGAGAGAGAAAGAGAGCATTTTCAGATGGCACCGGCAGGATGCGTCGTCCGCTAGAGCTCCAGTCGAGTATTTTGCGGGCCTGTCTTTCCCAGACAAGGACGCCACGCATCATCATCAAATGCGGAGCCAGACTCTGAGGGCATTCCAGCGCACCGAGGATATCTACCCCTAAGGCATCCATACAAAGCTGTGTACACCGTAAAAGTACCCATGAACGGCCCTTGAGATCTCCGTATCCTACACGAGAGTTTGAGCTTTAGGGATGTTCCAGATCAGACCATTGAGCTGATTGTTGGAGGTGATGCAGGACAGTCCTACCTCGCATGGTCTATCCGGTGACAGGAGCCAGGTTCCGTCTCAGGTCTCAGCCTTGGATGCTTCTAATTGCTCTTCCCTGTTAATCTTTCCTTTCCAACCGAGAGACAGCCAGCCGCCATTCTTAGGGAGATACCGTGCAAAGAGGTTGGGTTTGGGTTTGGTTCGACTGATTCGATTCGATTGCACCTTGGCGGGCCAGGACATATCAACGATATGATACGAGATCTTGCTGCCTGATTGATTATTCAGGATGAATCACGAAGCAGATTTTGGATTGCTGCATTGCATGGCTCGTAATGTTTTTACAAGCAAGTCTAGAATGGTGGTGGTACAGTTCGACTTAGCGCGGCCGAAACTTGCTCCGTATGAGTGATCTGCCTCTCTGTGCTCCTTTTTTGCTTCCTCGCGGGTCAAAGGTCACTCTGGTGGTTGATGTATGATACATGAAAATGGCGCTTGCAGTTTGCTCCCCATGATCGCTGTTAACTCAAATCATGACCCGACGCTGGTGCTGATGCCTTGTTCTTTTCGCCATATCGGTACAAAACAACGGCCTTTTGATTTCTTGACATTTTCTTGACATTTCCACCCATGTCCTTCAGTCTTCAGCTCTGGCGACCAACCCTGCAGCAAGCGAGTCGCGAATGCAAGCCACGGGTCTCGGCCCGTGGACAGCACCTCAGCACCCTCCAAACCTCTCAGTTCGTGGTGTGTATGCTAGCCAAACCGAGCACTCTGCGCCTTTATATTGGTCGATAACAATGTCGGCTGCGGCTTCGGGTGCTCGTAGCTTGACAACACATCGGCGGAGATAGCAACACGCTGACCGGTTGGCTTGATCCTTGCTCCAGATGAGGCTCTTGCTTTCGTAGACCCTCGATCTCGACCCTCATTGAATACCCCGCTTCTGCTCTGCTCATGGTCCTGTCCACCCTTGCCCTTTGGGTAGTCTCTTCTTCTCTCGAGGGACTCACACCACGCAAGCTTTTGGGTCGAGGTATTTCTGACCGACTTCCCCCGCTTGTTCTACGTTTTTCGCCACCGATGATCACGCCGTCCTAGACAATTTTGGGTAAGCAGCAAGATAGTCCTCAACCAACATCAGCTATATTGCAACACACTTGTACCGTGTGACTGCCCCGCACCGGCTCAAACATGCCTAAATTACAGTTTGACCTTCCAAGCAGCATCTCCAGAGATGTGCTTGAGACGGACCTTTCTTATTATTTTGGAAGGGATGCGGCAATTGTGCGACAAAAGGTAATGGAGATCCGTGGTTTGACAGGAGCGTTGTCTAAGAACCTGACGGCTTCAGGGCAACCACTATGTCATCGACGTAACTGGATCTCAGGACGTCCAGCCAATTTTCCGGAAGCTCCGTGATGACACGGCGACATGGCGCGCAAGTGATGAGTATGATAGAAACCTTGGTGAGCCTGAGCATTCCTTTTGGCCCAGTTCCCGTCTTCTCATGTCCAGAAGATTATTCACAGAGCCGGGTACGTCGCGAGCGAAGGCAGTCTGCAACCAGTCACGATTCACATTATCCCACAACGAGGCGTGAATCTATTGCGACAAGCGCGGTCACTTCAGCGATGCCAATGCCTTCGCAAAGACCCGGTCTTAATCGAAACAGCTCAACCAGTGGTTCTGTCGCTACCGAATCGACATTGGGAAGCTCATACCAAAGTAGCCATAGCTACTCACAGTCTGGCATGTACTCAAGTCAATCGCGTCGTCCATCTGATGCAGTCTTGCCCGAAAGGCCAAGCTTCAGAAGCCGAACTGAATCGAGTTCCAGCAACTCAAGTAATTACGGCAACGACGGTTGGTTTGGCTGGAAGTATCGTAACGGTGGCGATGGGTATTATGGTTGGCCGGATTCTTCACCCCAGACCAGAAAACCTTGACCGACTGTTGGTACTGAACTCCTTGATGGTAGTAGCTTCATAAGCCGCTAACACCAAATGCGATCGGTAAGTGCACCAATGATGGATGCTGATAGCTCAATTGTCGTCCTGTGGCGGGAGAGTCATTGTACTGTATTCGATCTCAGCCTTGCTGTTGTGGAAGGCAAAGAAGATCGAAGGTCAAGAGCCTATGCTCGCTCACGCAGAGACAACTTGTACTGACACCATGCCCATAAGTTTGCAGCATCTTTTGATTTGCCCTGCTGCTCCAGGATGTTTTTGAGCAAGCGAAACGAGTGTACAGACTTCGGATTGGAATCTCCCAACACGCGATGTCTCTCGATCACCACTTCACGCAAAAGCTCCTCGGCAGTCCACAGGTACTCGTAGCGAGAATTTTCATCGGCGTCTTTTGCAAGCATCTCTAAAAAGATCGCCTGGCGGTGGTTCGCCTCCCAGGTATAAGGGTGGTCTCTCGGAAAATTCCTGCGAACGCTGGGGCAGACATCATTCACAATGATGCGCCTTGCTGCCTCAGTATCACCACAATACAATGTCGCACGAGCCAACGTGGCCGCAGACATGATGGTCTGGATATGGTCTACTCCGAAATGAGCCCGACTCTCGGCAGCTATTGTCTTCAGTTGACGCTGGGCCTCTTTGAGATGTCTCATCTCTAACATCGCCCAAGCCCAATTGTACCTCGCGGTCAATGCTGGGCCAAGGCTGTTGGGATAAAACTTCTTGGTCTCTTCACATATATCCTTAAGCTGCTTCAGGTCATGCTTAGGGCGCTCTCCACGTTGACGACGATCGAGAAAGCTCTTCTTGAAGGCGATGGTCTTTGTCAAAGGATTGTTAGCACCAGAATGCCGTCTGGTATCCTGGTCGCACACTGTCAATATTGTCGAAAGCCTTTGCGTATGACCGAGGCAATCGAATAATGTCGTCATCACACTCAGTGCGGCGAGGCAGTCTTCTCCTGGCGATTTGGTATCTTGGAGCATGCAGACAAAATAAGACCTTGCAGTCTGAAGATGGTACTGTGCATGCTCCTGGAACCGAGGATTCTCTTGACCCACGCAATAACACCAATACAAGCAGTTATCGACAAACAGCGCTGCGTAACTATTGTTATCGTTGACCAAGGGACACCGAGTATAGTCACCACGACCCAGGATGTCGAAGCCGAGACCATGTCGCTCGTCGGTAGGAGTAATGCCCAGCTTGCTCAGATCAATGGGATCCGCGGACAGAGCAGCCACTGTGACATCTCGGGGAAGTTTTGCATACAATTGCTCAGTAGTGGATCGCCCGGCCGGGAGTCGCGGTTCCCTGTCTGGCAGTTTAAACGGCATGACCAAGCCTGGGATGGCTTGCTGCTCTGCTCCATTGTCATGATTTTGGCCCACTCTGTCGAAGCTTACGTTATTTTGAAGGTGGTCATAATGTGTGATATACTGGTTCGGACCTAGCCCTCCTCCTTGGAACCCTGGTCTCACGAGAAATTCCTGAGACGACCGAGGTGTACTCAAGGGAGACGGCATTGGCTTGATCATTGGAGATATCTCTGCGGAGCCAGTAGGAGCGATTAGTGAACCTGGTGAACCGCTTAATGGGGGAGTGTGGGCCACTGGCAAATACTTGATGTGCTCCGGGGTCGGTTCTTCCTTTGGTATCCTAGATAGCAAATCGAGCTCACTGGTAATGTCTCTGGATCTCTGGATGTATTTGGTGATGTGCTGTCTGGTCTTGAGCTTTCCCGAGAACAGGACAGCATCTTGGTATCCCAGCAAGGGCGCTTGGTCCAGACACCTTAAGATATGGGCCGCGTCCTTGACGGTTAGATGATGCTTATAGCCCCAGGCATTCAGCTGGGTCTTCCATGGTTTCATGCTAAAGAATGTGTTAGCCAAAAAGTAGGGGGCTGGACAGGCAGATGGAACTTACGTTTGATTAAAGCCGTATTCAACCTTCATGTGTTCCATGAGATCCCTCAGGGGCATATCATTTTCGACGTAGAGTTGCTTGATTAGGCCGCGGTGTGTACTAAACCTGGCTTCTCTGGCCGATTGTGACTCGACTCGTTTGACTTGAGTCAGTTGAACCGACGAGTATGGCCCGGCCATGGCACGCGCCTGATATCGAAGCCAGCCACAAAATCGATTGGGATGGAGCGTAGATGCAAGGGCAGGTGCCAGGGAAGTAAGTGGGCGTGGACGGGTACAACGACCTGATGCCCGTATAGGATGAACACGGGTCGAAGTTCTAGCACATCCAATCTAGGAGAGGAGAATATGCAACAGTCCACGCTGTTTGAAATTTGTTGCGAGCCATCCGGTGTGAATAGTTCAGCCAGGCATTTTAGCGACAAAGGGAGGCATATCTGTTTGGCTGGGTGGCAAATGGTGCATTTGTCGACTGGGGAAGACGTAGCAAAGTAAGCCTGGCAAGGCCGCCTTGCACCTTGGAAACCAGGCAGGTTGACTCCGACGAGGCCGGGGCGTCGGTTCACCCTCGTACTCCGGGCGGTGCTCCCTAAGGTCAGCAGGCACAACCGGGGTGGGATGTATACGAAAGTTCCAGCGCCTCGCCTCCGATTGGAACCAGGATGGAGGATCTCAAATGCAAAAATTCCGACTTGACTTTGGGCTAGACACTTCGTCCTCTCGTCTTGGAGGACTCAGGAAGCCGCTTCAGTGTCTCTGCGAAGCCTGCCCGATCATTATATTCAAAAGTTCCAGGAAGGTGGCGAAGGTCCCGCCTTGGACGACTGGATCGCTCCGTGCTGCTGCCGCTGACGACATTATACATTCCGGCTTCAGGGGCGCTGCCACCGGGGGGCTTTACTATGCATAGCCACCTCCAAAAGGCGCACAACCCGCGTGCACTGCACGGTGACTAGAGATACAATCCGTAGTCCATAGAGGGAGAGAAGCACTTACTCGTAGCAACCACCGAGTTCCATGGAAATCCCTCGAGTTCGCAGGCAAAAGACCTCCACAAGTTCTCAAGTATCCATAATTTCTACTCGATTGACTGGGTCTGTTCGATGCTCTGTCTCCATTCTGGGGAAAACGCTAGGCAATGAGCCTACGGAAGACACCAGTTTCTGACCCAGTAACTCCTGGGCCCCCATCCTGCATCATTAGGTGCTTTGAGCACCTGTCCAACACTTTCTTTTTCTCCCCATTCTGATCCGTCAGCAGTCAGCAGTCTAAGCCAGATCAGAGTCGGGCGCGTGCCCAAAGCGAAAAGCGAAGATGCAGCCTGCGTCAAGAAAGGGGGCCAAAGATGTTTGATAGGCCCTGGACAAGCTGAGGCCTTTGATGCCGGGCGACCATTCACGGACCGGCTTGAGTGGCTCTACCCCCGACTCACTCCTTTTAGAGGACGCGTGTTGCACTGTTGAGGGAGAAAACTCTTGCTGTTAGGCTTGATTCTTTGATCCGCTCGGCTGGGGAGGTAGACACCAGAGTCGTCAGTCTACAGAAATCCCATTTCTGCATCTTGAACGCTGCTCCCAAATTCCACGCTGCGCTTGATGGCCCCCATCCACGGGGACCCATCACCTTAGTTGCCGCCTGGGCGTCTCGACACCTCGGACTGAACTGGAGGCGAAGACGGGCATTCGGGCATTACTGTCACGTCCCAAGTCCAGAACCCTACCTAGATGCCCAAGGAACTTCTGTGTCTGGAGTCCACGACTGTTGACCAGCTCGCCTTACTACCTGACTAATGATACGGTGGCGAACGAACATTGCCAACCAGTCAATCCGGTCGTTGGCAGGTCATTGAGTCTTCACCCCTGCGGGTGCCTGGTCGACAATCTACAGTGCAAACGATCTTTTTTCAGATCTTCCCCCAATGCTCACACAGTCACACCACAGATCGCCGCTGCATCGATCTGGATACATGGATACCTCTTCACAACAAGACCAAGCTAGGGACAAAAACCCTGGTCGAGACAACTTTTGCAGGTCATACCTCTCGGTATCCACGGATGGTTCGCTCCCCCAACAGGAGTGACAATTATATGATGTTGAACATTGCCATCCGGGGGGGTTGGGCTCCTGCACACTGCAGATCCCAGTGTTCGCAGACTCATAGCTTCACACAAAGGTCCTTCGGCCTGGACCAAAAGTAGCCTTGCTTGATGGCCCCCTGGCTTTGAAAATCTTTCTGAGCCACTGCCAAAGTTCACCTCCACCAATATGATACCCTGGGGCAGCTTGTGACTTCCCAATTCAGCAGTCATGGCATGCGCTTGATGTTGGACAGATCATCACAAGTGCACATGACTGCCAACTCCCAACGGACGGGCCTAACAAATCTTCAGCCCTTCAAGCAGATCATTGACCGCTATGAAACTTACCAGGTGCTAGAGTAGTGGAGGTATATCGCATCCTCCGCCACGAAGCTCATAGGACCCCAGCCGTGTCAGTCCACAACGCAAGCCTGTGTTTTACTCACGGGATCTGCCTATGGAGAACTGAACGCCACCACTTCTTCCGTTCAACAAGCTCTCCCTATGGCCGCCCACTTCTGTGGCATTTTTGACTGTGGCTCACGAACTCCTCGGGGGCACGGATCTTCAGTCCGGTCGGAATCTTTGTTCCCTGGCGTTGGCGCTAGATACACAGAGAAGCCAAAACCACAATGCAGGTGATGTCGTCGTGCGGCCCAGGTGGATTAACGAAAGAGCCGCACACCCAAAGGAGGAGCCGTGGATGGTGAGGGGCTGGTCGTTAAGCTGAGAAGAAACAATGTGGGATGGTCCCTTCGTTTGATAAGTACATGACAAACCCATCAACTTGTCGCTCTTCCTTTGTTCACAGAAGAATAGTCGGCAATTTTGACAGCGGATAGTATCCATAGCATCTTTCAGCCACTGGCTTGGAGCATAATTGCAACATTCGACGAGTTGCACTGCATCGATTTACCACCAGTCTACGGTCATCCTGACTCCTTATCCAACACGGGATCTCAAATTCAAGTTCCCTGTGATCCCTAGAAAGAGGCCAAATCCGAAATTTGATACCAGCATATAAACGATCTCGGTCCTCAGCGTCTGATTTGGACATTCCTGCAATTCACGATCAAGGTCAGAATCAGCCTCCACAAAAGCGAGGGGTTTCCCCCATTTAGCAGTTATGACAAACCTGATATCCAAAACTCTCTCCAACATGGCGATGTACACAATGAGGGCACCGTCTCAAACAAGTAGCACTGTCAGCGTGAAAAGCGGAATAGCCGGGACGCAGCCGACAGAGAAGGATGGATACGCATTTGAGAATCACAAGCAGCATCCGGCCATCTCACCAAAGCAGACTCAGAATGACATGGCACCCATCGCACGCTGGTTCGCAGAGACCCCTGTCGACGAAGGCTGGAATCATATTGCCAGGACTCAGCAGGATCTGGTTGCTTTGCGCGTCAAAGTAGCTCGAGTTAAGCTTTGAATCCGTTCTGCAATTCAATGGTTGAATATGGTCCGACAGAAGCAGTCTTGGTGAACTTCGGCCCTACTACCCCTCGTATCTACACCGGTCAATATGAGAAAGATATAAGTACGACACCAGCATTCACAATAACACTAGCCGCCAGCCGTCATACAACACTATCGACGAATGAGACAGACCTTGGCCGCCATCATGAATCCATGAGATCTCTGGTGTCAGCCGTCCTATATCGCTGGTGGTGAATCAGATCCCGCGCAACCATTATATGTATTCACGACATCCATGGTGCCGCATGGAGGATCGGTTCTGGTCTCCACATGACGTGGTGATGATGAGAGTGTTGACTCACTGTACCAAATGTGTCGACTGGTATCCGGATTGTGACCGCTTGTTATTTCCACTTCGGCATTGAGTTGTGGGTGCGAGGCTAGGAAATGAATTCTAATATTTGGAAACCCATATCATTTCTCCTTGGTTTTTTGTGGGTAATCATCGAAGGCTGCTTGGTTCAATGTAGGCCGATATATTTATCGTCTCAGCGACGCTGTTCTAGAGGAGACTGCGTAATCCAATATTGAATAGACCACTTCCAGCCAGAATGACGACGGCTGACCTAGCTGAATAGCTTAGAATTGATCTAGAGAGAGGATATAGCAGAAGTCTGCCCCTTTGCGCTTTCTCCCAAAGTCTCTCGTAGGTCATGAAGTTATCTCTTATAGATATCTTGGTACACGTGCATCTGTTGTGGACGTGGTGGCAGGAGCGTTGGAGATTGGTGGGAGCCAAACCGCGGACTTGCCACTGGCAGGTGCAAACGGAACACGACGTCATCTCCTGGATCGCACCTGCCAAAGCCGTCCAATCTCCCCAACTCGTTCCTGCCTGCGATTGCGATCAACAGAACGACATCCACGTGCGAGGTGCGAGTTGCTCAACGTCTTCGATTGTTGCTGTTCAACTGCGCCATGGGAGTTTTCTTGATCGCGTATTTGTGTACTCTCGTGCCTTGATGCGTTCGTTTCGCATATTCGGCCGCTTTGCTGGCCAACGGACCTTTATCGACATCGCCTTCCGCGTCCCCCGCCGCCAATCTTCTTTTGCAAGATGGTCACGAAAATATAGTCTCAAAGGGACCCGCCAGCGGACCTACCCTTCCATACTTCTTGCTGCAGCCACCCTCTCTCCTGTCGTGTTCGTTGAAATCTCCGAAAATGGCGCTCAAGATGGCAAGACCACCGAAATGCAGATGCTCGAGGCTTCCCGCGATGAGATCAGCAAGAAGGTGCCAGAAGACGTCCGTGGTTTGCGCCGTTTCTACAAGACAGTCATTTATGCTGTCGACCAATACATATACGAGCCGCTCGCTACAACATTCCGTTTCTTCCATCTTGTTGTCATATTTCTTCCCGTCATTATAACCATCCCTCTGGCTCTGGTCGGCCCCCGCAGAAAACACAATGACAATGAGCGTGCTACCACCCTGTGGTGGTATGCATTCCTGGTCAAATCGATGGAGAGAGCCGGGCCTGCTTTCATTAAGCTCGGCCAGTGGGCAGCTTCAAGGTCGGACATCTTCCCTGCCGAAATGTGTCGCATTATGGCAGAACTACATTCCAATGCCCCCGCGCATTCTTTGCGCCATACGAAGCGGATCATCTCAGAAGCATTCGGTGGCAGATCTTTCGATGAGATCTTTACCGAATTTGATGAGAAGCCTCTTGGAGTAGGTGCTATTGCCCAAGTCTACAAGGCCAGGCTCAAACCAGACCTGGCCAAACTCGAGGAGAGCGACCTGGAAGCACACGAGAAGCAGCGACTGAGCCACAGGATCAGGAGAAATGTCGATGCATTGGTAAAATCGAGTCCGCAAAGAGTTCCATCAGCCTACGTGGCTGTCAAGGTTCTCCATCCTAAAGTTGAACGGAATGTCCGCCGAGATCTCAAGATCATGGGTGTCTTTGCCTCGATCATCAACGCCATCCCCACGCTGGAATGGCTGGACCTGCCCAATGAAGTCGCCAACTTCGGGGAGATGATGCGACTCCAATTAGATCTCAGGATCGAGGCCGCAAATTTAACCATCCTTCGCAAACATTTCCAGAACAGAACCACAGCATGGTTCCCATATCCCTATACTGACTTCACGACCCGCAATCTATTGGTCGAGGAGTTTGCTCAGGGCATTCCCCTGGCTACCTTTCTAGAATCTGGGGGCGGCGTGTTCCAGAAGGAGATAGCAAATGAAGGCTTAGATGCCTTCTTGCACATGCTTCTAATAGACAACTTTGTCCATTCAGACCTCCATCCGGGTAATATCATGGTCAATTTCTACAAACCCACTCAGCCTGATGTGAGATTACCATACCTGTCACGACAGGATCCCACCGAACCATTATCAGAGTCCGAGATTGACTCATCAGAGGCCGTCCTCTGTAGGTTAAGACCGCATACAGGCAATAAGGGAGAGTGGATCTCAGCACTCGATCAAATCGACAAGGAAGGTTATAGGCCACAATTGATTTTCATTGATACGGGCCTGGTGACAGAGCTCAATGAAAAGAACAGGACCAATTTCTTGGACCTATTCAGAGCAATCGCAGAGTTTGACGGGTATAAAGCTGGTCACTTGATGATTGAACGGTGCAGACAACCCGATGCCGTAATCGATGGCGAGGTTTTTGCCCTCAAGATGCAACACCTAGTCCTTGCCGTCAAAGGCCAAACTTTCGCCCTTGGCAACATCAAAATCGGGGACATTTTGTCACAAGTCCTCGGCATGGTGAGATCTCATCATGTTCGGATGGAAGGAGATTTCGTGAACGTGGTTCTCTCTATTCTTCTCCTCGAAGGGATTGGCAGAACGCTTGACCCTCAGCTCGACCTCTTCCAAAGCGCATTACCTATCCTCCGACAGCTTGGATCTTCTGACCCCACTGCTGTGCTGCGAAGCTTCAAGGAGGGCGATTTCTCGTTGTTGAAGATTTGGGTCGGCCTAGAGGCCAGGAGGTTTTTCCAAGCAAGCGCTGAGAGTGTAGAGATGTGTGTCAAATACGATCTTCTCAGTCCCAACGTGTAATGCCCAGGGAACAGGAGTCGGTATGGACTTGGAACGGAAGGAGCGCCGTCGTAGCCACGTCGGCCCCTCGCAAGAAAGCCGTGCATCTAGCTCTCTTCATTATGCAATGCGATGCACGAGGCGTGCTTGAACTTCGGTTCTAAGAATCTCAATTCTATCCAAAACTAGACGACATGTCTCGTGGACGACAGGGCTGCAATCAGCTGGCTACCGCTTCCACTCCCCCACAGGCTTGGAAAGCACTATGTATCACAAAATGGTTCACATGCAACTTCGTGAGGACGGCTGCCAACCGGGTTCCCCCTCTGGTGGGGTTGGCACCCGGCTAAAATATGACCGACAAGGCCGTTCCTCCTTCATTTAGGTTATCTCACCTAATAGAAGGCCAACGTCACTAGAACGTGGGATCGGTACGGAGTACATATATATATAATTCAACCGCATATCTTTGTAGAGAATCTATTGAGGTCATTTGTCGAACACGGCATAGCGCCATTACCGCATACGCTAGGCCCGCCAGATCCACACCTCCCGAGACGAACAACTATTATCCGCTCGGGCCAGGCCTCCAGCTAGGGAAATTCCCAACGAGGCACAACAGTGGATTTGTACCTTTGCTGGATCAGGATAACGCTCGGTATGAACAAGCAAATCTGAAGTGCTTCAGATCAAGACAAGACACTTCCTGCTGTGGTCGGCTACGATCGGTTGAGGCAAGCGCAGCTATTTAGGCTATATTCCGTCAAAGCCGGACTTGGCATTGTCCGTGGGAAGCCAGCTTAACCAGGGGTCAATGCTATCGCTTGGAAGCCATAGGGTTGCATTCCGTACGAGGACTCGATTCAGTTCAGACCATGGGCAGCTAAGAGGCGATCGAAGTCGAGTCCTAAGCTGCGTCTAAGTGCCTTGTAATTAAGCTGCCCAGGACAAATGCCGGCCCGATGGGGACCATCGCCTGTTGACCAATCACAATGTCGATAACGGCGGATCAGAAGGCCGGCATTTGATAGCGGATATTGAAATATACCCCATACTCAAAGCTATGGAGCTGTGGGGTGGTGGGGGTTTCCTTGGGTTTCCCACCTAAGGTCCGGGGGATGTAAACTCCATCCATTGTCCTTGCGGCTTGTGGAGAGTGAGACGGAGTTGTGTGGCTTGTTAGGTCGGGCTTGACACGGTCCAAGGTGCCGATATGACAACCGGCCAGTGGTTCACACATGGGCGCCAGGACAGCAGAAGCGTTCCTAAGCTAACCAAGCACAGTCAACACCCGAAGCTGGTGTCCCTTGCCCAGTGACGTTCGCTGATCGAATCGACACCGTCGTACGGAGTACAGAGTATCATGCCATCCAATCACACGGAGGATCTCCCCAGCCATGCGCTCATGCTCCCCTAGCCCCGCAAAGCCAAAGGTTGCTCCTTGCTTGCTTCCCCATATGCTTCTCTCGTATTCACGAGACTCGATCCATTCCAGAGCTTTCTAAGGCGTCGGTACAAACGCCTTGCCTTGCCGGTCCAACGGTAACTACACAAAGAGTGGCGTTCATTCAAGCTCCACATCGTCAGCCCAGACTTCTTGGTCATGACTTCCACGCTACCCGAGTACAGAGTGTTTGGATCATCCCCACGATTCCTGCATGCAGCGATAGAAGCTCAGATTCATCGCCTATGAGCAAAGTTATACCGGAGGCGAACAGCCTCCATTCTTCATAAAAGACAAGGGTGCCCTTTTTTTTCGTCATCTCTTGCACCCCTCGTTCTATTCATTCCTTCACCCTAGCTTTTGTACCATAATCTCACAGAGGCACTACGGATTTTCAACATGGAGGACGAGAAACCACGTCAGGTGGACGACGTCGTGCTCGACCATGACATCCTCGGCGATAAAGCTGGCATGTCTCGTAATGAGGCTATGCATTTTGGAGTCCTTACTCCAGAAGAACTAGAGATCGAGAAGAAGCTAAGGCGAAAGATTGACATGAGAATCATGCCAATGGTTGTGTTGGTGTACTTGATGAATTACATTGATCGGTAAGCAAGCTTAAACTGGACTCCACCATGCTGCGAGGTAAACTGGTTAACGTTTTACGAATAGAAACAACTACGCTGCTGCACGCTTGCAAGGCCTTGAGGAAGATCTAGGCCTGGTAGGAGACCAGTATCAGCTTGGTAATTATATACGTCAAAACAAATTGGCAGGCTCGATCGACTAATATGTTCTTCAGGTCTTTCCATCCTGTTTGTCAGCTATATCCTCGCTCAAGTACCATCCAATTTGTTCCTCAACCACCTTGGTCGCCCATCACTCTACTTGGGATTCTTCACGTGCGCTTGGGGTCTCGTCTCTCTCCTCACGTGCTTGGTCAAAAATTTTGCAGGCATCGTTGCATGTCGATTTGTGCTCGGTCTCGTGGAAGCACCGTTTTTCCCTGGTGAGTGGAACATGACCCGGGCAGGTTTAGACCACCATCAAGTTAACTGAACGCGATAGGTGTGCTGTTCTACCTTTCCAAGTGGTACACGAAGGAAGAACTGAATCTGCGGATGTCCATTTTCTACTCAGGGTCATTGATCAGTGGCGCTTTTGGAAATTTGATTGCCGCTGGCATCCTGTCTGGTCTCGCAGGAAAACGAGGTCTCTCTGCATGGTAAATTCTTCGCAACCACATTTACTCCCGATCCATAAAACTAATCGATTCTCTTCATCCGCAGGCAATGGCTATACATCGTCGAAGGAGCCATCACAGTTGCTATTGGAATTCTGATCATGTTTGTCTTGCCTGATTTCCCAGACACCTGGAAATCTCTTTCCCCAGAGATGAAGCATGTGGCCAACCGACGCCTGGCGGTCGAGGCTGCCGAAGCTGATGTCGACGAGGCAGGTGCCATGTCACAAGTCAAGGGTCTCAAATTGGCCTTGACTGACTCCAAGACCTATATGTTGGCCATTGCCTATATGTGCATCACTGGTGCCGCCGGCTTCCAGAATTTCTTCCCAACCCTGACCGGCACCCTCGGCTACACCCGCATCATATCCCTCCTCCTCTGCGCGCCACCTTACATTTTTATCTTCATCTACTCGATGGTGCACTCCTTGGTGTCCGACCGGTGGGGCAACCGCTTTTGGTTCTTCATGTACCCAATTCCGATCACGATTGTTGGCTGGGTGATATTCATGACAACCAACAGCTTCGGACCGCGATACTTTTCACTCTTCCTGATGACCTTCATCTTCGCGATGAACGGGACATGCTATGCTTGGATCGCGGGCGCTATCCCACGGCCACCAGCCAAACGTGCCGCAGCGTACGCATTCATCAACTCCATCGGCAACTCCGCCAGTATCTGGACCCCATTCACGTATCGCACTCAGGACCAGCCTCACTACCGCCTGGCCCTGGGCATCTGTATCGCTCTCCAGGTCGTCGCTGCCATCATGGGTGTCAGCATGCGCATCAAGCTTACCCGCCAGAACAGCCGTCTTGAGCGTTTAGAGAACGAGGACCAACCGCTCAGCGAGCGAGATCTCAAGAAGTTGCGTAAGACCGCAGAAATCGAGGGTATCGATATCGCCGCCGCCAGGAGACTGCAGAAGGGCTACCGCTTCATGATTTAAATGGGCTGAGCTAGCTCTCAGCCGGGGATGGTGAATGTATATATACTGTCATCTCCATGGGTAGGCTGCTTTTGAGTGAGTGTGAGAGATTGGAGGAGAATTCGCGCCCGTCCGCCTGTGTATGTGCGTGTGGGACCAGGTATTTCTGGGACCATGCACAACATAGTGCGAAGGCCATGTGACTCGAGTTCTAAACCACTTTTCAAACAGGGCAAGTTTGGTGAAGGTTAATATCGGTCCTGGTCAGTACATACACAGTTGAGGGATCGATGGAGACATAAAAATGGCCAGAATCAGCCATTCATTCATTCAATTAATAATCTGCGAATCAAGCACTTTGTCTAGTCATATCACCTCATCTCGTGTCACGCGTCTAGCTAATGATTAACATGAGCATGAGCATGAGCATGAGCATGAGCACGAGGGACAGCAGAGAAATGGAGACAAATGAATTAGCATGTAGCAGAATCGTGGACTAGGCGCACGCCGGGTAATGCAGCATTACATTAATTGACAAGTCGACCTTAACGCCAGAGGCTACTACGTTATATATGTACTACATATTTATACATATTTATCCAGAGACATGGAACACAGGCTGAGGGAAAGAGAGGAGTAGAGCAGGTAAAGCGAAACGGAGATCGGAGGTTCATCAACACATGTAAATATATAGATATATATATATACAATCCCCGAACAGTCGCCGACCACCACTTTTGCGCCGACTGATCCCCCGCCACTTTGCTCCCCCGCTAACGACTATTTAGTCCGACTCGCTCCCTCGTCCGCTTTCTTCTGCTCCCTTCTGCTCCCTTCTACTCCTTTACGGCTCTAGCTATTTCCCGAATAAGTATTATTAATTAGTCTGAAGAGCTCCTATCTGAGGACATCTATCTGAGTTTATATAGGCAATATTGTCGGCGTTGCAACAGGCAGACATGCCCTTTGAGGAATACTCCGCCCGGAAAGGTATATAGATCTTGAAAGAGCCCGAACTGCCCTTCGACCTCTTCGTCTTTTGTCCTGTACTTCATAGTGCATCAAGATAGTTGTATCAAGGATTCCCCCGAATATCGTTTGAAGCCCTTCAGAGTCCCTTAAAGCCTTCCCTCGTCGTGTCCCTGACACTGTTCAGCACTTTCTCCCCCTTGCTTCCTATCATACCTTCTTGCTTCTATCTTCAAGTCTACCGCGGTCTGCCTAATATTCTTGGTGGGACGGGTGTGGTTTCGAAGTATAGAGAGTTGTAGAGTATCAGGCCGACCTCCGAAGTAACCTGAAAGTAAGGGTCCTCAAAATAAATCGGATCGAGAGGGACTGACAGCCATCGGCCTATTATGGGGAGGCCAAGTCCAACCTGTTGAAGCAGTACCCAACGGGGTCGGGGAAGAAGCGAGCCGATCTGATTAAGATATTGACGATCTCGATCCAAAGGAGTACAGAGATAGACAAAGGGTAGACCGCTCTCGCCAAGCTGGCCACTAATACGGAATGGCCTCATCTCTTCGGGAAATGTGAGTGATTCACCGATCGCAAGTTGGCCGATGGTTGGGATCAAGATATGTACAATCGGCTCAGGACCAAGGCGGGGTCGACCATGTTCCACAATATAGGCCACGAGCGTGTCTAAATCGTGTTGATAGCCTAGGAAGTGAATACCTAGAGGGTCTCTGCGGTTGATATCATCGAATTTAGCGTGCCATGTTGTGCTCTGATTGAAGACGAAGAAGTAGTGCGGCCTTGTATCTTCTTGGTGCTTCTCAATCATACTCCGGACATACGAGTAGACGTGATTAGGAAACTTGTCTCCGCGAGAATTCTCTGAGTATACGTTGTCCGCTATCCGATCGAGGCTATCACCCATCCTCTCAGCTTGATCCGCCAGCTTCTTGATATACTCCACAGCAGCACCGTTGGTGATCAAGGAGCCGACGTTGATGATCTGACCGAAAACGTTCGGCTTGGCAAAAGTCTTCATATCGGTAGCAATTGACTGTAATGCCTCTGTGATATTTCCCATCTCAGTCGAGATACTGGCAGTTCCATTCATCTGGGCCGTCGTCTGGGACATTGTAGCGCTTGCTTGTAGAAGTGTTGCCGCGGTCTGCATTCTTGCATGATCGGACTGCTGTGTCGCCAGGTTGGAGATTGTGTCTGGTATGTTGGACTGTTGTGTCGCCAGGTTGGAGATTGTGTCTCGTATGTTGGAAAGCTCTTGAGCGCGCCTATCGGGTACGACTCGATCGTAAACGTTCGAGGCCAAATTCGACACGGTGCTGACCCTAGCGATGGCGTTATCCACCCAATCCGGGATTTGAAGACGTCGCTCCATTTTAAGTTCTTCGGCAGACCTATAATTCACAATTCGTTGATAGAAAGGAGAATAGAAGATGGTCCTATTCAACGCAAATCACAATAAGTAATCAGATCAGAGGCCGAGACCATGCAGTAAAACTTGAAAAGGGGAGGGGGGACGAGAGTCAGAGAATTGATCAACTCTTACTCCGTATGATCAACCTTGCTTAACGGTTAGTTAAATACAATGGATGAAGGAGTTGTACGCTTAGGCAATGATGGGGGTTGAATCGTGTTTGAGGAAGTTGCAGAGATTCTAGTGCTGCGACAAGGCAGCTTTACTTGTTGGAAAGAGACCACAACCACTCATTCTTGTGAGGCTGGCCAGTTGGCTGGCCAGCGTCAAACCATTGGACAGAATTGAGCAACACGGTTCCGATGCTAATATCTAGACGATGACCTCCTTAGGATTTCGCGAGTCCAAAACAGACGCTAGAAGCCCTTCACAAGGTTTTGTCCTAGAGAGATGAGACAAGGCGACGCACGACCCTTTCGGGACCTTGGTCGATGATGGACGCTGTGCAGCTGGTAAAGCCAAATGCGCCACGGAGGAGTTAGAGACTTGAAGGGGGCCAAAACGGGCTGCGTCGAGGGTGCATAGGCAGTGAGGCTCGGAGTTTGGGGGATCAAGGCGTACTCGGAGAGGCAAGCCAGATTTTCAAGGACCCTGGGGATGGAATTGGAGGCGGGGGTTCTTATAGCGACGTAGAAAGCGGCACTGCCAAGCCGTCCCCAGACTCGAACCATGTGGTATGGAGAGTGGCCCATTACGTAGTTTGTCCTTACAGGGTGATACGATTTAAACCGGAGGCTGATTTCCCAGCAATACAGTAACTTCAAAATTTAGGCTGCAGCGTAAGGGCAAGGAATTTGCCAGGGACCCAGAAGCCCGTCCGAAACAGATGCGCCTAGCTGAGAGGCAGGTATGGCCAATTGCTAAGGGGCCTGACTTGGCCCCCCATGAGTCCGAACTGGTTTCTGCGAATTGGTATCAGGGCAGTGCTCCCTGTGGCCCACCCATTTGCTCAGCCGAGCCTCCTCGATGCTCCGTCACGTGCCAGATTCAAGCGGCTTCGCTCCCTTTCCTGAATGAAAAAGGTAAGGGACAAAGCACAGTTCGGGGTATATATAACAGATATATATTTACATATATGTATATGCACTGCTCCCATTTCCAGCCAAGCCTGCTGCCTGGCGTGATGACAGCGTCCGACCCAATCCTGGCGTTTGTTGCAGAGTCCAAGAATTCCAAGGGCGTCGAATCGACGGCATTCTGGACGAGGCAAGCTGCGTCGAAAGTTTTTTGACCTACTCAGCAGGGTACTGGCCGATCCCCTGCGAGGTGCAGATAGGCCAATGAACGAGTCGTCTATGGCTAGTATTTCCGAATTTATGATACCGATTGATATAGAACGTAGCGCCTTAGTACCGAGCCTACCTATCTCTAAATCGATGACCATCTACTGGCTCCTTTTTCGTTTACTTGTAGACGCCACTGTCCCACTCGGACTACACTGTAGGATGCGTCGGCCCATGGAGGTAGAATTAGACCCCGTCAACGCAATGGTCGACGAGATCCGTCCGAACTTGCCCCCCGACCTGATCAGAATTGCTATACCTTGGGCAAAATAGGAGGACATAACACTGTGATTATAGTTCTGCCTGGGTTGAGAACAATACGTCGGCATCCATGCCTCAAACGCACGTCAAGAGGAGAGTCGGGAGGCGATTTTCCATTGCCCAAGTTGGATTCCCACCGCGTTCTGGCATCTTGCCTGCTTCATGCCTTGATTGTTGGGCGTTTCTGCTTGGTTGGACGCATGCGGACAAGAAATTGGGCCGGTAAGGCAGACTCATGAGGGCAGGACCCTGAACAGCAATTGTCCTTTTGTTACCAGGATATGGGATGCACAAAGAGGATGGGGGCCTGGTAAACCTTTACTCCGTCTCGTAGGCAATAGCGACGCAAAGGTCCCAGCGGTCAGCGCAAAATTCTCGATCTTCCAGTCATTTGAGCTTCGAAGGGGAAGAAGATGCGTAAGGCATGAGCGTGAGTGGCGAGCCATACAACATTCTTAGTGTAGTAAAGGATGAGCTAATGAGATTTTCACGACAACTTAGATTTCCTTATAAGTACTATTCACTTACGGATTTATATGCTGGCGGGCTAGTAGTTCCGAAACGCCGGACCTGGCGCTATAGTATAGACATAAAACTCAGCTTCTCTTTCCTCTCCTCCACATCTTAAAACGTTCGGCCCGCTCGTGTCATTTCAGCCTGGGAGTGCATGACATTCGGCTATTTGGCAACGTTGACGGCAGATGATGCGCTCGATCAAAAAAATGCTATCAAACGTGAGCTTGACTAAGTGGAGGAGAGTCTTGAGTAGAGCCCACTCAAGGTTAGCCCCTAAGAAGGGGGAATCCGTGGAACAGTGTTTTAGGGCCATAGAGCCCTGGCACGATGACTGATCCACGAGAATCATCAAAAAAAATAGCAAATGACATTAGGGAACAAACACTTAGTGTATAGATATAATACTCTTCCGATTGCGGGAGTGACATGACATAGCTAGTATTAAACATTTTATATATTCGTAGTATAGATACTACCGCCAAGAATTACCATAGCCTAACTATATCTCTTTTAGGTGTTATCACATAATATTACCTAGTCTAGGCGCTTAGGATCCAACCGGGGCTACTGGAGAAAGCGCAGCCTGTTCCAAAGGACTCGTTATTTCATGACGACCTATTCAACTCAACCTTCCGTAAGGTACGGAACAGAAATGAAATCCGGGTTATCCGAGGCACTTCTCAGCTGATTGTGCCCCCTACAGAAATCTTTACGACATATGGTGCTAGTGCCCTTGATTGCTTCATTAATCATGGAAGGGTGGAACAACTCCATTCCATTAACGAAAATAAGCACGCAACCTGATTACTCTGTCGAGTTCCACCGAGAAGCATTCACCGAGACCCAACTTCAGAAAATATAGCAGTTTGTGGGCGACCTCACCGACAACTCCTTCATAGGGACATGGCACATGTACTTTCCCATCTTTCTCGAGTGGAGTAAAGCTTTGGCCTAGAGAAAGTGTGAGAGAAGGGAGAAATCCGAAAACTATTAAATAGTAAATAGTAAATAGTAAATAGGCTTTTCCAAGCCCGTTTGATCCCCTGAGTAGTGCAATGAACGCCTCTATCGCCATCTTCCCGTTTTCCACATCATCCTGCAGGCACTCCATCCTCTCCACCATCTCGTCGTAAAGATGTCGGACGACCTTGGCCGGAAAGGTCGACCGCCTCAGGTCGGGGAGCTTATAGGGTTGAACGATGACGAGGTGGTGATTGGCTTAAACAATGGGATTAGGATGCATGTCCCACCGATTGGTGTTATAGTCAGGAAGATTCAGCAGGCAGATTTGACACCTTGACTGAAACGAGGGCGAACATTTGCGACAACGCACGGCAGGCTGGCTGATGGTTTTTAATCTATTGAAAGGCTCTCAAAATATTTCTCCGGGAGGGTGGCGGCACCTTTCCACCCACCCGTGCAAGGCTCTGAAGTTAGATCGCTTTCGAGCCGCGACCCCGTGAATCCTATCATTGGCGAAAAGGTGTCAGCATGTGTTGTTTACCGCCCAGGCTAAACGCTTGACTTCGTGCGCGGGCGGCAAGGGTAATTGAACGCGAGGAATAACGTTGGGGGCGGGCCGACCCCGCTTCGGCCCCTCTTTGGCTCCGAGTGTTGAACTCAAAAACCCTTAGTGCGCCGCCGGCTGAGTTTATCTTCTTGACCATCCATTTGTGAGCGAAAATGCCAATTTGGCAGCATGGCAGACCCATTGTCTCTCGCTGCCAGTATCATTGCAATCGCTGAAGTGGCCGCTGGAATTGGCAAGGTCATTTCAAGAGAATGCAGCTGTTAACAACGAGGAGAATACCAGATGATTCTCTCTCAATTAACTTTGCCACGCAAGGGGATATCGATGGTTTAAAAATCATGTTCAGTCAAAAAGTAGCCCACCCGTGGGATGTCAGCCACTCTCGGGGATATTCTCTGATGCGAGTAAGTCTATGCTTGAAAATTGAGCATTGAATATACTTATAAATGCCTAGTGGGCCCTTTTACGGCGGAATGCACAACTACGAAACCGTAAAATTCCTCATCAGTCAAGGGGCCCTAGTCGACGAAATGTAAGGGCAGACCCGCGGTTCCAGTGTCTTGGCTGACGAAATAGTTCTTATGACAATGTGTGGGACTTTCTCTTTTGTGGAAAGTGCAATGAGACGGAGCAGTTCGCGCTCCGCTGTATCACTGAAGGAGGTGAGGGCAACTGGGAGGAAGAGCAGAATTTCCCGCTCGTCCACAGAATGATTTTTGGCCTATCAACCAAGTCATTAGCGGCTGAACTCGACGAAAACCCAAATGCTGTTTACCTTACGGATACACAAAACCGAACGGCACTTGGCTGGGCAACAGCAAGAGCTCAACTAGACAATATTGCTCTTCCTGAAGTACGGTACTGACCCCAACAACAGGACATCACAGGGAGAACTCCAGTCCTGCATGCCGTCGACAGTCATAACACTCCCTGTCTCCGTCTGATACTCGAAGGAGGCGGTGATCCGAATCCCACAATGCCAAAGGGTGTATTCCGGAGCAGCCCCTTGACCGCAGCGGGTTTTCTGGAATGCCAGAATTGCTCAAACTACTTCTCGATTTTGACGCCAATCCGAAGGCCAGCAATCCTGAAGGGCTAACCGCCTTGCATTCCGTCGCTCGCACCCAGAATGTCGAATGCGCACGCCTGTTGCTCGAGTATGGTGCGGACTTGAATGCTATCTCTGGTAGTGGTGTAACTCCGCTTTCAACAGCAATCCTACATAACAACCATGCAGTCCTAAGACTCTTCGTCGATCAAGGCTACGACTGTATCGCCACTGCCCGTCTCAAAGGTAGGTTCGGCCTTTACTGCCGAGGAAACATCCACGACTCCCTTTCTTATGATTTATTCGATGATTGTTGTATCGGAAGACTGGACACTGACATTCCGCCAATCATTAGGCATCAATCTTCTCTCGACCGTTGCGGAGCACGCCGACGTGGAGACCATCCACATCCTCGCCTCGTCGCATCCAATGAAGATCTCGTACGATCTCAAGGCTGATAGCCTTGCCGCAACTCGAGAAATCTTGCAGCAACATCGCGATTACAGCGAGGAAGTGTCACAAGGTTTTGAAGAGTTGGTTGCCATCGCCAAAGCAGAAGAAGCCGAGTGTCGCTCGATCGATAGTCTAATCGAGTCGGGCCTTTTCCTTTCTGCAAAGTCGTCGTTCCATGAGGAGTTGGCCGAAGCCCTCGCGAAGCTCGAAACTGTTGCAGTTAGCCCTACGTCAACGGATTACTTTGAAGACTGCCAAGAGAATTTGATTTCGTTGTGAAGAACGTCTAGGCGGTAAGATCGGAATGCATCCGTACGGATGAGAAACAGTATCGCGTTGTGCGCATTTGAGCGATTGAGCGGTTTACCGTAATGTTTTTGATGAGACCCTGACCATGATAAAGGGGTGGTGAAATGCTTCACTCTTAAGCACGCGCGTCCATGTGAATGATGGCGTCGAGCCATTCGGGCTGGATAGGTGTAGTGTCCAGCCTCGATGGAGTGTGACGCTTCTTTCATACCACAAGCCTTTGCCCAAGTATAGAAACATGCATGCAGATGATCCGTTTTACGGCAAATGTCGCCCATCTGGTATTATAAGATTCTGGCCGTGTGTCATCCGGCGGCAGTGGCCGTTTCTCCGATTAGGGAGATATGGAGAATGACGTCAAGCAGATTAACCTCTACGATTGGGCGTAGTCTAGAACGCAACAATTTTAGACCTTTGACCTCCCAAAGGTTCGACTACTGGTGTTGTAAGATCTAGCATCTGCCATGTCGGACCTAGACGCCACGACCACGCGTATCTTCCTCGCACGCCACGGTGACTAACTGGGCTGTATCTCTAGCACCCGGAAAGAAACAAACTGAGTGGCATGTGCACAACTTCAGGGGAGACGGAATGGGCCAGGAACGGCCGCTACACGGGAATAACGGAAATTCCGCTCACGGCGGAGGGGGGACGTCAGGTCGAGAGCACTGCCAAGCAGCTCGTTGGCCCAGGCAGGCTCATCGACCCAAGCCGCGTCGCTCATGTGTGGGTCAGCCCATGGAGGCGGGTACAGCAGACTTTCCGTCTCCTTTTCGGTGACGGCGGTGCCGAAGTCGCAGGTGAAAAGGTCACCCTGAGGAAGATATCACCGAGTGGGATACGGCGACTACGAGGGCTTGGTGGTGGAGGAGATTATTCGGCGGCTGAAAGCCAAAGGCTTGGACCTAAACCCGCAAGTACAATATCTGGGGGGATGGATATGAAGGCGGCGAGTATGGCTTGACCAATGTCTTACTTTTGTCGGATTGGCTTAGCAAGACATAGGATGGAAAGCGGCTGATTGTTGTCCCTCTTTGAACAGATCGCCACAACAGGTGACCAAGAGACTAAACCGCCTGATTACACAGATCAAGGAGACCCAGGCGCCATATATAGATGGTGGACGCCCGGTTGATGTTGTGGGCTGGTATGATCCACCTCAGGACAAGCACCACTGTTCTATTCTCCCAGGCAATACTGATTTTTTTTGGGCCAGGTTGCACATGAGCTTATCCTGCGATGTTTCGTCAAGCGATCGCTTGGCTATCCCCTAGATGACCCCTTGCCGATGATGTCCTCGCCAGGAGCGATTGGGATGCTTAGGTATGTGCTAACTCTCTTCCCTCATTGCGGACACTGGTGACGGAAAATCTTAGCTATAAGAACCACGATATAGAAGAACCGGGATTCTTTCTTGGTATGGCACTGCCTCCTCAGCCGTAGCTGCCAAACGGAAATATAGAACTCGGGTACCAAAGTTTCTTCCATTTGTCTCAGAAAATACACGAGAAGACTAGCATTTTTATCCAAGCCAGGTTCAGGACACCAATCTTCCGCGTATAGAACGAGCATTCACATCCCAATAGTAGCTTTCCCATCAGCGTCCTAGGCACAAGTGCCTCCGTTAATATCAAATTCCTGCCATCTCCAGCTGGTCAGACAGGGTGTAACGGCCACGAGTAACCACCGGGAACATGCCTTGTGCCGCATGAACTTGCCAGTCGTCTACCGTACACGGAATGCGCCGGCCACCGTTATATATATGCGTCGGAGTCGAGCGCCAGAAGGAAGTTTATGTCAAGGCTGAGAATACGAGGCTGAACTTTGATATAGGCGCAATCGCGCTAATGATGGTGTTGCTTATTGCGGCAGTGACCTCGGTGGTCAACATAAATTAATCATGTCATCGCGTTGCGACACCTTTGCTATCGGCGATGTATCAGTCTTACGCATTGATAGCGCCACGAGGATTTTGGACCTTTGCACTTCTGAACACGCAATCTCCGTTAAAGATTTTCGATACAGTCCCTATCTTCGAAGGTAACGTCCCAGTAAGTTAACCCCGTGTTTGGACAAATATGCCCTGAGTAGCATCCACACCGGCTCGAATTGGGAGCGACGACGCTCTTGAACATTATGAAGAACAGGAGTATGTTCTACAGTCTAGGAGGTGTCGTAAGGCAATCACTCACAGCTTGGCTCCGTTTCCCAACCTTGACCTTCTAGTTATGGACTGTCCTGAGTATGGGAAGCGTCATGTTTGTACCTCTGAAACTGTCGCAATCCCCAACGAGATCTTCGCTGCCGCTGTTGCCGTACAGAGCTTGGAGAGATTATCAGTGACGAACGTTGAGCTCCACGATTTGCCAAATCTCGACTTCGGAGAAAACACCAAGATTGGCAATCTGCGGATACTGGATGTGCGCAACGTTGGCGCGTGTGAGACCGGAGCCCAAACGGGACGCTCACTGGCACGTGAGGGAGTACCGCAGGAGCGGGCCAGAGCCGTGAGGGAGCACAAAGGAGAGGAAGGGAACAGAAGGGAGCGGACGAGGGGGCCTCCCGACTACATAAGTAATCATTAGCGCGAGATCAAAGAGGCGGAAGACTAGCCGGCGTAAGAGTGGTGAAGGTCGACAGTTCGGGGGGATTTTATTCATGTTTATGTGTCCTAGCATATGTACATACCTTGGAACATCTTGGTATACTATCTAGGATCCTGGATATGTAGATTATTACATGCCCACTGGATCCCCTGCTTCACCACGTGTGACGTACTACACCTACGAAATCCGGAATGCTAAATGCTGTATCTATCTATTATCTAGCTACCTAGGTAAGTAAGTGTATAAGTAGGTCGCTACTTGTTGGTCCGTGGGTATGTTATACGCGCTGCGCGCAGGTTAGATTTCGATGCGCAGTTGCTATCGCCTCCGTTAGCAGGGGCAAGACCCACGCAAGGACAGGATAGGAAGAATCATTTGCTAAATCTTTTGTGTTCCGCACAAACTACATAATCATGCACTGTCTACTACGTATATAGGTGGTATTGGTATACAGGGACTATCACACACGTATGTTCATTCAGATATAAGATGAGGCTTCGGTTTTGCCTTTCTCGCACATCCTGCTTCCGAATTCAACAGGAAATAAAAGAGTAGCAGCGTCCTCCTAAACCCCGAGTCGAGTCGTGAGACCCTTTGAACCATATTCCTTCTTTAAAGATCAAACAAGTCAAGTCGCTTTATTTTTCACGTCCCGTTTTGCATCGCGTTTCCTCGCATGTCAGATTGAAATCTCGCAAAGTAGAAAAGGGAAAAAAAAGAATAAAGGTCTGCATTCAGACCTCGCCTCAACTCCAACTCTCACTAGTAACAGTGTTTCTCGAAAGGCAGGTATGCTCCTATCATGCTTGTGGCGACCAGGAAATTTCAATACAGTGAAGGAAGAAGGCGTAAAGTAGTTGAAAGAAAATAAATCGTAACCATGTAGGTCAATCAAGGTCCATGTAGTGACCTCGGCCTTGTTCGAAGCGAGACACTATGTAGACCGTGGCAAAAAGAAAATTGTTCGCTGATTGTAAAACCAGGGTCGCCAAGATAATGGCTAGGAAGTGAAGAAGTGGATAGAGCTGTGCATTGTGCCCCACTTATGGGAATGAGCCACGTGGGTGGCTTCTAGAACATCCCGCCGTCCTGGTGTAGACCCAAAGAGGTTGCACTTCGGTTAGGAAAGACTTGTACAGCGGGACTTCGAAGTTTCTCACGGCCGAACTCAGCCATAATGGCTTGAGTTCGGGCCCTGGCAGCCATACCTCCTCCCTCACTACTAATCTTTCTCAACCTATTGCGTGGACGGGATGGAGCTCGTTGCTGGTCGATGTAGGGCGGCTCTCTTCCTGACTCCGGCATCATAGGTGATCCTGGTAGCCGCGGGCTTGGAAAGGCATCTGGCTTCTCTGACATAGTATTTCCTCGACGGCGACTGGGATTCATTGCTGGAACTGGTGGAGTTGCAATCTGCCCAGGTCGTGGGCTGATGGGGAGCCCAACAAGAGGGACCGACGACGTACTGGAAATGAAAGTTGGCTCAGAAATCATACCCTTGGTGACAGACTTTTTGCGAGCAGAGACAGTTGTGGGCCGATTTTCAAGCACAGGGGTGGAACGACCTGTTGAAGGAGGATGCATCTGCGATACAGGCGATGGCAGGGCAGAGATGGCTACAGATGGGGGTTCTCTGGGAGGTGCAGAGAATCCGGGAGACAAGCCTGGCTGGAAGGGGCTCATCGGTGTCATCGGTGAATGTGGGAAAGGGGGTCGAGGAGATGGCCTGGGGCCTCCAGTAGGCATTGGGCCACTTCTCAAAGTGGGTGTACTTCCCATGGTTGGCGTTGCTGATCGGCTATCGAAGTAACCCGATGGAGGAGGTCGAGCATTGGTTGGATTGCTTGGGCGGCGATTGGACATGGCTGAAGAGGATCTCTCATAGTCGCGGTATTCCATTGGGGGACCATGTGGGTGGACTGGCGGCGGTCCTCGTGGCCGTCTCTGGTCCCAGTGGGGAGGTGGGCGCTGCTGGGGACCGTGTCTCCCATAGTCGGCTTGATGATAAGGAGGTTCATCCCTATCACGACCCATCCTACTTCGAGAACGTTCACCGACCTCGGACTCGGCTCTGTGCCTCGGTGGGGGTCGTCCAGAGGTAGGAGTTGCGGCCCGTTGTCGGGAGCGTTCAAACTCTTCTTGCGAGCCGTTCATCTGCATTGGTGGAGGCGGTCGTCCGTAAGCAGGGGTCCGTCGCCCATTCGAAGACTCAAACTCAGCGGGGCGTTGTCTTGGGGTGTAATGGCTTCCGCGGTCATCATAAGCTTGGTCAACATGATGTTCATCCCTTGCGCCCATATTCGGAGATCTCCCAGGCATATCCATTCGGGGAGTATTATTGCCAATACCAAGCATCTTCATAGCCTTAGGTTGAGGCTCGTTTCCACGCGGTACCAATGATGTCTTGCTTGATTTCTGCCGCAAAGCGTGAAGGGCGTGTGCTGCTGGGTTCTGGCGATCACTTCTCTGAGGTCCTGGGCTTCTAGATCGCTTTTCCACGTCTGCGCCCTTGAAGCCTTCCTGAATTCTTCTCGCCCGTTCTGCAAGCTCATTGCCAAATTCCTTCTGAGTTTCTGTACTCTCTCCGCGTTGATGGCCCTGCGCGACATCAGGGTGCCATGGCCGGGGGTTGTTGTGATGATCGTTCATAGCAGGAGCATCATTCCCAAGTATTTGTTGGGCTTTGCTTGTAGCTTGGTTTCGATGAGAGACGGCCTGACCAAGAATTTGCTGTGCCTTCTGGGACATTGTAGGGACATTGTCGGTTGGGGTGTAGTCTCCTGTGCCTCTTTGGGTGCGATGAGCGTTGTCAAATTCCCAGGGATCGCTGTGTGTGCTCTCGGGTGGGTTAATTGTGCGAGTGGTCGAAGCGATGGAAGTCTCCCGTTGTCGGAAGGCATCAGGACCAGGTTCCCGATGCCGCGAGATGACAGGCGAAGGTGGGGGCATGAATGAGGAGCGATCGCTGTCATTCCTCAGATGAGTTCGAATCAATCCACTCAAACCAAGACCGGTGGTTGGACCTAGGGTGGGTGAGTCGGTGTCTTTGATAGGCGAAGACTGATGAAGTGAATCCGATGTGTCCGGCGTATCATGGATGACAGATGGGGACGACGTATCAACCGAAGCAGTCGAGTCTGGCCTAGCAGCCTTAAGAGGAGCAGGCATTTGATCCCCGAAAATGAAGGCTTGAGAGTTGTCGCGCAGCGCTGGATGGACTTCCATAGGTGCTAAACGTGGAGGTGGCTCATATCGACCCAACATGGGGCTATCCATATCTGCGTCGTCCTCGTCACTACCATCAAAAGTGTCAAAGAACGTTCCTCGAGAGGCCGGCTGGTCGGTCAAGCTTTGCACAGGCAGTGCATTTTGGGCTTGGGGACTACTGAGTACGGCTTTGCTAGCTTGCAGAGCTGAATACTCATCGTTTTGCCGTTGGATGAAAGCCTCTACATGCGAGGTAACCTGAACGACATGTGCAGATGCGGCAGACTGAGCCCGTGACCGGGCTGCAGTAGAGACATTGCTGGACTGTGGGCCGTTGGAAGAGCTTTTGACGCTCGGAGACGCAGGACTTCTAGGGCGAGCAGGAGGAGTGTCGTACTGTTGAGCCACAGCTCCGTGGACGGGATGCTCAGCATACGAAGGTGACATGGGCCCAGCGTGCATTTGAAGTTGTCTCTGCTGAAATTGGTGTTCATCAAATTGTTGCCGAGGTCGATTAAAGAGTCCCATCGCTGTAGCCTTCCCACGGTCGTTCGGCCGGAGGCTTTGATCATAAACATCAATTTCCTGTTCTTCATGTGTGAAGGCGGGCGTTTGATATTTGCGTGGGTGGTGGGTTTGCTGTTTTAGTCCGAAATCGAGCGACGCAAGGGCTTGGTTTTGGACGGCTGGTGGTGGACTCAGTGGCCGGGGTGTGCTCGATGAGAAAGTGCCATTCTCCCGGCCAAACTTTTCAGCCAAGTTTGTAGCGCTACCGGATTGAGGTAGCATTCGGTTTGCAATGGGAGAGCTTGGGAGTGGTGGCTGGTTGGCGTGGTCGTTAAAGGGGAACCCTTTCCGGGAATCTGATGAAAAGTTGCGATTCAACAGGCTTTCTTCGCTACTATAATCAGAGGCGTGGCCGCGCGCATGAAAGCCTCCATTCGTGTTACTCTGCCTCTGAGCCGGCGAGTCCGAAGTGACGGATGTAGCAGCAGTTGAAGTGCGCCGATTGGATGGGCCCGATGCAGTGGAGGAAGCCGTTCCACGGCTCTTGCTGAAGCCAGTCGAAGGAGTGTTGACCAGGCTACTGTTCTCATGTTCTTCGGTTTCGGAACTAAGAGGGCGTTCGCGAGACTCTTCTCTGGCTTTCGCACGGTACTGCTGGTAGGTCGAGGATACAACGTCCTTTTGATATACGTGCTTGCCGACAGCGAGCGTGACGGGTTCATTGCCTAGCTCTCTATTGGACGAGGTGGCGTTTGGCACGCGATACATCTTCTGTCGACCTCCGAAGAGATTGTTGCCCTCTGTTGGTCTTGACCTGTTCAGGAGGTTGGTATCATCGTTCGCATAAGTGCCACTTTCGGAGAAGGACTGCGAACGTTCTGGCTCGGAGAAGGGCGGGCGATAGGGAAGGTGAATAGACTCAGTCTCGGATATTTCTGTAAGAGGGTTGTGGGAGAACAAATTCAGTCGGGAGGCTCGTTTTGGGAATAAGACACTATCATCACTTGCTTTGCCGAGTTTGGTGTTAGGATCATCTTGCTCTCGAAGCATGCTGAAGCGAGCGGAGAGGCCTGGCATCAACAAGCTCGTTCGGAAGTCATTGGTCTCGGGAAGGGCGGTGGTTAGATCAACCTCAAGCTTGGGTTGTTCGGCCTGCTTCTGCTTGCGCTTTAAACTGCGGGATATTTTGGATGGAGGCGGAGCGGTTATGGGCTGGGCTGGAGGAATCATGAAAGAGTCATCCTTCGCCTTCGGCTTCTTCTTGAAGACGTTCATTTTGAAAAGTTAGGGACAATATTTGAAAAGAAAAGGAGTTCAACTCGACTATGATGTGCATCAGTATTATTCTTAGTCAACGTAGATTTGGGGGGACTCACAAGACTAAAAGAGTGACTTTGGGAGCAAGTATGAGTTACAACACTGCCATGGGTGAAGAGACTCAGAGGCAAAGACGTCCTTCGTGGGATTGTCCACACGTTGCAGCGATTCCTGACAGCTGGACTGGAGTTGCGGAGCGAAAGGCGCCAAATCTGGAGATGGGGTTGAATGACGAGGCAGTCACTCGACGGGTGTGTAGTAATAGAGGATGGACTTGTTCGAAGGAGTGTGTTTTGACTTCAGATCCTTATCCGATCGAGAATGGATCTCTGCCAACCAGGGTGGAGATAGATCTGAGACGGAGCTGTCGCAGAGAGGCGAAAGATGATGGTTTGAGGCAGCGTGGCTGCTAACGAGCGTCAATGGTCAGAGAGCGTTGAGTGTGATGAGAAAGAGCGACAGCGGCGGCGCTGTAAAGGAGTGATGTTCTCAACGGCCCATGAGAGAGGTTGAGGTGAGAGAGCGCGTGGTGGAGGGAGGGAGCATGAGGTAGAGGAAGAGGTTGAGATTGAGATTGGTTATCGAGTGAGCCCACTTGTGCACGCGAACAGGGACCAGGCAGAGAGAGCAAATGCAGGCAGGCTGGGATGTAGTTGGATTTGCATGTGAGAAGGCGAGTTTCCGCTCGAATGCAAGTGTATCGAGGACTCGGGAGCCTGGTGCGAGGTGCTCTTACAACTAGATTCTGGTGACGATGGGGATCAACAAGTTTCCAGGATGTGGACGTGGATGTGATGTCAAAGCGGCTCGAGGGCGTCGGGTGTCAGAAAAGAATGGATGCTGGACCGGCAGACAAGGACAAGGCGAACAAGCGAAAGAGAGATAGAGAACTCGGTTCTCTTGACACGACAGTGACAGCTCCGGGGAGACGAGACGCAATGGAAAGGAATGTGTATTCTCTCAGGAAGGAGAAGGTGTGACAGGCAGGCAGGCAGATGGAGGCCCCCCAGTGGACTCGAGTCTGAGCAAACAGCAAGAGTTTGTTCAGGCTGTGTTGAGTGTTGGTACCCTGGTACCCTGGTACCCTGGTGCAAGGTTGACGCGTGCGGATGGGAACAAGAGGAACAAGATTGACAACTGACACGGTTTGGCCTGGTGAGTTTGACGGGGGTGCGAGGGTGGCCAGGGTGACCAAGGTGGCCGGGTACGGAGCACAGGCTCAGCGTCGCAAGGTACGGAGTACAGAGGGCTGAGGCGACTCAGGCGAGAAGTCAGGATTCAGAACAGGAACAGGTTTAGGAGCGGATATGGATCTTGGGAAGGACCAGGGGATGCGGGAAAGGTGGATTCCAACGTGCGGGCCGTTTGAGAATTTCGGAGAGAATGTCTGGCCCAGTGACCCGTCGAGAACGAGGCAATCAAACGAGGTGCCAATCTGTTTGTGGTGTTTTGGGCTGTAATGCGACCCCGAGAGGCGTGGGTTTCGTGGAGATGACACTTTGGGGAGAGTTTTAGGATAGACAGGTGTCAAAAAGTCAATAGCCGGGGGAGTGGACGGGGATATTGAGCTGTGGTGTTATAGCGGTAACGGTAAGTTGAAGGCGATAGGGCATCTAGGGCATCTAGGGCATCTGCTGGAAAGGGACGTTGACGAGGACAGCTGGTACAAGAAGCTTGAGAGGCAGCGTCGGGTCACACAGGTCTCAAACTGACGGGCATTGCAGATGGAGTGTGGAGGACGGACGACCGAGAACGTGCATGCTATTGGGGGAGCGGAAGTGACTGATGTGTTCGACTGTTGGAATGTTAGACTATCCGTATCACAATGTCAGAGCACTTACGAGTAGAACCCGAGCAGCAAGGAAAACAGGCTGGGAAGAAGGGACAGGCGGAAGCGGATAAGAGATGGTCCAGGGGAACGGCGGCGAGAGGCGTCTGGTGCGACGTGGCCCGTGGCTAGAGTCGCGTGTACGAGTAGCAAAGGATGTGGCTTGACTAATGGATAAGGATATGGAGCGAGGAGGACGACGGAGGGTGGCCGACAGGTAGACCAGCACCAACACCAACAATAATAATCCATGGTCAAGTACGGAGTAAGTGCCCTAAGTGCCTTAAAATGTGCCCGAGGACGACTGCTCTGCGGCTTGATAACTGTAGCAGCTGTGACCGTACAAGTACAGCATGGATGGATACTCCCTACAGAGTACTCCGTACGGGTTGAGGTGCCTAAATGCCCTGGACACCTACCTACGTAGGTACTGTATGTATGTACGGATACACAGGTAGTAGTAGCGTCTTCCCGCTGTCACTAACTAGGTACCGAGTCCGTGATTGTGCCTCCCCTCCCTCCCCTCCCACAACACGGCTTCTTTGCATAACCTTCGCACATCCTCTTGCAATTCTGAGACTGTACGAGCCTGTTCACCGCACTGGTCCAGTGACTGCAAAGCACAGTCCCCGTCCTGGCGGCATTCCCTCGAGTGGCTGATTCATTGCTACCGATTGTCCTCGAGCCTTCTTATCCCAGCACAAGAACCTCAGAGTCGCCTCCCACCCCTCCATACAAACTCTTCGTCGACTTAGTGGGTACAGTACCACTCCACGGTTCCGAACTCCCTACCAAACAACAACTGCCCCTTTTGACCTACCGCGTACCCAGTACCGAGTGCTGCTCTTCCTACGAGTACCCTTTCCCTGCCGAGTCCTGATCCAGGCTCTCCCAGCAATGGCAAAGCCCCTCTAGGCGACGACTAGTGAGATCGATGGTCCCGCGACCGGGGTCGTCGGAATTCCCCTTCGAGCACAAGTCTAGCAGGGGCATGCTTATTTTCGAGGCCTTGTCGGAGAAAAACTGGCCATTCAGACGCTGCACCCACTGTCCTTGCAAGGCCTCAAACAACTGTGTTTCAGTGGCGCTGCCGGCGCTTCGGGAGGAACCTTGGAGCTGGGCCGCAGCTTCATGTCAGTCCAATCGCGGAGCTATTTCACCACATACCCCTGAGCAGCGAAATTGCCGGGTCCATCCATTGATTGTCCTGCCCAGACACAGACTATCCGGCGCTCTCGACTATTCCCATTTCACTCTTCCTAGTCTTCGTGATTGGATCTTCGCTTTGGAATTTTTCAACATTGAGCTGAGCTTCCGATATCCTTTTTTTCAAATCCTCCCTCCCTCAGTGCTAGTCTCGATGCTGGACACGTGACAGAGATTTATTGGCAATAGACAGAGGGCTGGGAGCCTGGGACAAGCCCACTCACATTCATTATCGAGGCGAGCGGTGCTGGTGCTACCCAATTCAAGGTACTCCGTCCCGACTACGAAATTCTCCTGGAGTGCTCGCTCTCTCTCTCTCTCTCTCTCTCTCTCTCTCTCTCTCTCTCTCTCTCTCTCTCTCTCTCTTTTTCCCTCTCCCTCTCTCTGCCGCTGCTGATTCTTTTTTAGCCCAGGCACAAGACGACGTACGAGTACCAAGGACTCCGTCATGGTCCGTACGAGGTGACGCATATCCATACCAGAGACAGGCAGTACAGACTCGTAGACGTCATGCTTGGCCAACTAAGTTGCTCCTAGTCGACCAAATTTCCTTTTTTGACTTTGATCCTCGATAAGCGGTGCCGGAAGTGCTTACTGCTGATGTAACATGTAAACATTACGTTCTCCATACGCGTGACACGCGCCTCAGAGAATGACACCAATCTTATCAAACATAAACATGGACTGCCATCTCTTGCTTAGCGCGTCTACACTTTCTTCCTCGCATCTTCGATCTCAGCTCAGCCTGACGCCGTGCAATCTGCAGTCAAATTGGCTTCAAACGTCAGATAACATCATAATACCCACCCACCCCGCTGCCAGCTCCATGGCCAAGATATTGATCAGCCATCGGGAACTTTCTCTCAGACTGACATCGCATTTCTTCGACTTCACCATGCCGGCCAACGTCCACACCGTTCCGTTTGTTGGCTTTTAGGTACGAGGTCCTCCATACACCATCTTTGCCCGCAGCATGCTCCAGACAATGTGGTTGGAAATGCGATGAACCTGGACTATGGAGTACGGAGTACAGAGTACCAGCAAACGGGGCATCCCTAGTGAGCACCCAGTATTCTACCTTGACCATGCATCCTTGCAGCCACTTGGTGCCGTGATGGCCGCGATAGGTAATACATACATAGATATTTAGGTGTCCTTCCATCAGCACTGCTGTACGAGGTACAAAGTACTCAGTACAGCCCGGGCTCCCTGGACGACCCATGACATGCTTGGTACCTGGATTGCGGGCACAAGTTTCGGCTGATGTTGCCGCCATTGCCATCCTGATGGGTTCGATCCTGTACGAGTAGGTATGGAGTATTTGTCCGAGCTTGATGAATGGCCCGCATGCAAGACTGGATCGTGCACATCTTCAGGTGTCCCAATCTTCGCTCAAGCCTTCACCTCGTCTAGAGTCTGCACCTGTCACGGAAAAGAGGCTGAAGGAGTCTCCGGTCCGTTCTGCAAGGGCAAAACTTTAATACCCTCTCTTCTACGACTTCAAGATACTGGGTACCTGCTGGCGGCGTCTTTCATTTCCCACGTGTGGAACTTCGTCCCTGCTGCTCTGACCCTGGCCTACCCCGCATCTGCTTTTGATTGAATGATTTGCGTCAGAAACCTTATCCACCAAAACAGATCCAACACAGCCACGAACGGAAACGCGACTTCGCGCTGTTGTTCAGTATCAACGTCGTCGACAAAGCCTATGCACAGCTACGGAGGACGGGGGACGGATTAACCCGTGCAAAGCGACGCGTCTTGCCACAATGGATCCTGACGCGAAAACAGCGCTTCTTATCGATTCGCGTGGTCCTTTCGCGTATCAGCAGGTTGAGCACTCGATATTTCGGATCACACAAAACTGACGCGTGCGGGAAATCAGATCTGATTTCCGGATCTGTGGTGAGATCTACGTCTATGCCGCCCACGGATGGCATTTGCAAGATTGCCTGTGCCTTAGACAGAGAAGAAGGTTTTCCATGCCCTAGCGAACACTATAGTCGATCGGTTGTCTGATCCGGCTCGAATTGGCGGGGTAGGAGGTCCATACTATGGACTGCTCGGAATGAGGTAGGGGAGAAGTCTTTGTGCACAGCAATCATGAACTTGGATTTTTCTGCAGGAGTGGAAGGCTACCAACCTTGACTCCCGTCGCTGCCCTCGCTTGTTGAGTGCCAAGTACGGAATGAGACCAACCGCCATCAAGATGGCCATGCTCGTGTCTCCCCAATGCCGGCCATACTTTCAGCTGGTGGTTCAGATACCAGCAATACGGGTCTGACCATTCACGAAGGAAGACCTTTTGATGTCGCCTGGGCCGAGGCCTACGAGTAGGCATGGGTTGTTTCCGGACGATAGACTGCAAAGTGTGTTCAAGAAACTCCACGGTAAATGGACTCCAGCGCACCAACAGGCCCCATTAGGGTGTCCGGTTGATTCAGACGCCATCCCCGATGACACCCTTTCTGTACGAGTACGTCTTTGTTAGCAACGTGAACGCGACTTTGCCAGTCTCTGCAGACTTCACTATGCGGCTCCTATACAGATTGCAATCGTTGCTCTACTTGGGCTAGCAATCCTTTGGTCGGCACATCACATTTCTGCTTATGTAAGCATGCTAATTAGCTTAGCCAAAGCTTCGGTAAAGATTTTGATTCATCACCAAACACCCGTGATTTGACTGCTTCGTTGACTGCAATGCTCCCTCCTGGATATTGATTTACTTGGGACAAAGCATTTTTCAAGGGCCATTGGGGATGGAGACTGAATCCGAGTTGAAGCGCCTGGCTCACTGCGAGTACTGGGACGAGCGGTACGCCCGAGCTGGCCCCGACGAGCAGGTCCATGAATGGTTCAGATCGTTCGATGATCTTGTCCCAGTCTTTGACCGTCATGTTTTCCGTCTCCGGGAACCCAAGACGGCGCCAAAGATCCTCCATCTAGGTTCGGGGGATAGCGTACGTTACCTTCCTTCTGATAAATAAAATTTTCAGCACAATTCATGCATGGATAGCTAAACCTCTTGCCATTACTAGACTATACCGGCAGACTTGTCCAAATGCGGCTACAAGAACCAACTCTGTGTGGATTTCTCGGCGTTCGTTGTAGAACTGATGTCTAAGCGGCATGAAGATGTTGGAGGCATTACCTGGATCCATGCCGACGTCCGGCAAATGGATCAGATTGCGTCCACATCCATCGATGTCGCTTTTGACAAGGGAACGCTAGACGCCATGATTCACGGGAGCCCGTGGAGCCCGCCTGACGACGTTCTAGATAACACCAGTCGGTATATTCGCGAGGTATGTTTTCGACAACACCTATCCTGTGGTTTTTCGCGCCGTAGATTTTGACACATAGCATAATTTACATTCATGGGCGCCTAGGTTTTCCGCGTCTTGAAATCCGATGCTACGTTTATCTACATCACGTACAGACAACCACACTTTATCAAACCCATCCTCAACTGTAAGGGAGTCGAGTGGGATATTGAGGTGGATGTACTGGGTGGTTCTGGGAGCTCCTTTGACTACCATGCGTTTGTGCTGAAGAAGGCTACTGCGTCGTCAGTGGAGTCATCGCAAGCCGAAGTCGACAATGGAAGCTCTGGCTCACCATTTGCCTCTTGCTTGCCGGTCGGCGAATCATTATCGCCAGGGAACAAAGCTGAGGTGGAACAAGAGGCTGGTTGATGGAGACGAGGCCGAGGACAGTTTGGGCTCAACCAACGTTGACATGGCTATGGCTAGAGCATAGACACAGCGCGCGTTCCCAACCGGCCAAAGTTTAGGGACCCCGCCTGAGGACACATTACCTTCACACCCAGACCTCGTGGTGCAGATGCCCCTGACAAGCAATCTTATCAGGAGGATCAGGGGATGCAAAGCGGTACGACCAGCAGCCTTCTTTCAACAATGCATCATCACTTAGGGATCCGCAAAGACCACGCGAAACCGCTGCAACATCCCGGTCAGAAGTGTGCCTGCCTTACGATTGCGCCCCGGGAAATGGGCGACAGAGGACTCTGTCCAGAACCTCAGTCAGTGGTCAAATGGACTGCACTAAAATGCTATCACATGTGGCACACACGATATCATCAAAAGTGAAGCCCACCATGCTGCGTGATTATGCATCACTTGTCACTGGAAAGCCGAGATACTCAGAGTTGACGGTTGATGTAAGAACAAATGGTTGGACATAGATGAACTACCCAAAGACCATAAGGAGAGGGCAGGTGTGCAGCTGGCTGATCTGGATCAACAGAAAAGGCATTTTCAGAAACCGCTTTTCAAAAAGGGAGAAGAACAATTTCGGCGGCTCACTCACTCCCTGAGTCCGGCCTCGGAGTTCGTATGATTCGAGGACAGGTACATCTATGTATATATGAGGTACGATGTCTCAAGTCCGAGGTGGCGGGATGGAGACAATGTGCATATGGACTCGCTGGGCTAAATGTGCCGTGAGATCTCCGTGGCACCGTACAATCCCAGAACCGTGGAGTTTCACGTCCGAGTCATGCACGAGCGGAAGCTACCATTACTTGCAGGCGCAGTTGACCTGACCATGACAATAGAACGATTCTCATGGATTCCACCAGGAGGAGATTTTGATTATTAAAATTTGAAGGAATTCAATGTTCTCTCTCGGCAAACGCTGGGATACTACTGTCTACATATGCCATTGCACAGTCTGTCTTCGTCGCTATGTGACGTACGGACTTGCAAGTCTCCTGGCTAGCTAGTACCTTGAAGGCTTTTCGAGCAAGCTTGGCGAAATAATGCCCACCCGAGTGACCCCCAAGCCTCGCGGTTTTTTCTCGATGGTCAGTCAGGCCTTCACGTCTTGCTTGGTAGCACTGTCTGCGTTGTACAGCTCCTCTGCTGGGATTTCATACTTGGCCGATTTGCGAGCGGGGACGTTGTGTTGGAACTGCGGGCACCTCAGTCAGCCTGTGTCTTCCAACTATATCTACCATAACAATTCGGATGTGGAGGCTAGTCCTCACCATAAAGTCCAGCTCTCCAAATGTCCTGTCCTTGGTCTCGAACAGGCGGAAGTAGCCCCAGACGAAGGTCAAAGTGGCAAGGCCGGCCCAGAAGAAAGCCTGCAGCAGTGGGGAAAGAAAATTGTCAGCGAGTGAGTTCTGGAAAGGGTGCGGTTCTGTCACAGTGAGGAGGAATGGGGGAACACATACCGTCTTGCCCTTTGCATTCCAAGCCCCTGGAGAAATCAGCTGAGGCTGAAGGAGGCCACCACAGATGATGTTCCCAACGTAGTAAGTACTGCGGGCGAGCACAACCGTCTGAGTTCGGAGGCGCGTGGAGCCGATTTCCGAGACAAGCACGTAGATGATGGGCCCGACGGTCATAGAGTACGCGCCGAGCCAGACGATGCACAGGATGGACTGCGCCCACGCGAGCTTGATCGTTTGCGTTGGCAGCGCGAGGAAGCCGATCAGCCAGAGGATGACGACGAGGAACGCAAACCCGTACAGCCAGATGGTGCGGCGGCCCAGTTTGTAGATGTACAGCCAGGACAGGATGGTGCCCAAGAATGCGATGCCGGTTCCGCCGAGAGCGATCCCGTATGCGGCGTTGGCGCTGATGCCGGTCTGTTGGAAGAAGAAAGACCCGCTGTAGCAGAGGGCGCCACCGTTGGTGACCTGAGACAGGAAGCCTACGCACGCGATCTCGGTTCGGCGGAGATTGGTGCCCCGGAAGGCGTCCCAGAGCTGCACGCCTTCCTGCTCGTGGAGTTCCAGCTTGTTCGTGTGCACCATCATGGCCAGAGTGGCGTCGATCTCATGGTGGTGATCGGGCTGGGTCAGTCTCTCGAGAGACCTTTTCGCGTCCTCGATGCGGTCATTGCGCACATAGTACCAAGGGCTTTCGGGCGCCATCCAGGCGGCGATGAACAGCGGGATGGGCCAGACCCACTGGATTGCAAAGGGGATCTTGTAGCTCCACTTAGTCGGGTTGTTTACAAGGCCTTTGAGGACACCGGCGGAGATGAATTGGCCAATGCACCAGCAGAGGTTGACATACGCAGTGAGATACCCTCGAATGGCGAGTGGGGTCACCTCGGCTGCGTATGAAGGACCTATATGATTTCCTGTTAGTCAACTAATAGAGCGTTTATTCCACACTTGAGGTACGAACCAGTTGTGGCGAACACGCCCCAGGGAATGCCGCACAGGAACTGTCCCACAAGCATAATCTCGATCGAGGGAGCAAAGAAGACAATGAAGATAAAGCCCGCTAAGAGGAAGAGAGTGACCATAAGCACTTTTCGGTGGCCCCATCTCGACGTCGCCCAGCCGTTGAGCAGAGCACCAATGATGTTGGCGAGCGCACCCAGGCAATTGAATTTCTGCTGCCAGTTCGCCGAGATCTGGTAGCCATATTGCTCGTTCAAATATTCGCCGTATTTGAGCCGGAACGAGGGATATCCAAAGAAGGAGCCCAGCAGCGTAACATCATAGCCCTCCATGATGACAGTAGTTGAGATCACTATTCCCCGACAGAAAGGTTAGAATGTTGTCAGAAATGCGCTGTCCAATGGTTCCATTTAGTACAACTTACGGATCGACCAGAAGGCTGCACGTTTGTAGGTCTTTAGACCCTGCCAGACTCCCTTGCTGTGCTCCTGGGCAGCGCCCTCGAAGGCGCCGCCAGCCAGAGCGGCATCGTGAAGGCCCACATTCGGGAGACGTGAGAGTCCACCCTCAAGGTGTATTGACTCGGTATGTTTGTCGGTCGTCGCCATCTCTACCAACCGCGATGAGCGCAATAACCAAGTGGAGGGAGTGGAAAGGATCCTTGAGGTCCTGAGCACTTCTAGGAATCTGCAGACACGTGGTGGGGAGGTGAGCTTTATATATATAAACGAACCCCCCCGAAGGGTATTCTTCGTGTAAATTCGTTCATCAGGGACCTTCTTTGAACCCCAGATCTGAAATCCTGCATGAATACGATGGAATGTCTAGGCCCGCTCCAATTGGAGTGGTACCACCTGAGAGGGACATAAGAGAGCTTCACCCCATGGGCCAACTTCCTTGTCGGTTTTTCCCCGTTCTTTCCAGGGATTGAGGCTAATATGAGGAGCCGGGGCGGGTAATTCCACGATGGTGCGAGCGCTTCGTTTCATTGAAGAAAAAAGAATTGTAGAGGATCTCGATAGCTTATTGACCTTTGCCCGGAAGTGAATTGCTAAAAGTCGAAGCCCTGCGGATACACCGGGTACTTTCCTAAAACAAACTTTGTCGCGGTGGGCGAATACGACGTTGCCATTTCTCGTGTAGATAGACGGGGTGCTTGGTTCGCTGAACGAAGGAGCACAGGAGTTTAATGCCCTGCTAAGCGTCTTGGTACCCAGTGGTCTCGTACGAGGATGTCACCATCTGAACTTTTCATCTCGACGCAATTATCTCGGATGTACTCGTATCGTGGACCATGGTATGTCGTCCCCCAAACCCGGGGGCACTCCGGACACACAAACTAGTAACGAATCAAATAGGCAATTTCAAAAGCATATATCGTGGAGCTTTGCAGAGCAGCATATCTTTATCTTGAATAGCCGCGTGATGAGCAAGTTCCATTGGCCTTTTTACACACATCACCAGATTGCAGACTCACAACCAAACATGTTCCGGTCCGCACATTACTTAGTCGCCACGAATGCAGGTAACAAGGGCTCCCTCCGATAAGTCGTCAATCTGACTTAGCGAGTCTCGCTATGCTGGTGACTTGAATGGGTGGAAGCAAAGTGGCTTGGCTGGTACTGAGGTAGGAGGAACACTCAAGTAAGGCTGACAGGCCAAGCCTGAAGGATTTGCACGTGGTTTTCTTTGGGATTCCTTCCATATTTTTGGGATGGATCAAGTGCCTCTCCTCGCTCTCCATGCTATTCTTGGCCCTGAGAATCCTACAGAAGCGGGTTAATCGAGCCACTACGGGTCCTTCTTCAATCTGAATACCGGGTACTTGATACTATTCAGTTTTGATGCGTTGTGCCAAGACTCTAAGAAGGGTCGCGCGCTCAGGCTTGCTGCAGAAAGGTGTATTCCCGCGGGGTCCCCAGCTTACCGAGTACTGGTGTCTGGTTTCACACCTTGCATGGAATAGTCCAAACCTTGGTTATTTTGTTCAGTCTTTCGCCACACCTTGCAATAAGCCTGTTTGCTCCGGAATCATGGCGCCTCTTTCGCTGAGGTTTGGGCGAAGCCATCATCTTAGTAGTACACAGTACATACCTCGAACGTCCCCTGCTCGGTGACATGCCCCGGCTAGGAGGAACTTCGGTAGAGCCTGCCGTTAGCGCACTCTGAAGACGACTCAACTCCGACCAGGGCTAACTATTTCTGCGAAACTGGTGAGCCTATCCCTTCAGGCCTATGGCTTGGAAGGGATGGTTGAAGGCTACGAGTCGAAGGTGGAGGGCAACCAGGTTGACGTGCAAGATCCAGGCTTCGCACTTCTGCATAGAACGGAGTAGTGGACGTTAGGATGATGCTGTGGAAATGCTTCGATTATGGCGCGGCCTTCTCTGCTCCGCGCCCAGGAGCGTTAGGCCTGCGACATGATTTTAGGGTCGAAGACAAGGCTCTTCGCTTAATCGCTTGTACCGATAACGGCTAGAAGCGGCCGCTTAATTCTGTACCGAGTACAGTAGTCAGTGCTAGTTCCTCTTACTCATCTTCTTTTGACGCATCCACATCCGAGACAGAAGTCATCTGTCTCTTTGAGAGGGAAGCTCTCATCAAGAGAGCAACATATTCCTCACCCTCGTGACGTCCACTTTTTCCCACTAACCTTGGTTACTTTGTCTCCTGGAAGTGGGCCGACGAAATGGGGACGTGCCATGGATCCAACCCTGAATTTATCTGTCACAAGAAAGAGGAGTCTCTCGAGTCGCTGCGAGCAGGTGGGATATCGTCCAAATATTCGAATCTCTGGGAGTGGTAAAGGGACCTCTATTGTCTCCCAAGGTTTAGTTCGTCATACCAGTCAGCCAGTCTCTAGACGAAGCTTGCAACGTTGGAAAAGCAGACTAGAGTCCGAGATCGCGATGACACCTTAATTGTGTCTGCCATCCCTATCTTGATAGTCCATGTTCAGATCAATCGTCGGACCCCAGCTGAATGGCACGATTCTCTATAGTCAAGAAGAAAATCTGGGAACTCGAGAACGCCCAACATGAGGAACACGTTAATACCCATCTTGGCTTCATCGCTACTTCGTAGGATTCTGAAGATGCCCATAGTCTTGGAAAGTGTCTGAGGACTTGGAAGACCTAGACAGCTGATGTTGGCACGAGATGCTCAAACTAGTACCAATGGGACACAGCAGCTCCAACAAAGCAGAACTGCCAGTGACCTTTTCTATCCTTTCTGTTGGCATTCAAATCTTCCACAATTTAAGTATTGCTGTATGAACTTTCAACCATTTACCCAGAGAATGTGGAACGTGGCAGGATCGTTGTTCGGCAGTGTTTCTTGGAGTCATGTACAGCATGAGACTCAAGCCAGTCAGAAAAGTTGCTCATACCTACAGAGAGTGTTCGCTTCTTTGTCCTTAGGCATTGAGATTGCCAATTTGCACATATGGCTGTGTCCCTGTCATGACGGCTCTGGGTTGGACGCGATCACTGTCCTCGGCCTGATGTTCACTGCCGACGTCTGTTGCTCCGATCTGCTCTCCCGACTCCGGCTCCTAGTTAATCCAGTCCGGATAGACGTGACTAAAGCACGTGTTTTCGCTTGGCGAGTCACGCGTGCGGGGAAGCAAGAACTCCGACTTGCCTTTTGGCCCCAAACTGAACTCACCTAAACTTCAATCTCAGTTCTAATTCAATTGCACGGCTGCCCCGCGAGAAGGAGGACCTGGTCATCAGCCGACTCTCACCGCAGTGGAAGAAACGGCAACCTTCCGACTGTTTCTGAACTCGACAGCAACAGGATATAGGGCATCATCTTGTCCCTCCTCATTCATTGTCTTCTTGTCGTGCAACAGGTTGTGCCGTTGTCCGTTCTCCATGGTTCGAGTCGACGATCAGTTTTCCGCTCCGTCAATTCCTCTTCATAATGGGCCACGATCTACCTTATCATCGCCAGAAGGCTCGTCCTAGCATCCAGCCTGTCCTCCCCGTCCTCCCCGAACTTTCCCGTCTCTTCAAAGCACACAGCAAGAAGAATGTCGAGTCATCAGCACCGCAAACCTCGCCATCCGAGTTCGGTCAGAGCGCAGTCAAAACAAAACAGACACCAGAGCCAGCCAACAAGTCTGGTCCAACTGAATTTTCCTCGGAGGCTGTCTTAGCACAGGAAGACGTTAACAATACCAACTCCGTTGAAGATAAAGCCGTGTCTGCTTCAACGGGTAAGCGTCGCTTCCGTATCTTGGACGAATACGAACTGACTCATCATTCTAGCTTCACAAACTGGCACACCGTCTGCTTCTACCCCGGCCACCCAAGGACTCGCTGTAGAAGCGTCCAACTGTCCTCTGGATGATGACAAGGAGGTGATTTCTGAAAAGGCTGAGATAGAAGGTATCCAGCAACCAGGAGGCCCGTTCGAGGGTGAAATTGCTCATGTTGCCGAGTCCTCGTTCGAGACAGACCAGATGCTTCCCATAAGAGAACCTGAGCGTAACCTGGATTCTCCTCATGGTTATATTGATCAATCAAGGTCCACTAGTGCTGCTGTTGAAGACGAGCAACAGGAACTCGTATCATCCTCTGCAACTTCTGTTGCTGCTGATATCGATGAGAAAGCTTCCGGTGGAGTATTGAGTGGGATGTCGCAGGCTAGTCAGGGCGGAAACCACACATTGCTATCGCCAGCCATGACCGAGAACAATGAGCAGTATCGACGTGGCAGTAGTGTCCTTCCTGGTCAGGTATTACCAACATCATCGCCAAGAGTCAATTCTTTACCTTCCCTTAACGAGTATTTCCTGCACGTCGCTGCATCTAAGGAATATGCAGACTGGGTGCTTCAGGTTCATTCTCCCACCACCAAAGCCCAGTCATTCCCAACCTACGCGCACTCAATACTTCTCCTCCGCAGTCACCGCATGCGACGCTTGATGACACGACAATCGTCCTATGGAACCAACGTCATTGAGCTGTATCCTCCCCGATATGTTCTTCCCCATGCATTTGAGTCCGCACTGCGATTTCTTTATTCGGATTCCGTCATAGCCAAAGATTTCTTTCTTCAACAACCCGCCCCTGTGGACTCCCAAGCAGTTAGACTGCATCACCTGGACTACATCTTGTCCTACTGGATTTCTGGAATCGAACTGGGTCTTGATATTATCAGCGAACGTGCCGAAACACTATTGTCGGATTACCTTGACTGGGATCTTGTCGAGCCAGCATACAAAGCTGCTGACGACATCGCAAAATCGGAGATTTCCTCCAACAGCAAACACATGACTGGAACAGACTATTTTGTCCTGAGCGGATCCATTGTTCGGGTAATACTTCACTTTCTGGTCAGTCGCATTGATGTCAATAGTTTCAAACTCGATACGAGCTCTGTCTCAACCTTCCTGCCTTCTCGACTTCCACTGGTTGACGACAATCGTGCACGAACCAACCCAGCATTGGCTTCTATGGTCTTTGGTTCTATGCCTTCTTCCATGGGCGTCTCGGCTTCCTCTCCACAATTAGATTTCTTGCCAAACGGGTTCACTCCCAAAGACACCCTTGCAACTAAGATCTTGCTCAATCTGGGTTTCGAGAACCTGTACCGATTCAACACCTTCTTGCAACGACGTGGATCAGCATATGCAAATCGCATAATGACGGAGGTTGTCCAAGAGCGGGAGGCTCGTCGTGAGAGAGTCTTGAATGCCCAGCATATTCCTAACCCAGAGCGAATGGCTGCGTCTGCCAAATGGGATGTTGTGGGACACCAAGAGATGTTTGTGAATGGTGTTCTCTCCGAAAAACGTGTTGGGTTCCTCCTACCATCTTCCAGATGAAGGGATGATATTTTCCAAAATTGCATAATCAGAACCTTTTGTTTCTATGCACTTTTAGCAGGCGAGTCATGGGGTTCATGAAGCGATCCAAAGCAAAAGCGTGTGCAGCGTGGTCTTTTCGGCACCGAGAGCCTTGGACATCAAAGGAGTCAAACAACTGGGAGCCGTCATTGTTGCATGAGTAATGGGGCTTGGGCTAGGTAAAACACCGAAATTGGCGAGCGAATGTCCAAAGTGGTAGTCTATCTCACGGCCTTTATTGGGCTTTTCTTTTCAGTGAAACGGCGACGGCGCTTGGCTAAGGACGGATCAAAAGCAACGTGCTTTTCAAGTTCGGCATATCATCAATCAAATGGGGCAATAATGGTAAGCGAGTGCTTTTACTTTTTCATGCTCAAGTGCTGTGGTGGTGGAAGTTGAATGAGGCAATGATCCCCATGCAGCAATCAGATAAATGAGATACCCACAACCCCCAAAATGCAAATGCGAATGCAAGCATTAATGAAAATGGATGCGCCCTAAGGGTTCAAGTTCAGTGGCGGTGTGGTGCCAGATCGCATACAGGAATGTGAAGTTCTATTAAAATTTGTCTTCTTATGTTCCTCGGAGTGTGCTATCATGATGACAGCGTTGTCAACGAGTAAGTCCCGCTGTGCTCCCCGAAGACCCAATATCCACGGCATGTTCATCAGCGTCGATAAACCTAGCGCTCGCGCCGCCTCTGCCGCCTCTGCCGCCTCGTCCGTTTCCGGTCCCATTCCCACCTGCACCTCCGCGCGCCGACTCCTGCCGGGTGCTTCGAGGCAAAGCAGAACTGTTATTTCTCGAGCCTCCGTCACTGCTGGCTTGGGAGGCCACCAGCGGCTCGAAGTCTTGGGGTCGGTTGCGCAGTCGCAGGCGGTCGACCCACGGTTTGACGAGGGCCCAGGCCAGCAGCCCGGCGGTCGCGAAGATGAAGATCACCACGACGGTTTCGTCTTTTAGTGAGTCTCGTTCTACGGGTTCGAGGATGCGTTTAGTGTTAGCTAGGATTCCTTTTCTTAGGGAGGGAGAAGTATTGAGGTGGAGGGAGATGGGAAATGTGTCAAGGTGGAGGTGAAGCCGGAGCTGAAAGGGTTCTGGCCAGCCACATACGAAAACATGTAGTGAATACATCTTCATCCCCGGCATCCTTGCATATCGGTAGGTTATAGTCGAGGCAGAACGCGCGTGTGCAGTCCGCGCAGGTGAGTTTGCGGTGTGCTTTTGCTGGGGTCTTGTCGTCATCGTCTGCTCGCTCTCCCAGTGGCGGGGACCGGATTTCGAGATTGTGGGAGGATGTTTTGGAGGACGGCGGGTTGAGTGGGATGATGGTGCTGTTGTTGAAGCAGATGCATTTGCAGAATGAGGTGGCGCTGGATTTTGCGGCGGTGGTGGGCTGCAGGAGGGACAGGAGGAGAAGGAATATGCTCGTGATCGTGAGGGTGGAGGGTATGGATGTGGAGGGCCGCATTGTGATGTAGATGAGGTCTGAGGGTCCGAGAGTCCACCCAGTCGTGTCGTGGTTGGAATTTGGAAATGTGTGTTGGGAGGCATTGAATATCGAAAGGCTGTCGGCCTGGCAGTTTTGATACGGTGGATCAAGTGCTCGGTACTGCGCACCGCGCCCCCCCGCAAAGCTTAATTCTTTTCGCATTGGAACTTGGGAATGATGGCGGTAATTATTGCGAATTTGCGAAGTACCACCGTAGGGCCTACGGTGAGTGCTACACTGCTGCCAAACACGGCTACTTACGAGTACGAATAATACCTACTGTAATTAAGGTCGCCGCTTCACGTGCAGCCGAGGTTACTCCTTGGTCATGGTCCGCAACTCTTTTGACCTCCTTCTTGCCTTCCAGTTGTCGTCGTCGTCATCACCACCACCACCACCACCACCACCACCACCAGTCATTGCGAGCGCTCTCCAGGAGGTGATATAATCCTCTGAAATCTCGAATCCAATAGACGGTATCAAATGGAGTCGTGCTAGGTCGCATGCACCACTAGTAAGCCGACAAGTCCTTGCTGCGCAACCACTCTGTCGAATTTGCGCGGCCCCGCGCACGATCATTGATCCAGGGGCTACCACTAGTCGACAGCATAATTGTTTGCAATGGCAGTAGAAAGTCTCCCTGTACGCTATGTGCTCAACGAGCGCGAGTATGCGATTCTGCGCAAATATCTCTCTTCCGCTTCTCGCACCAAGGAGGCCAGCACAGACACGTCCGGAACCCCAGCTCCATATCAACAGAATGACCACAACGCAGCCGCGTTCCGTTCGGCCTCGCGAGTTTTTCTTCTAAGTCTGGGCTCTTTGAAGGGTGCAGAAGCTATGCTAGGTCTGCTGGCTGCTCGAAAGACCCCGACAACTACCCGCTCACGAGCTCCGCTTGTGGCATCACCCACGAGGATCGCGCTGTCGCTTTCTACATTACTGTTCTTCCATTCCATTCTTTATCGCCTCTTCCACCGATTGAGGCTGCAACTTCTTCACGAGAAGGTCCGCCATATCCAAGAACGGTATCCCAAGATCTATGGGGTGCTTACGTCTAAGTTAGCGCCCGCTATTGGGGCGAGTCTCTCAGGCGTCGCACTCGGAATCTGTCCAGCTGACCAGTTGAGAGTGACTGTTGCGATATACATTGCGTGCCGCGCGTTGGAAGTGGGATACAAGGCTATCGAGAACACCAGCTTCGTCAAGAGCAATAAGCCATCTTGGCTGGGAAGCTGGATGTTATTCGCTGTTGCTCAAGGCCAATTGCTGCATGCATTTGTGTTCGATAGCGACTGCTTTCCCGAGGCTTACGGCTCGTTCATCCTAGGCTACACGCCAGAGTATATCCAAAGACGGCCACCGAATATCTCTTCGAAAGTTCGGTGGCCAAAGTGGAACGAGATCGTCGACGCCCTAGCACAGATGGCGAGGATGAGATGGCCACCATTTGTCTCACCTATCTTGCACCCAGAAGCTTCTAATATGCTCCCTGCTGGGATAAATACCGTGATATCACCTATAACTTCCAGGGCGCATCCCGCGACACAAAACCTGTCATGCGCGCTCATCCATCCGTCGGACCCTTCCTGCTTTCTGGCTTTTCTCCGACATATTCTGATATCATTCCCGCTGCTGGCGCGGTTTTACGCTCTCTACTACGGAGCATTCTCAATATTGAGGATAAGGAAGGTCGTGAAAGCGCCTCTAGCGGCACTCAATCGACTTTCCACTTCCGTTTTGAGATCCACTTTTGCAACTACAGGATCGATTGGGATGGCATGGGCCAGTATATGCCTATTCCAAATCATCCTTCCGCGTGCATTCCTCCCGAAGTTTCGATTCTTCTTCGGTGGTTTGCTTGGTGGCTTCTTCTCCCTAGCAGATCTGACTCCATCCGGACATCTGACCTCATTATACGCCGCACGAACGAGTGTGGATTCATTGTGGAAAGTTGGAGTCAAACGCAGATGGTGGAAGGGAATCAAGGCGGGAGATGTCTGGTTGTTTGTGGCGGCTCTGGCCTTGGAGAACGTGGTCTATGACTTCGGCAAAGACACCCCTGCCAGTGAGGATCAAGCAATGACTATGATCAAGGTGCTACGGGGTGAGATCGAACTAGGCTTGCCCAAGGAGGAGCAGCAGACCAGCGAAGGGACGTCAACTGACGATCTTGGGGGGCCAAAATTCCAATGATAGAGTAGGTTGAGTAGGTTCTGGGAATCGAATATTATAGTAGGTTCTCACCGTGGAGCCATGTCGTTGTCCCCAGTCGAAATAGTGGAAGCGAGACGCGTGACTGTTGTGGGTGTGGAGAGCGCCTGGTGTATGCACAATAAGCACGGATATCATCTTCCGCAGGATGTCACCTGAGGTGCCCGCCGATGGATATAACCCCGACAAGAGTCATGGACGACGAAGTTGAATTAATATGCGAACCGGAAGGTGTGCCATGACCAAACCAGGCTGAAAGTAGAATAAATAACAGCAGAAACACCATGATCCTTGGCCACCGTGGTCACTCGCAGAATCTTATTAGTTAGTATCCGAACTAAGTGGGGTTCTTTCCATGGAACAGCGCGTTAGCCCCTCCTTTGCCGAGAGTTTTGTGGGTGATTCTGCCGGTTTTATGTGAGCATATTTGCCCAAGCGTGCCTTGCCTTCCCTTCCAAGTTTGCTGTTCGTCGGTCATTCCACCCGCCAGTCTTTCTGGGCCTGGGCTCCTGTGGCCTCCCTCACTCAGACAGTGGTTCAGGCTCCCATGGCTCCTGCCAGTGTGACAAGGACTGGGCCGAAGACCCTACGAGCAAGTAGTTACCAACTACCCGAGCCCGGCGTGCGGCTGCCGGCACCTTCATGCAAGGCAGCTGTGCAAGCGCTGTCACACTGCAACAACCCGAATGGAGGGTCCTTTGTATGCACCTGTCAAGCAACTCTTCCTCGAGCCGGGTCGTGGTGATCGGAATCTAGAATTCCATCGACCTTTTGGACTTTGGTTGCAGCAGTCCGACTGGCTCCCTGTCTTGTTCAAGCTTGTCAGGGCTCGTGGGAGCACCTGTGACCGCTTGGTCCTCGGTGGAGCTCGTCACAGAAATACGACTGTATCTTCGAACATCGTTAGGGCTTTACCTATCATCAAGCTTACGACTTAGGCTGCTGTTTTCCATCGGGCTGCCCACCTGACCGTAACTTGAACCCTCCCTGGATGCAACAGTAACTCGGCCTTGAACTCTTACCGTGTATACCGGTATCTATAGTCCCTTCAAGTTGATATAGACGCTTCCCCTGGATAACATTACGAGACTAACGAGACTAATTGATGAGTGACTCGCGCAACACATCCATGTCGAATGGCAGAGGCGATTTCGGTCCTCAACAGTTAACGTGCGCTAATTATCTTTCCCGCAGATAGCAGCAACGCCAAGACTGGGCCCCGCAGGGGTGTGAATATCAATTCCAGGTCCGGCCAAATCAGAATCGAGGCGGTGGGAGAGACAATGCAGAACAATTTGGGTGTGCAGCCAATAGCCGTGGCCGCACGATTCACCGCCTGTAGCCTCCCGGGCGGTAAGATCGGCTCGCAGTCTTGCGCTCCAGGATTGCCAGTTTTCTTCTCTTGCCACTGCCAGAATGTTTTACAAGGCCATGTGTATTAATGCGAAAATTGCACGCACCGTATCCGTTGCGACCGGAGCAATTGTCACTGGGCATTCATGTGCTTTTCCAATGTCTGCTCCACCTGCATCTGTTGCGCTTTTGCCCATCACAAGGTAGGATTGTGTGGTGTTGGTATCGGCGCTCCTGTCCCGGATTCCACCTGCTTCTTCACAGCCTCCCCGTCTCCTCGTGTTTCCTTCCTCCTTCCGCCTTCCTGCTTCCCTTCTACTCCTCACCGTACTTCACTACTTTCGCATTCGCCATCTTAAACAGCAGAGAATCACACAACACATTTCAAACCCATTTTCAAACATAGGCTCTCGCCCTCACCACATTGACACCCGACATTGCACCCTCGTCGGCTGACTGTCTGTTGGTGATTGAAAAGGTTTCTAGGAGGAAGACAGGTCGTAAGAGACTGGTGTTTGTTGAGAAATGAAACTTACACAGCCAAAGACTCATTCCCTTGCCCACGACGGCTTTCCAACACTTCAATTCTTCATCCTAGGTAAAGCAACCAGCCACGCCTCAAACCCAGGCTTCCACTGACCACCGCCACAGCAATATGCCGTCTCGCAGAACCCATTGCCCTGACCGCTATTCTTCCATATGCCTGGCTCATGACAAAAGATTTCGGTCTCGATGATGCATCCTTTTACGCTGGCATTTTGATCGCCTCTTATTCCCTCTCCGAGGCGGCTTTTAGCATGTTTTGGGGTATGTTAGCTGTCATTGCTTCATCCGATGCGTGAGAATCTCTAACAGTTTCGCTTGAACAGGTGGTCTATCCGATCGCATTGGACGCAAGCCGGTCCTTCTTATCGGCTGCATTGGCACAATGCTGTCGTTACTAATGGTCGGATTTTCCTCAAGTTTCACTATGGCCCTGGTGGCTAGAGTACTTGGAGGAGCACTGAATGGCAATATTGGTAAGGCTCCGTCCGCCGCTCGGATAGCTTGAGCTGACAGTTGGACAAGGTGTCATTCAGACAATGGTGGGTGAATTAGTCAAGAACCCAGCCCATGAGCCAAAGGCATACGCTGTGATGCCCTTCGTTTGGTCAATCGGGACAATCGTCGGACCGGCAATCGGTGGTATGCTTGCAAACCCAGTCAAGTCATATCCCGATTTCTTTTCTGGGGGCGGAATCTTCGGCTCGTATCCCTGGCTGTTGCCAAACCTTGTCTGTGCCGCCCTCATGCTTGTCTCTATCATTGCAGGCGCACTCCTACTTCAAGAAACCCATCCAGATCTTTGTCAAGGAGCCGATCCAGACATCTACCATGATATCGCTGAACACACTCCCATGATTGCTGCTGCAGGTGCTAACGCTGATCCTGGCGTTGATCTGAGACAAGAGTCCTATGGCACTTTCAATGAAGTTGACATGCGCAAAAATGATCAGTGGCAAATTCGTCCTGATGGAACTTCGAGGCCCTCGTCAATCTCCGAAAAGGCTTCTGAAAAGTGGCTGACCAAGAAAGTCGCCATGTTGACTATTTCTTTGGGCCTCTTTACCTATCATTCAATGTGCTATGACCACCTCCTTCCCATCTTCTTCCAAGACAAGCCCTCCGACAACGTCTCCATTCTTGCTAATAGCCCAATTGACATCCCTGGTGGGTTAGGCTTGGGAATTCAGACGGTTGGGCTCATTATGACTGTCAACGGGTTTATCGCACTGTTCATTCAAGCTGTCATCTTTCCTCTCGTTGCTGAGTGGTTCGGCATTTGGCCGCTCTTTGTCTGGACCATAACTCTTCATCCAGTCGCCTATCTCATCGTTCCTTACCTTGCTGTTTTGCCACAGCATTTCCTCTTTCCCGGCATCTATTTTTGCTTAACAGTACGAAATGTCCTCTCGATCATTCTCTATCCCGTTCTTTTGATTTTGCTCAAGCAAGCAAGTCCTTCTGCTTCCTGTCTCGGTCGTATTAACGGTCTAGCAGCTTCGGCTGGGGCAGCTTGCAGGACGGTAGCACCACCGGTTGCAGGTTTATTGTACGGATGGGGCACCAAGATTGGCTTTACGGGCCTTGCATGGTGGGGAGCAGGTGCAGTTGCACTTGTTGGAGCCGTTCAACTGTGGTTTGTGCCGCGGCAGAGGCATGAGAGCACCATCGTCAAATCCATGTTACCTTGTCTGGAGGCTTCAGCTGAACAGCTACCTAGGGATGTCGTTGATATCACGGTTGTCGACACGGAAGACATTGCTTAAATCTTATTGTGTCTCTCCGATCAGCGAAAGGATGAACATTTTTCGAGAGACGGAGCACTTGGCAGATAGGCTACTGTCCATCATTAGGGTTGTTGATTTCCACGGAGCATATGGTTGATTGCAACAAAGCGGTTCTGTTCGGCGTTGGAAGACGGGTACAAAGTTACGACACTGATATTTCCATGCTTATTTTCACGAAGCTCACGAGCTATGGAGATCACACGGCATTGGCGTCAGGTACATTGGGCGGATATCTGTAAAATGCCACAGGATCTAGATTGGGTGTGAGACCGAGGTCCTCGCAAAGGATGCAGACTAGAGGGTTCCAGCCATTCGATACTCGGTACTGCTAGCGGTACTGCTAGCTTCATGTCATTCACTTATCAACGTTGCAGAACCAAGTTTCCTCGAAAACGGGAGCATCGATCGCGGATCACGATTGCAGTCACGTGGGTGGCGATATTAGTGGCGATATTTAGCGCCATCGATCTAGGCAATTAGTAGTTGGTATACCATAATTAGCTGTACTAGCTGCTACGCGCCCAGGGTCAAAACCAGTTTCACAAGTCTTCTTCTCAGCTTTCTTCCACCGCCAACCATCGCTATCCCACTAGCGACTTGGTGGTGCCTTTAAAACATGTCGATCCGTTGAGCGGGCAGGAAAGCGTTCTGAAGTCAATCCACCCTTCCTTAATGCCCGTTCTCATACAATTGGCCGTACACGGCCACCACTGCGTCACCCTGCAGTACCAGCTCAGTACTACTTCTCATCTCGACAGGCGCGCACCCTGTTTCGTTGTCCCCTGGCGATCCAGCTGTATGTCTCTTCTTGTTTGCTCGCTTCCTCGTCTGAAGAAGTCCATCTTGGTCGCGGATACCCTCTGAGTCTCTTGAGGTTCCCTTTTTATCCCACCACGTTTGCCACGTTGGCAGGGCTCTGCTTCCCCCCAGTAGGTTTTGAAGTTAAGTTAATCCAGCCCCCTTTGCCTTCGATATTGCGTTTTATGTCTGTTCAATATTCATTGATACGACAATAAGCCCAGTTGTCCTTTAATTAAACAAACAGCCTGTTTGCTCTTGACAACAGTCACATATATCTCGATACGTCAGCTTCGCGACCAACACTATTTTGACCACCATGTTTGATAAAGGCCAGAGAAATCATGATACTGGACGTCCAAAGCTGCCAACTATCCACTCAGATGATAGATCGCCGCTCCAGACGGCAGGAGCTGTTGCTGAAAAGCCAAAAGGCTCTGCCTCTCTGCATCGGAAGAACACCAGCAAAAGCTCCACCCTCGGTCGATCTGACACCCTGTCTTCTAAACCACAGTTGGCCAGGATGCCTTCTGTACAGACGCGGTACATGGATATGCTCCTACATCTTGATGAAATTCCGCGGATACACAATATTGGTGCCAGTCTGTTTACGTGGATTATCCTCGCTGGATTCCTCGTCGTGCCTGGTACTTTCACCTCTTTCAAGAATTCCGAAGTCTTCCAGCAGGCCGAAAACAATAGAGACGACATCGCTCACGATATTGTTCATTCCATTGCAAATATTGGCTTGCTCTATTTATCAGCCGGGTTCTGTGCCGTGGGGGCTATTGGTTGTCTCTGGATGTGGTATCGATGGAGGCGTAACTACGTCTGGCTCATTAATAGGGTATTTTTGTGAGTATCGATTTACTTCCGTCTATTTGAACCACCTTCCTAACCTCGTTGCACAGGCCTGTGGCTTTGAATTCGATTGCTGGTCTAATCACCACCCTCGTCAACGTCTACACAGCCCAGAAGGGTGTTTGGAGTGTCACCGCTAAGATAACTGCAATAGTTACAGGCTCATGCGTTGGCGTGGCCGGGTTTTTTTTCGCGGTATATAATTTCTGGACACTGAGGCGTATCAGGAAGTCCCATGAATCGGCACTAGGGATCGATCGTCAGCACGAAGATGAGACAATGGTGGAAAAGGTTAAGAGAAAAGCACACGAGGCTCCATTGCAGTCTGGACGTGTGGTATGATTATCATACCTCCACCTTAAGATCCACGCGGTATGTATATACATATTTACGGTTGGTTGTAATCACTACTTGGATGTAAGCATATAAAAACAGGAGGGATCATGGGTCCGAAAGCCGAAGGGAAGTCAACAGGATTCACCGAAATAATACACTTATCGATTTTAATATCAATGTCGCCCCTTGTCAGATCTCTCTTTACTCGCACCTAACTCCATAGGTATGATTAGGACCTTGCTGTCTTCTTCCTTCCTGACTACATCTATAATCCGCAGCCCGATTACCGCCTTCATGCAAAGCTAATGTATGAGCCACGCACCTTCCGGCTAGGGCTCTGTCGAGGAAAGAAGGCACGATCACATATATCCTTTGGCAATTCATTTCAATAGCACTGAACTCCCTCTCAACATCTTCTCCTTGAACTATCTTATAAAGACTTGCTCTCCTATTGTTATCACTCCGAGATTGTTACCCATCCTATTCCAACATGACTGCTCAATCCTGTGTAGCGGAAAACCGCATTGCGAATCGTCGCACTCGGCAGGCAAGATCTCGCGCTCGACGTCTTGCTCGGATGAAGAAGACAATGCCCGAGGGCATCCGTGGCACCAAAAGGAGAAAGCTTCGAGACCAGGAGTCGTTGAACCTCGAGGATTGTTCCTTTCGATGCGAAGAGAGGGGCTATCACCTCGACCCAGATGTCCATATCGGTAGTGATAACCCTCACATTGGTATGTCTTTGTATCTTACTCTATGTCTGTGCTTCATCTGATACGATCTTTAGTAGACCCCTTTTCAGTTCTTGATCTAGACACGGCAGACCCCTATGAAACCAATACAAGTACTCCTTCCGACTACAACTCCAGCCCTGCAAGACCCGAAACTCCTGATTACCAATATTCCAAATGTGGTTATGCAAATTCAGCGATGAGCAGTGAAAAGACGATCTTTAAGGTCGAAGACGTAGCTTTGACGGACGCCAACACTGATTACCTGGCCCCAGGCTTTCCGCTCATTCCATTCACTCCTGAACAAACGCCTTTCGTCCGAATGCCAGGGTCCTTTTCAAACTCTTCAGATAATGATGACCATTCCATTTCGAAGTTTCTTCTCAACGATATCCGGATCCCAAGTCCGTCGTTGTATCATAAGTCGGAGCGACGATCAATTTTCGGAACGGGCAAGGCCGATATATTAGAAGTCCCAGTTTTTGAACTAGCGCATGGCCAATCAAAACCAGAACCGGACTTTGTCACATATCGCAATACTGGTCTGGACGATGTGACCTTTGCTGCTCAGAATTCCCATGACGCAGATGATGTCGAATCGATAGCAGCAAAACAAGCATTGTTAAGGTTTCAGTTCCCACAGCCTGATGACAGTGGAGAAAATGAAAAGCATATCGCATATGAGAGATCCGATCAGCTCGCGTCTGGTCCCAATCATTTAGTCCAGGAAAATGGAGAAGATCATAGTTGGAGGATGCTTGGGGCATCCGATGTCCTCGACATGCCTAGCGGGTTCGGGGTAAATGCTTCCCAAGATGATATTCGCAAAAACACTCAGTCTCAGAGCCCAAACATAATTTTGGAGTCCACGCGCCATTGCGAGGATGACAATCTTATCTTTCCAGAATTGTCCGTTTCTCCATGCGATCAAACTATGAATGTCATGCATTGGAGCAACAACATTGCCGTATCTTGGAACAGAAGTACGGCAGACTCTTCATCTTCAGGTCTTGAGACAGAGGTGGCCTCGACGACTCCTCCGTCACCCTACAGAGACCTCGTACTAGCCATTTCGTATCCTAGGACCTGCACCGTCTCGTCTGGAGGACTATGGTATTGTAGTGGAACGTCAAAGCTTCCCATGGTTGAATACCACCACAAAGAAGAGAGGAAGGTACAACGGACGCAAGGACTGAGGCCAATTCTGTTCCCAGACGAGCAATCGCGACTCCCAAGGACTAAGGAGTACGCTGTCGTTTTGGCTAAAACATCTGAGAAGCCTGAAATCCGATCCGATGATCTCTCAACGCCGCCGAAATCACCCAATGATGTGCAGCCCCGAAGATCACTAATTTTGAATACGGATGAGGATAATGAGAGCTACTTTACGCCAAGTTAGATAGGCTCCTACGCAGAAATTGTAGACCACGGTGAAAGCGAGGCCAGCTGGTCAGACTGGGAATGGGATTTTGATTCAATTGAGGAATTCGATGCCGGAAATGCAAATTGCAAATCCTGAGATTAAAATAAATGAAAGGGGAAAAGTCGCTATAAGCTGACAAACAATAGCACAGAGAAAAGGCGGTGCGGGAGCACGCAATATGCGACCGCAATACGCACAAGGGCCACGTTGGAGAAGAACCAGTAAAGAAATTGTGGCACAGTCGTGGCCATATAATTCCTCAGAGTGGTACTCATAGAAATCTATTTATAAAGCATTCAATGCAGCCGCTTCATCAGACTCAAGTCCTCCTGCTGTACTATACGAGATCGTTTCCTGGTAGCGCCAACTGAATCCGATAACATTGCAAGTGATAGACACTCATAATTGGGAAACGCTCACGTACGTACAGTATTATTACCAAGATTCGATCGTCCCATCACTCACAGAACACTCAGCCGTTGAAGGATCGAGACACAGTTATTCCAAATATGCATCAACTCTTCTAGGCACCCTTCTCTGCAGCCTGAGTCGCCTTCTCAACTTCCGAAGGCAGATCATATTCGAACAGCACGTCGTTGTAATCATCGCGAAACCACGCTGGAGAGAAGGAAACAGTTAGTCCAGACTGAGTGGTAATGGTTTTAAAATAAGCCAGAGGTGGAAGCATCACTTACTCATCAGATATATCATCGCGTACATCGCCCACTCCAGGATCACGCCCATGTCGCCTTTCATGCGGCTCATCTGCTGGCTGCGCGCGTAGATGGCGTGCACGCGCGGCTTACGGAGCCTTTCGTACTGTTCGACCGCTGTTGCGACCGCTGTTGCTGTTGCCGTGGCCGCCGTGCTGTCGGCCGCCGTGCTGGCCCCGAGATAATGCCGCAGGAACAGGGCAAGCGCCTCGGCGTCCTCGAGTGCCTGGCATGCGCCTTGGCCCGAGGACGGCTGCAGCGCGTGCGCCGCGTCGCCGACTAGCACCGCGCGGCCGCGGACGGTCCAGCGCGGGAGCTCCGGGGTGGTCCAGGTTGGGTAGCTTGCGTCTAGGGCCATGGCGGGCGGGGGTGTTTGGGAAGATGTGGACGTGGTGGGAGGAGAGGAAGAGGACACCTCGACGTAATTGACTATGGCGGTGATGCTGGGGTTTTTCCATTTCTTGTGTCGCGAGGTCAAGGCGCTGACGGCGAGGGGTTTGTTGAAGGAGGTTGGCTTGTTTGGGTTTGTTTCTACTGAGAGCGGTGCGGTCGCATGGTCATCATCTACGTTGGTAGTGGTACTAGTAGTAGCACCGGTACCAGCGGCAGCAACAGCGTATGGGTAAGGCGTCGAGCTGGAGAATGTCGACCACCAGCCCGCGACAGCGCCGGGTTTGGAGGTGGCGGGCACGCTCGATGGTCGAGGAGTCCCGTTGGTTTTGATATCTTCGTCTGATATTCGATTCACAGCCTCCGTCGTCGAGTCGTGTGGATCGAATTCGGGAGCAGGCGAAGACAGATCAGGCGTGGTCGACGAAGTCAGATATCCATACCCGAAGAAACCGTTCGGGCCGAACACGATCGACATTGTTCCTGGTTTGTGGCCGGTCGATTCTAGAATGGAGGATGGTACGAAGCCGCCGACACCGACGAGGCCCCTATTTTCTCCGAAGAAGTGGGATTATTAGCATGCCGGAATGCAGAGGAGTTGGTGGTTGTTGGGGCTCCTGTTGAACTCGGGCGAACTCACTCGTAATGTGGAGTGATGTAGTCACATCCTTCGGACTTTGCCTTTGCGTGGGATCTACTCGAGAGACCAAGCCACTGGAGAGCTGCTTGGATCCAGCTTCCATTCTGCTGGCCATTGTGACGTACATTAGCACGGGCTGCTTCGCCGCCTTTGCCGTTGTCGCTCTCAAACATCGCCTTTCTAACGATGCTTCTCAGCCCATCAGCACCGATGATTAGGTCTGCCGAGTCTTCAGTTCCGTCCTCGAACTTCAGCGTGCTAGGGTTCGTAGAGTCTCCAATTGATACTTCAACCACCTTTTTCTTCACCACGGCGTCAGGTGCGAGTGCAAGGACCCGGTCACGCAGAATCTCCCAGCACGCCCGGCGTGCAATCATCACGCTGTGATACATGTAGGGAGCCTTTTTCGCATTTGGAGATTGTACACGCTTTGACGCGTTCCGTTTATCACCATTGCTAGTAGTATCTGAGTCACGGAGATGGCGTGGAATGAGGTTGACGTCCACGATTGTCCAGCCTCGAGCGGTGCTGATCTCCCATCTCTCGATGGGGTGACCACGTCGAGCCACCTCCTTGACGAGACCACAGTTTAGACCTGTCCTGTTCGCTTCACCGCTGTCATCATCATGGTGGGTCGGCGGCGACTTCTGGGGAAAAGAGGACTCCATGCGGGATAAGACGTTGAGGCCATTCTTGGAAATCCCGATGGCGCCCCCGATTGTCTGTGAAGTTGGCACAGGTTGGTCCACTGAGAGGTCTTGGGATATGGCTGGAGAAGTTTTGCTTCTTCCCTTTGTAGTCGTGAGGTTCGCGCCCTTGAAACCGTGCTTGTCAATGTCGTAGGCCTCATAGATCTTTATCTCATGCGATGGGGATAATGATGATGATGACGCTTCGTTAAGATGCTTCTGCAATAGGAGGTAGGTGGACAAGCCTGCAATGCCAGCCCCGCAAATCACGATTTTGACCATCTTGGGTTATTGAAATAAGAAACTCTGAGCGCTTGAGACATGGAAGCATGAAATTCACGGGAGTCCACTACGACTTTATACCTTCTTTATAGGAGGAGCAACCTTCAGTCTTGCATAGATCATGGTTTCATACTGCCTGGTGTCCTTACCTGCCACTTCGACAGTTTTGCACTAAATAATTGAAAAAAGAGCGTGTGATATCAGAACCAGGGATAATCTTGATCGGGTCAACGAGAATGTGGTAATTGCAGTAAAGATTGACCTGTGGGCTGGTAACAATCGTTGGTGCCTGGTGAGCTGGATACGGAAGATCCGACGTCTGCATCTCGACGAGTATTTTGATTGGGCCAGCCGGCTGTGGCGCAACGCTAGTGCTTCGATACGTCGGATTCGGGATGCTCAAGTCCAAGACAAAAGAGCCAGGTCAGGGTCTGATTTAGTCCTCCTATACCTCCTAATGTAATTTGTAGCATTTTTGGACCTTTGTTAAGAGAGCCCTCTCAGTACCAATTATGTCCGGCTTCACCGAGGTTCTCTTTGTTCGGGTTCATGGAAACTATCCGCTGCGGAGGGACTTGTTCCACAGTGAACTGCGATTCAAAAATACCAGAGATGGCACGTCTTCCCAGGGCAGTAAAAGAATCGAAAGGTCCATCTCCTCTAATTGCTGCCCACTCTGGAGATTCTGGGGACGAACCATCACCAAGATCACTCCATCTGGTCAGCACGATCGCTTGTTTGAATAACTGTGTTGGATCAGACTTGTCCTCCTGCATTCTCATCTCTATCAGGTACTCTGATGGACATTCGGGACATCGTCTCATTGGTTTGCAGTTTGAGCATAAGGTGACAATAGGGTTGGGTCGATGTAATCTGTAGTTGACTCTGGCAGCGGCACCAGCCACGCCACTGCCCTCTGGAGGCTTGATCTGATGACCAAGTGCACATTTGACTGCAGGCATCAAGTTGCCATCCCGCCAATGTGCACATACAGAAAAGTAAGGCGCAAAATTATCACTAGGAGCGTATAGAAGCTTGCGCAGTCCAGCAGGCGGAAGTTCAGGTGTTGCGAAAGCCCAGCTAATTACTCGGAGAAGGAGATGCCCGTTGACAATTGCATACTGGGTCTGATGAGTCCACTCACCATCACGGTCTTTCCACCGACGAGATAAGGTATTAAGCGGTATACCATGCTCCGGGGAGTATCTTTGGGCGCGTAGAACAAGTTGAGCAAATGAAAACGGTAGAGTCCGTCCCACTGTCAGCCTCATTCGAGACATCTTGTTTTCTATGTTGAAGGTATTTGGACAGTTGAATATTGGATTTGAAACATTGGTCGGCCTTAGGTTTTCTTTTCCCTTCTGGGTCCGAAGGTGATAAATGGCACAAGGAAAGCACAGGAGATGATCGGCCAGATGCTTATCAAGGCGACTCAGAAAATCGATTCGATCGTGATAGTTGTCCTTTCCATCAAGCTCGTTCCAGATGTCTGAACCGATTAGGTCTCTGAATGGTTTGCACGAAAAGGCAAGGCTTGCAGTATCTGGGATGTTGAGATGACGGACAACATGTGCCCACACCTTTGATGGGAGTTTGGCAAAGAATTCCGGAGCGGGTTGCTCAGGAATCCCAGAGAAGAGCGCCTTTGTTTTCTCCACCAGCGACTCGGCTGAATCACGGTGGGCTAGACTATGTAGCATCTCGGTGTAGTCCTTTCTCTCACCGGTCTCCTTATCCTGATCCCACTCAACAGCAACAGCTCTGTTCGACGACAGGGATGCATACCCGGAAGCTCTAGATCGAGACTGTTCGAGACTGTTCTTCTTGGAGCTGGCATATGAGCCTTTGCTCATCGTGGGTGGTGCCGAGCCTTTCCGGAGCTTGTTGGTAGACTGAAAAGCAGTCTTCTGGTTAATCTTGAACTCGTCAATACTAAAATCGGAGAGAGATCCTGCTCTTGAGCTTGATCGACTTGACGACTGTTTGGCCTTAAAAGGATTCAAGAATCCTAAGCCCATGGAGCCTTTCCTATGGGCGGTGTCGGCCATGGTTGAACAGCGGCGCTTGAAAGTGGGCTTTGACGCGTCGACACTTCCGGAAATCGATAGCGTGTAGAGTCTACAAAGCTGTTGTTATTTCGAGAATGATGAAGACTTCAAAGCTGTCATTCACGAAATGTCTTCTGGAGAGCTCTTAGGAAGATGACCTTACCTTCAACTTGAGATGCACACTGGAGAGACAGAGGTTGAATGGACAAGGAGATGCCCCTTTGACCCTCAAGCCATGTGAGAAAAGGCAACCGGAAGCTGACTACTCAGGCTCAGGCACCATGGCCCAATCATGATGATTACGATCCCAGCAAGGGCCGCCCAAGCTGCAAGGTGGCCATTGTTATCGAATCAGAGGCCGTACACGTGACATGCCCAAAAAGAATCTGGTGGCTTATATAATCACAGCCCGCATATTAGGTGACACCCAGTGGCCCATTGGGTGGAGAGGAAGAGCAGTTTGCGTATGTAGGGAATCGTCCCATTTTGCCGATGGACCAACCTGAGTTAGGAAACGTCCTATCACCCTGTGCCCCTCAACGCAGATACAGAGCAAACTAAGCACTGTCGGCCTTGATCGCGATAGGGCGGGTTAACGCACCGAAGACGGACCCTCACGGGATACCCATGTTGGACTCCTCAGACTACTTCTACATTTATGATAATTTGACGTGTCGCGATTAAGATAAAGAGCGGAATCTCAGGAATGTTGGGTCTAGACGGGGCAATGCTATCTGACGCTGGCAGATGGATTGCTACTTCAAAAGCGGCGTTGCCACCGTCCATGATAGGAGGCGCTAATGCTTTAGTCACCCACTAATCTCACTATTTGTAAACCGCTGTCGACGCTTCTCGAAAGTTACGTGGTTCATCTTGCCTGCACCATGGGCTTTATTATCATGGCTTTCCTTAAACCCATACCTTTCTTTGTGAGGTTGCACAACCACTGCAACACTCAGAGACTACCATGGAATCACCATCCGACTCTTTGAAATGGTCGGCTCAACTACATATCGCCAGCCCAAACCGCAGGCTTGTCGGCGATAAAATCACCTTGCCACAATCAGCCTTGGAAGCCCTCCTGGCCGCAGCACCTGTGGTGTCGGTCTCCAACCATCCTTCAAGGAGTGCCACACCTTCCTTTGACCCCTTCAACCACTATTCATTTGCTGCGGAGCGTCAAGCCCGCTTGGCTTTCGAAGATCGCCAGCAACAATTGCCTCATCCTCTCACGTTCCGAATAGTGAATCCTCGAAATGGAAGATCTGTCTATGCTGGAATTCGAGAATTCTCGGCTGAAGAGAACAGCGTAGGTTTAAGTGGGCCTCTACGAGAAGCCCTTGGCCTACAATCGAATCCTCCATCGTCTCGTGGCAGTAGAGATGGAACACCTAGCGCTGATGTCGTTATGGGAAATAGAGTCGAATCTGAAAAACGCGACACTGTTACAGTACATGCGAAACAGCTACCAAAAGGGACATATGTCAAATTAAGGCCCCTTGAGGCTGGATATGATCCGGAGGATTGGAAATCTCTCCTTGAACGCTATCTGCGGGACAACTTCACTACTCTGACAAGCGGTGAATTACTCCTTGTTCCTGGTCCTCAACATGAGCAATTTCGTTTCTTGGTCGATACATTTCAACCGGAGGGAGACGGGATTTGCATTGTGGACACTGATTTAGAGGTGGACATTGAACCCCTCAGTGAAGACCAGGCTCGCGAGACTTTGAAGAAGAGAGTTGAAAAGAACAAACGAGCGAGGGATCCGGTTGGAGGTAATTCCGCTGGGGGTTTACTTCAGCTAGGTGAACACAAGGCTGGTCAAGTACTACCTGGTGACTTTGTTGACTACCAACTCAAGGCGTGGAATCGAGACGAGGATTTGGAAGTAGTCCTAACGGCTGGTGAGGAGAATGGCTCGCTAAATCTACTCGTCACCCCATTTTCTTCTCGGCAACGGTCTAAGCCTCGTAACAATGAGTTCGTGTATGGCGATTTATCAGGCAGTTGGACAAAGCGACTAAAACTGTCCCACACAAGTGTCGACCTCGAAGAAGCGGAATCTCTGAATATTGCAGTCCAGGCATGGAAGCCAACAGATACAGGTCTACCCTCTGCAGAGCAACCTCTGTCCTACACAATTATCGCTGTTGTGGCGACGGCGGAAGAAGGTAATCCGACAGAATCAAAAGCGGAACCAGATGTAGACGAGGTTGTCTGCAAGAATTGCCATCAGGCTGTGCCGAACCGGACACTCCATCTTCATGAAGCCTTCTGCTATCGCAACAATGTTCTCTGCCCGAAATGCTCTGGCGTATTCCTTAAGTCCTCTGAGGCGTGGAATCACCACTGGCACTGCCCACACGACGCAGAACACGGGAATGATTCGGTATCCCATCTAAAGCATGAATCCATATTTCATCCGCCAGAACCATTGCGATGCCCGGGCTGTGATTTTGAGGCATATGATGTGCCGATCCTGGCTCATCACAGAACTACTGACTGTGCTGGAAAGGAGATACTTTGCCAGTTCTGTCATTTAGTTGTACCTCAACAAGGTCCTGACGATCCATCATTCAGTGATCCCGAGGTTCTACTATCAGGGCTCACTCCGCACGAGTTGGCTGATGGAGCCAGGACGACGGAATGTCATCTGTGCAGCAAGATTGTTCGACTACGAGACATGAAGACACATCTTTTGTTCCATGACCGGGAAAGATTTTCCAGACCGAGGCCCAAGATCTGCAGCAATACACTATGCGGGCGGACGATCAAGTATGATGATGCGGTCAGGGTAGATAAGGAGCAGTTGGGCCTGTGCAATGAATGTTTTGGCCCCCTGTACGTCACTTCCTATGATCCAGAGGGGAAGATGCTTAGAAGGAGAACTGAGAGAAGGCTTTTGCAACAATTGATCGGAGGCTGTGACAAGTCTTGGTGCCGCAATGAACGATTATGTAAAACCGGGCGCAAAGTGGTCACAGGGCAAGACCGAGTACTCTCGGCCAAAGACGGACTGCCAATGCTCAAGCCCATCATGGATCAACTAGCCCAGGGAAATACCTCGGAGTTGGTGTTCTGCGTGGACGAGGCTAGTCAAGCAAGAAGAGCCATAGCTACCATGATGACGGGCGAAGGCGAGTATGAGCTTGAATGGTGTCTCAAAGCTTTAGAGGAAGAGAAAGGCGATGTTGGGGCTGCCAGAGATTGGCTCAAGGGTCGAGCACCTAAGATCGATGAGCTTCTCAGTTGAATGTGTCAGATCAAAATGCTGTAATCACTCGAACAGTATTGATTAGGTGGCATGTACAGTTGTCAGTAGCCTTCAAGAAATCACAAGTGTCCACGGTCGGCATTTCAATTTGTCCATGTTTCGTGATCCAGCACAAAGGAAAGCGTTTTCCCCCTCTTCACCCAACTGGTATCAATCAAGTCCACGAAGAATACCTGCACCTCCACAATTCGAGAAAGGGTCATCCCTGCCTGTACAGCGAGTTCAATTGGATATCAGCATTCAGAATCCTTGACGGGGCCCAGCAAAAGGGACTCGTAAGGCATCAGGCAATCTGCCCCCCGCCAAGATTGACGTCATTTAGATTCCTTGATGGTACGATGGCCAGAGTCTGGCCCTCATGTTGGAAACTTGGATACATATAGAAGCCCCAACTTATACATGGCTTAGAGTGGATTTTGTGTTCATAGGGTATATACACGCTACACTATCTTCCCACATCTTAACACCCTAGCTATATTATCCGCCACCGTTACCAAACACCAGATATATATACCTGTCTATACTCGTCGCATTACCGATATCCTGTCTATACGTTATCCCCCCACACTCAACTGACCCAAGCATGCCTATCAATACCTCCTCGTCCGACGAAGGCGTGACCGGCGCCGCTAAATTCGTCACCTCGACTCTTGGTGTACGTCTAGACCTCTATCTCTCCCCCACCACATACCCCCATCCAAGTCCCAGATTTCTCAGCTAACATCTCCTTTCTCTACTTATAGAACACGGTCGGCGGCCTAGCACGCACGGTAGGCGGCGTGACGGGCGCTGCAGGGCGCGGGATAGGCGACACAATCACGGGAGCGACGGGCTCCGCGGGCAAGCCGCTCGGTGATGGCCTCGGCAATGCCCTTAGCGGCGTCGAGTCCGGCACCAAGAAGGTCGCGCAGGGCGTCGAGGATGCGGGCCAATGGAAGAGCGGTGGGAAGAGGCTTTAAGATTAACGGCAAGGCAAAGGGAGGATACAATTTGAAAAAGGTTTGGGTCGGGCTTTTATCCGTCATTGATTTATGACGAGCACGACAGACAGGAGGTGATGGGTAATGGATGAGCTTTCTTCCACCACTTGGACCTTCGACCTTATACTCCTCCTTTCGTCAGCGAGCATGTATTACCACAATGCTAAGCTGTTACAACTACCGCCGCATATAGCAAATGTTCATTGAGTTCGTCGCACACTCTCCAAAGAAGCCACAACAACGAGTCTTGATAGGATCCTTCCTCAGTTGTGCTCTCTTGGAAGAATTGCTTCCGAGTCTTGATTCATCAATTCTAGAAACTTAGTCTCGGAAATATCTTCGCCGGCCGAGACTTTCCAGAATACACACCGCCATGAATGAACAATCATCGCTGCAAGGAGAGGTCAATTTTGGGAAGAGCCTCAGGGCGATGGATCACCTGGGACCTGGGGGATATGCGTTCGGTTTATAGTAGGCTCATCGCCAAGCCGAGCCAAGCCGAGCCAACCCTAAATCAACCCTAAATCAACCCTAAACTCCCCGCTCTCCATAATATTTTGGGGGCGGGTAATCCCGCGTTGCACGTGGACCTAGATTTGCCTGAATGGGGAAGATCTAAATATCTTGGAGTGTTCTCATTTCTCGACAACTTGCTTTCCCTGGGTATGGAGACTTACCAGGCCGAATAACTAGCAGGACCAGACTGTCGCAAATCTCCAGATAAACGTTCTTGACACTCACCTCCCTAACGGCCATGGTCTTGGCACCTGTTTCCCTTTGATGGCTGTCAAGCGCGGTGAAGGCTTACTTGAAGAGCTCGCTGCTCACATTTAATTTGCCACTCCCGTGTCTTCCAATTCTTCATTCAAGCTGGCAACTTCCTCCTGGGCTGGGGCGAGGCATGGTGAAATTAGACGTGATATTTCGACCATTCACCCGAAATCTCTTCGAGTCCTTAGTGATGCCTGTGACAGCTCCATGACAGCTATGAGCTGACGTCTGACCGTTGACTTACTGGACCGTTCATTGACTAACCGGTCAGCTACAGTCAGCTACAGGATCCACGTACGGCTACAACATGAACAAGTTCTGCAACGCAGTCCAGAACTTGAGGCCCAGAGCGAGGTCTTTTCGTCGATCCCTACGATTGGAGGAGAGTTATTATTCTAAAAGCACGCTACACTGGGTGTCAAGTTCTTCACAATGGCTTGCTCTCGCTCTCGCAATATTAATCTGGACTGTTGGCACGGACCTTCTTCCACTTCCAATGTGGCAGTGGTGAGTATCAACATCTGGTAGGTGATCGATTCTAGGTACTCTTAGGCTCTTTTCCCGTGAAGATCACTCTATCATCATTTCTTTCCATCCTACCCTTTTCCATTGCAACTTAACCTAGTCGTTCATTATCAATGATGCTTTTTTCATCGCTGGGTTTGTGGTTCGTGTTGGGCATCGGCTTCGTTGATGCGAGCCCTCCGAAGCAAGGAACTCCCACTGCCATTGCAACAGTCACCCCTTGCCCATCACTGTCGGCAGGGAAGATACCCGCCCCCATCAGGGTGACTACACAGTATCAGCCCGTGTCAACGTGTATACCACTATCCAAGGTCTGCGTCAAGAACAAGTGCTGGACGCAATATTCTTATTCAACTCACGACTTTGTGTCCACCGTCATCCCTTGCCCATTCGCTTCAGCATCCTCAATAACCACAGTCAGTAAAACCGAGCAGTCTGTCTTGGTGTCCCGCTCCTCAGAGACCGTTACAAATACATATGTTACGTCGTCTGTGGTGACCAGAAAATGGAGAAGACCCGCCACTGTTGCCTCGACAGCCTCGGAGTACACGACAGTCGTCAGAGAATGGAGTGCGGTTTACAAAGATCTTGGCCCTTATGCTATCCCAGATTATGATGGCAGTGGTATTTGTACCAAATGCCAAGGGCCCAACGGGCAGAACATGCAATCACTCGATGTGATAGAATGTGTGCAGAGCGCTGATAGCCCCACCGTCTGCCGTGAGCATCCTGAAGTCTGGATTTTCGGTCAGGCACCTAGTTCGGCTCGTACAGCGTCCGCCATATGCTCGACTCATACATCTGTCTCTGCTGCTGGTGTCTATGTCTTCGAGTTTCCCCAACATCTCCCACCCGCCACGATCCACATACCTCCGCAAACAGTGACCTACACTGTTCCTGGCTCTGGTGGAAGATTTCATACTAGTACCCACACCGGTACCGCAACCACGACTGTTTTCCCTGGTCGACGTTGGACAGCCACGATCACGCGAAAATGTCCTCGACCAACAGTAATCAATTTCGAAATCATTGTCAAGAGGGTTATTTACTATGTTGTTCCGCCTTTTGTTCATCCACATGGACCGTAAGTCAAGCTGCGTGGACGAGGGCTGTTCCTGGCCAAGAAGTTACGTCCTGATTCTATTGCTGACTTTCTCCTAGAACCTCCCAAGTCGAGCCACCAGCAACATGGTCAGACTGGTTCCCGATTTCTACTACGGCTCCTCCAGCTAGTGTGTCTACTGGCTGGCTTACAACCTGGACTTATACGTCTAGTGTGACCACTCCTAGTAAGCCCCACTTGCTCCATTAAGAGCTCCTCTCAGCTTACATAGCAACAGCCTCTACCTCATCTACCAGCGGTTCGTATACCAGTAGTTCGTATACTATCAGCTCGCGTACCAGTAGCGCTGCGCCGACCACTGTGGGCACTGGATTCTACTTGCAAGTAACGGCCACTCCTACCGGCTTGGGTAAGCGTGATATTCCGCAGTATCTTGCATTTGATGCCAACAACAACGGAATCGTGGTGAATGATATCTCTTTGGCCTCACTAATCTTCAATGGGAACGACAACTCTTTTATCTCCAATGACTTGTACTTGGGAACCCTCGAGCTTGCAGATTCACCTGTTCAGCGTACTATCAATTTCCCTGCCGGCTTTCATACCTGGTATTTTGTTGGCAACCTTGCCCAGTTGGAGGGAACTGCAGGCTTTTGTCTGTACGCGCCCAACCTCGTCAGAGCGTATGTTCGGCCTGAGGGATGTGCAAACCCTATCTTCCTTGTCCAAAGTATTTTTTCGACGTCTTCCTCGACAACGTCAACTATTACAAGCACATCAAGCAATAGTTTAGCTGCACGCTCGACCTCAGCATCCACATCCTCTAGCAGCAGCAGCAGTTCCTCATCGATCTCTTCTTCAGCCGGCGCTGTAATTACTTCGATTAGTACCTCGCTCACCAGCGTATCCAGCACCAATACGACTGAGCACTCGACTAGTATACCGTCCACGGACATATCGTTGTCCTCGATGTCTCAGTCTTCCACATTCATTAGCATTGCGTCTAGCAGCTCAAGTGTCGCTAGCTCCAGCAGTAGCAGCACGACAACCACGTCCTCGACTGTGGGTCCACAAACAGCTGATACAAGTTCGACGTCATTGGATAGTCAAATCGCGTCAAGTCTTAGCAGCACAAGTAGTACGGAGCTCATGACGGCGGCTGTCTCTACTACTACCGAGACCACGACCACCAGTATCACCCTGACGATGTCGGCAACTACGACATCCGCAACGGCAACGTCTTCTGGCTTTATGCTGCAAGCTGTCGCCAGGTCATTGACTAAACGTCGTAGAGACGTTATCCAAGTCTATGTTGGCTTCGCTAACGACGGTGCTATTGCAACAGAAGACCTGGGAATTGCATCGATCTTCTACTTGGGGAATAATGGCCAACTGACTACAGACAATGGTAAGCAGGTAGGCAGTCTGATTAGCCAGGACTCGAGGCTCATTAAGTTCTTGAATACACCACCTGCTTTCAGAATTTGGTCATTCCCATCCGGCATAGGCCAACTCTCGGGGGCGGAGGGGTTTTGTCTCATCTCTGGCAGTGTATACGTAGTCATTGATATAGAGAACTGTGCACAGCCGATCAATCTTGTGCAGGCAGGTATGTGTTATTGATACGCTGCAAACCAGGAAGATATACTGACAAATACATATAGCTCTTTTCCCATTGAGTACATCCTCGTCAATGGCTGCTACAACAACTACTAGGGCCGCTTCGACAACTGAGATGACGACAACTACGTCTGAGACTGGATCGACTACTGTATCTACGTTGACGGAGATGTCTCCCTCGTTGACAACGGAGTCAACTACATCTACTATGGAGTCTACAATGTTAACTACTACATTTACCACTGCATCCCCTATATCTTCGATGACATCTACTAGTACATCTACTACAACCCCCTCTACGAAATCCTCGACTACATCTACTGCAGAAACTACTACAATGTCTTCAATAACAGATACTACAAGAATGACACTCACCAATACCAAAACGACAGATACTACTACGACCTCCGCAACGACCAGCACGACCAGCGCAACTACTACCATAACAAGCACAACTAGTATAACCAGTACGGCCGGCGCAACTACTAGTACAACTAATACAGCCAGCACAACCAGCATAGCGGGCGCGATAACTAGCACAACCAGCACGCCTAGTACAATCAGCTCGGCTAGTACGACCAGCTCGGCCAGCGCGACGACTACTACATCCAGTACGACCGCCGTGATAACTAGCACAACCAGCACGCCTAGTACAAGCAGCTCGACCAGCGCGACCACTACCACGGCCAGCACGAGCGACGCAACAATCAGCACAACCAGTACAACCGACTCGACAGCTAGCACGACCAGCATAACTAGTACGACTAGCTCGACCAGCGCG